TTTTCCCCCAAAGCCCCAGTAGATAGTTGTATGTCATAGCTGCACATCCTTCTAGTTGCTGTATGTGGGACGTGGCCTCAGCATGGCCGGACAAGCAGCGCGCCAGTGCGCGCCCGGGATCCGAACCCGGGCCGCCAGCAGCAGAGCGCGCGCGCTTAACCGCCAAGCCACAGGGCCAGCCCGAGTTTAAAATATTTTCTGATTTCTCTTGTGACTTCTCTTTTATCCATGGTTTATTTAGAAGTATATTGTTTAACTTCCAAATATTTTGAGATTTTTCAGATATCTTTCTGTTACTGATTTCTAGTTTAAATCCATTGTGGTCAGAGAAGAAACTTTTTTGGATCTTTTTAACTTATTAATGTTTGTTTCATGGCCCAGAGCATGCATGCTCAACCTTGGTTGAGTGTTCTTGAAATTAATGTGTATATTTGGCTGTTGCTGGATTGAATGTTTCATAAATGTCAATTAGAGCAAGTAGGTTGGTTGATAGAATTGTTCAAGCTACTGATTTTGTGTTTACTGGTTCTCTTGATTACTAAGGAAGGATTGTTAAAGTTTCAACTCTGGATTTGTTTTTCTTCTTTCAGTTCTCTCAATTTTTGCTTCTTATATTTTGGAGATTTCATGTTAGGTGCATACACATACGCCTAATGCTTAACAATGTGGATACATTCTGAGAAATTTGTCATTAGGTGGTTTTCTTGTGCAAACATCATAGAGTGTACTTACAAAGCCTACTACATACCTAGGCTATATGATACCAATCTTATGGGTCTGCTGTCATATATGTAGTCCATTGTTGACCAAAATGTTATGTCATGTATCCTATACATGACTGTATAGGATTTTTATACCTTCTTTTGTGATTATGTAATGTTCCTCTTTAACCTTGGTAATTGTACTTAATCTGAAGTCTACTTTGGTAGTAATATAGCCACTCCAGATTTCTTTGATTGGTGTTTGCATGGTATATCTTTTTCTATCCTTTAACTAATCTATGCCTGTATTTTTAAAGTGGGTTTCTTGTGGGCAGCATATATTTCAATCTTGTTTTTTAATCCAATCTGACATTTAATTTATATTTAGGCCAATTTAAAAATCCAACTATTGATATGGTTGGATTAAAATCTGCTATGTCCCTAGTTGTTTTCTATTTTCTAGTTGTGTTTGATTTTGAATTGTTTATCATTATTTTATGGTTTCCCTTGGGTTTACAATACATATTTTTAATCACAGTCTACCTTCCAATAATATTTTACCCCTTTACGTGTAGTGTATCTTACAACACTATACTGTCAATTCCTACTTCTTGTCTTTCGTGGTATTATTGTAATATGTTTTATTTTTGTGTATGCTGAAAATCTACAATTCAGTTTTCTTTAGAGCAATTAATTTTTTTTAAAAAGATATTTTATATTTACCTTCATTTTAAGTATTTTTGGAACTCATTTTTTTTAGGTAGCTTTAAGTTTCTGTCTGTTATTTTTATTTCTACTTGAACTTGATCACTTCTTGTGATACAAGTATATTGGTAATGAATTATCGCAGCTTCTTGTGGAGAGGATGGATGGGAGCTAGAAAAAAACTCTTGTTTCACCTTCATTTTCTGAGTGATATTTTTCTACATATAGAATTCTGGATTGATAGTTTTTCTCCCCCCTCCTTTCAAACTGTTAAAGTTGTGACTCCGTTGTCCTTTGTTATATATAGTTTTGATGAGAAGTCTGCCATATATCGTTGTTCCTTTGTACATAATTTCTCATCTTTATTTGACTGCCTTCAGGATTTGTATATGATGTTTCTAGGTGTATGTATGTTTTGATATTTGCCCTGTTGGGGGTTTTCTGAGCTTCTTGGATCTGCCTGTCATTATTTTTCATTATCTTCTCAAATAGTTCTTCTGCCTGTCTCTCTCTCTCTCTCCTCCTCCATCTCCTTCCTGTTTTTCTTCCTCTTGGATTCCAAAAATTCTTATTAGATTCCTGTTAGATATCGTCCCACAACCTTTAGATCCTCTGTACAACTTTTTTCAGATCCTTTTCTCATTATGTTTCCATTTGGATAATTTCTAATGACCTATTTTTAAGTTCACTGATTTTTGTCCTTGCCTCTGTTGAATCTACTGACGAATCCATTAAAGGTGTTTTTCATCTCTATTACCGTGTTTTTTAATCAGTAATATTTCCCTTTGACTCTTCTGTTTTTCCATTTCTCTGCTGATATTCTTCATCTCTTCATGCGTATTTTCCATCTTTTCCACTAGAAGCATTTACCATATTAATCATAGTAATTTAAAATGCATTGGCTAAAAGTTCCAACATCTGTGTTATTGGCAGATATGTTTCTGTTGATTGCTTTGTCATTTGTTGGTTATTTTTTTCTTGCTTTTTGGGACATCTTGTAATTATTGATTAAATGTCAGACATCATGTATAGGATGATAGAGACTGAAGTGAATAGTATTTATGTCTGAAAATTGGAATGCCTCTTTTTTGTGCTAGCCTGTTAGCATAGAGAGTTAAGTCAATTTAGTGGAAGGTGAACTGACTCTGAGTTTTCCTGTTTAATAAGATTCTCTTCAATACACCAGTGCCTCAAATTCCTTTAGGTATGTCTTGTGCTTGGGGGGGGGGGGGCTTTGTTCTGGAGTGTTGCTCCATGCTCTGTTTTTGGCCTTTCCTCTACTCCCATACCTCAGAAAGTTCTCTTTCTACACTCTTGGCTCTTTCCTTGATGTTAGAGTCTACTGCTACTTTTTCTCAGTGCTTGCCAGCTTGTTGGTGAGTATTTGTGGGTGAGGGGTGGGTGGGGAGGTGTTTTGGGTAGTTTTATCAGTTGTCCTAGACCAGTTTCAGTCCTAGCCGTGTGTCTTCTCTAGGTCTCAGAAATGGGGTATTCTTGGTGATACCCCTTTCTTTCCCATAGCATCTGACTCATATCTTTGGTAACTCCTCTGTGGAAGAGAATGTCCTTCCCTGCCCTAGCAGAAGGTGACATATAATGGTCTGGTCCCAGGAGGGTTTCTTATCTTAGGTATAGATGGAGTTTTCTTTTATCTTTGCCCCTGGGGTATAGTATCTTCACCTCTGCCCTGAGGACAAAAGGTTACTGCCTTTTGCCTAGTTTCTTAAGGCTTTTGTTCTGAGAAGAGAATAATCTTGATGGTACGTTGGGCCTTTTCTGCAGTGGAGGCTTCTCCCCTCTTCCAGGGTGGTACCAAGGAAAAGCTTTCTCTGGTCTTCCACACTACTCCATCTTTCTGATGAGCTCCCAGCAGAGAGCTCCTAATGCAGTGCTTACAATTGAGTGTGAACTCCTCTTGTATCTGTGGCTCCCAGGGATTCTATATCTTACATTAGTTCATAGTCAGTCTTTACCATTTTAGCTAATATATGGTATCTGGCATCTCTTTCTCCTGCCCCTTTACCACAAGTGAGCTGGTGCTTGTGTTCAACATCTCTCTCGAAGGTACATTTTTTTCCTTAGATTTTAGGCTGCTTGGTTGGCTTGTAACCTCAGAGATCTAATGGTTTTAAGAAAAGTTACGATTTTGTAAATTATCTGTTTTTTTTCTTGTTGTTAAGATTTAGAATGGCCCTCTCCCCAGCATTCTACATCCTGGGCAGAACTCTATAAGCAGAACTCTTATTGACTTCTTTTCAGCCTTGTCTTGTACCTCAGCCTTTAGAGGTCCTTCATATCTTTGGTTCCTGAGATTTTCTTTGTTCCGTGGTTGGAATTCATTTGCTTGTTGATGGCTCTGCAGTCCTTTGCCTTGCTTCTAGCATTTAGGAGGTCAAGAAAGCTGTAAACTAAGTTAGTGCTCTGTCCATCTTCCAAAATATTTTTGACATGTCACATCTGCTGCTGTCTCCACCATTTTTAACTGGTATTACAGAGCTTGAGGTTATAAACTGCTGGAGGTAGTTCTTGTTTTGAAATTAAGATGACTCTTTACAAACTAATAAGGAACAAAAGCATAGTGATAGGAGGAAACTCCTTTGAAGAATGTGGAAAATCGATTTACATACCTCAAATGAAGAGAAGTAGATCACATTAACTTTTGACAGTGACCAAAATATACATTTATGTGGCAACTCTTAGTACACAAGTATACACACTAAATGAAAATGTATATTCTGATAATTTTTCTTCTGTTTTCCCCATGAAAAAAAATCTTGGGCCAGACCTACTAAATTGATTTCATGGCTCACAAAGGGAGCTGCCACCATCAATTTGAAAGACCTTGCAGTGTAGGTTCTAATAAAGGAGTTAAAATTGTTGCCTTATTCGTACGTGGCTTGAATACTTGGAAGATTTTCTAAATATGTGTGAAGGGTTTATTATTTGCTTTATTTTTATACTGAAGACATCATCTCAAAAATGGATTTTGACAATTGAATTTTCTCTCATTAAGGCTGTTTATATCACTGGAAAGGAAGTTTTTAGCTTCAAAATGGTTTCTTTCATGGATGCAACTGCTGGTTCGGCATACACAGATATGAATGTGGTTGACGTTCAAGTTAATTTAACTGTTGGTTGCATTGAAGTAGTTTTTGTCACAAAATTTCTATATTCCATACTGGTAAGTATTTTAATTAATTTTTTATTTATTCTTTCCTACTAGTTGGAAATTGCTGTGCGTCAAACATAGATGAAGAAGAATAATTCCTTGCTTGATTTTTTTTCCTGATTTTTCATAATTTTCTGGGTACCGTTTATCATGACTAAAATGTATAGTACATTATTTATATAACATCGTTTTCACATAGGAATATTTTAGTTGAAATATATATTTTATAAACATTAAATATGTGTACATTATATATCATGTTACATATATTAATTGAATTTTTTATTTTATACATCATTGGTTCAACTGTTTTACCTGACTTCCAGTTCTAATTAAAAATGTTAAAAATTGGGGCCAGCCCGCTGGTGTAGCGGTTAAGTTCACATGCTCCGCTTCGGCAGTCCGGGGTTCACTGATTTGGATCCTGGGCACGGACCTACGCACTGCTCATCAAACCATGCTGAGGCAGTGTCCCACATAGAGCAACTAGAAGGATGTACAACCATGACATACAACTATCTACTGGGGCTCTGGGGAGAAAAAAAGGGGGAAGATTGGCAACAGATATTAGCTCAGGGCCAATCTTCCTCAAAAAACAAAAAAAACATTAAAAAAATATATACTGGGGCTGGCCCAGTGGCATAGTGGTTAAGTTCACGTGCTCTGCTTTGGCAGCCCGGGGTTCACAGGTTCGAATCCTGGGCATGTACCGATGCACCGCTCATCAAGCCATGTGTGGCGGCATCCCCGATAAAAAGTAGAGGAAGATGGGCACAGATGTTAGCTCAGAGCCAATCTTCCTCACAAAAAAAAAAGGGGCCGGCCCCGTGGCTTGGCAGTTGAGTGCACGCGCTCCGCTGCTGGCAGCCCGGGTTCGGATCCCGGGCGCGCACCGACGCACCGCTTCTCCAGCCATACTGAGGCTGTGTCCCGCATACAGCAACTAGAAGGATGTGCAACTATGACATACAACTATCTACTGGGGCTTTAGGGGAAAAAGGAGGAGGATTGGCAATAGATGTTAGCTCAGAGCCGGTCTTCCTCAGCAAAAAGAGGAGGATTAGCGTGGATGTTAGCTCAGGGCTGATCTTCCTCACAAAAAAGTAAAAGAAAAAAACCAAAACTATAATAGAAGTTTATTTTGGTCTCAGGTAATCATTAAGAAAATTATATTTTCTATTGCATTATAATTCTGTGAATATCTGGGGCTTTAAAGGGTTTAGATTTAATCCCTACATGACACCACCCTAAGGTTTTTGAGTTCTATTTCTGCTTTTCATAGTTTTCTTTTTCTCATGTTTTTCTCTCCCTATTGGCTGATATTTTTTCCTGTGAGTATCATACCTCTCTCTATGACTTCACTATTCATTGTTTTAAAATGCTGTCTCTAAGTTTTGGTGTATAAACTAGGTAATCAGTTGGTTCTAAATAAATAATGTTGCTATTTTTGTGATCTTTTTAATTGAGGTCACCATGCAGTTTTTTCTATAGCCATAAATTTTTTTTTATACATAAAAAAGTAAAGATGAACAAGTATTCCTTGTCTAATTTTTTTTCTAATTTCTTTTTACATCAGAAGCATTATGTCACTGAGCCATGTTGTAATAGCCTTATACTCAAAAATTACTAAAAATAAAATTTTTTTCTGAACATGAAAATTAAGTATAATTCTAGGTGTATTTTATGTCATTGAAGTATTTTTTCCAGAATTCATAAATTAGAAAATGTTAGAGTTTTTTTTTTATCCTACAAACATGAATAAGCTCTCTGTCCATTGAGGTTATATAGAAAAATATAATGTAATTGTTTAGCCATTAGGGAAAGTGAGACAAGGAAAACAGATATCAGTGAAACATTGCAACATCTACGTGTTGCTTTGTTCCAGGGACTAGATTTTTATTGTTTTACCCATGTTTCTGTATCTGTATCTTTCTGTTTCTCAATTTTTATTGCAGAAAATTAAGATTTAATATAGACAGTCAGACTTTGAATAAATAATGCTTGGTTGTACCAGGAAAAATTTTTTCTTGTGGAGGTAAAGTCATAAACACCAGTATACATTTAATAATCTTAATCATTAATGGTAACCTTAAGAATATAATTCTGTTATCTTTATAGGCTTTTATAGATAATTTTCAAGCAGCTAAACAAGCCTTGGCTGAGGCAACTGTTCAGGCAGCAGGAATGGCTGCTACTGGTGTAAAAGAACTGGCACAAAGGAGTTCCAGAATGGCATTGGATGTTAACATCAAAGCCCCAGTTGTGGTCATCCCACAGTCTCCAGTTTCTGAAAATGTGTTTGTTGCTGATTTTGGACTAATTACAATGACAAATACGTTCCATATCATAACAGAGAGCCAGAGCAACCCCCCACCCATTATTGATTTGATAACGATAAAGCTGAGTGAAATGCGACTATACAGGTAAGCTTTTAACAAGTATATTTGTGTAGAATGCAATCTTTTTCTAACTTTTTATATTAAAGGTTTTGGTATCTTGAGTCTTCTGTTATTACAATGAGATTTTATTGTAACGATACTTAATTTTGTGATTCTCTGTTCCCCAAGTATTTTTTGGCAATATCAATTATAGTCTTCTAGTTTTTAAAAACTTAGAAAGTATTTGAAAAGCACTCCTTAGGTAATTAGGAATGCTGTAAAATTTATTATCCAAGGAAGTATATTTGTGCTTATTTGGAATTCTTTATAAATTTTAAGGTTATGGAAGAAATGGGGGAATTTCTAATATAATACATTTATTCACTTTGCAAATACAGCAGTACCCAAACTACTCTGTCAGCTTTGTGCTGTGGTTCTGATGCTCTAATTTAAAAAAAAAACCACACGGTAGAGTACAGCTTTATGTAATCATTGGATGTAGGATTAGGAATTAGGAAAATAAGTGAATATCCAGATAGTTTCAGAACTTTTTACTGTGTTTCTGTGTTATTTCTAATCACCTATTCTAGATTTAGTGCCCTATACCCTTTCCAGCTTGGATCCATCTCTATTTATACTCTTTACTTGCCCTCTTCTTTCTTCCTGTCATTTTTCTTTGATCTCATTCTTTTTGTGTCTTTGCCTTTGTTTTTGCCACTTCTACTTCTCTTTGATTGGCCTCTGACTGATCTGTCTCCCTGTTGCCCTTCTTTCTATCAGTTGGATATTTTTAAAGCAGCTTTATTGAGATATAATTGGCATATAATAAATTGCCTATCTTTAAAGTATAAAGTTTGATAAATTTTGACATGTATATGCTTGTGACAGTTTGTGTACAGTTGTATTATTTCTTCCTTAAATATTTGGTATAATTCACCAATAAAGCCATCTGAGCCCTGGAATTTTCTTGTAGGAGATTTTTAACTACAATTTCCATTTCTTTACTAAACTTGGGACTATTCAAGTCAATTATTTTTTCTTGAGTATTGATTAAATTTTTTTCAAGAAATTTGTCCATTTTATCTTAATTATAGAATTTTATGGCATAAAGTTCATAATATTCCCTTCTTATGATTAGTATCTATTGTGATGTCACCTTTCTCATTCTGGATATTTATAATTTATACCTTTTTACTAATCAGTCTAGCTAGAGGTTTATCATTTTTATTGGTCTTACAGAACCAGCTTTTGGTATTCTCTCTTATTTTTTATTTATTTATTTATTTATTTTTTGTGAAGAAGATCAGCCCTGAGCTAACATCCATGCAAATCTTCCTCTTTTTGCTGAGGAAGACCAGCTCTGAGCTAACATCTATTGCCAATCCTCCTCCTTTTTTTTTCCCCAAAGCCCCAGTAGATAGTTGTATGTCATAGTTGCACATCCTTCTAGTTTCTGTTTGTGGGACACGGCCTCAGCATGGCCGGAGAAGCAGTGCATCGGTGTGCGCCCGGGATCCAAACCCGGGCCGCCAGTAGCGGAGCGTGTGCACTTCACTGCTAAGCCGTGGGGCCGACCCCTCTTATTTTTTTGTTTTCTCTTTCTTTGGTTTCTGCTTTGATATTTATTATTTCCTTCTGCTTACTTTGGGTTTAATTTTGCTCTTTTTCTAAGTTTCTTTACGTGGTAGCTGAGATTATTGATTTGAACATTTCTTTTCTAATATAGGCATTTAGTACCAAAATTTTGGCGTTCTTCTCTGTACTGCTCTTCTCCCTGGAATTTTACTGTATAAACTCTAGCTGCCTTGGTCTCCTCCTGGACCCTCAGCTCTGTCTTCTCAACTTATGGACTTTGCTGGTCTTTTCCTAGCTTACCCCTCCCTCCCCTCCTTGTGCCATGGCCTGTAAATTATCTCAAAACAATAGAAGTTGGGGCAGTCATAGGGCTCACCTTGTTTTTTCCCATCTTTCAGGAATCACTGTCCATTGCCTGATGTCCTATGTCTTGAAAACCATTTTTTTAATATCTTGTATGTGGGTTTTTGTTTTTTTGGAGGGAGGAAAGGAGTAAAAAGAAAGCAGGCAGGAGTTAAATTCAGTTCATGTTATTCCATCTTGGGTGAAAGGAAAAATTTCCGTCAGTTGAATATTTGAATATTTATTAAGCTTCTGATATATCCCAGACACTGTGCTAGGAACATGAAGTATAATAGTGAGCAATCTTTACAAGGGATGAATAAATAGTATCTACCTCATTGGGTTGTTGAGGTAGATACTATTTAATGAATTTAACGAGCTGATGCATAAAAATACGATTACATTTAGATTTTGGAAGAGTTGTAGAAGATAGGTCAAAAGGAGACAAAACTGGAGGTTAGAAGAATGGTTTGCTAACTATTGGAGTAATTCACATAAGAATTATATGTGATGCAGTCTAGAGTAGGGAAATGAGGTAGTAGAGCACTAACCCGTTAAGAGAAATTTAAAAAGTAGAATTAATGGTAACTGATTATTGAGTGGATTTCAGAAGTTAAAGTTAACTCCAGCTTGCACGCTTGTAAAATTTAGTATTTGGTAATAATGCAGTTCACTGAAATAAGACATAGCAACACAGAAAAAACAGTAGAGTGGAGATATTAATGAGTTCTCCAATGGGCAAAGTAACTTGGAAGTGGTTGCATGACTTTTATGTGGAGATATCTAGAAAGAGATCGAGAAGACAGTTGGACATATGTTTCTGGATATATGGAGAGTGTTTAGATTTTTAAACAAGATTTGGGCGTCCTTAGTAACAGTTAGCTAGTTTTTTAAGCCATTGGAACAAGTGAGATCACACAGAGTCTGTAGTGTGGGACAGAATGCTGAGGAATGCCAATATTTAAGGAATTGGTAGAAGAAGAACCCTCAAAAGAGACTAAGAAGGAGTAGGCAGAGAGATATGAGAGAAACCAGGAGAATGTATTGAGGCAGCATTGAAGGTCCTGTTGATGTTGTTAACCATGAATTAATAGTATATGGGTTTTTTTTCATGCAATACTTGATATTTGGTATTTGGAATCTAACAGTCAGTTGGATTGAGGCAAGACTGAATTTTTAACAAATGGGTGTGACTAAAAATAGTGGGACGAGATTTTAAGTATTGAGAGTCATGTTGATGGATAATGGAGAGAGAAGAAATTGAAGACAAGAGGGTACTGATAAAGTAAAAGAATGTAGAGAAGGCTTTATAAACTGGAGATTCAGTAATCTCCTAGTCTTCAAAAATAAGCACTAACTAGTTGTTGATAGATTATAGCACAAGTAGAAGGTGGTAAACCTGGATAATGATACTCTTAAAGGAGTAGGAGAGTTGAGGAGCATCATTGCAAATTAATAAAAATGATTTCTGTCTCTTAACCTTGAGATAGGTAGGGTGTTGGAGATAAATCGGCCCTTATTTAATAGAGCTCCATGGAAAGCCAGGTATCAATTAAGATAAGAAATAAATGATACATTTAGTGAAGACATTGGAACCTGTAGAATGATTTGTTCAGCCAAATCCAGGGATTTCAGAAATTACAGGGAAATGTTGAGGTGAGAGACTTCTATCGTAAGAATATACTATACATATAGAGTAATAATTTTAAGTTTTAGATAGCTCCTTAACTTGGTGTTTAAACTGTGTAAAAGTCTGAAATAGAATATTTATATATCTATATTTGATCACATCTTGCTTGATTTCAAGAAATAGTAGATGTAAATTAGGTGTAAGTCTATATTACGAATAGTTTGTTTTTGAAAGAGTTCACTAAATATCTCTAGAGCATTAAATGATAATATTTATTATTTTTATGTCCAAGAGAGAATTATTTTTTTATTGAAGAAATAGGTAAAATGGTATTAGGATGAGCATAATAGATTTCTGACAATATGGCCACCCAAAAATAACTACTATTAATAATTTGCTATGTTTATTCTGTTTCATTATGTCTGCACGTATATTTAAGTAAAATAAGAATTATACTGTATATTTTAGATTGGAAATTCCTTTTTTCTGTTAGCAATATGCTGTAAATATTTTCCATGTTGTGTTGAGCACGTAATTTTTTCTAAATATCTCATTCTATAGTCCTTTAAAAATCCATTTTCCTGTTAGAAATTTAAGTTGATTCTGTTTTTTTGCTGTTATAAATAACACTATAATGATGATTGATATCTTTGTTCATCAATACTTATGTGATTTTTCTACTCATTTCTTTAGGATAATTCATTTCCTTTGGATGAATTCTTAGAAATAGAATTACTCAGTTATAGAGTATAACCAATTTTTCCCTGAAATAATCGACATTTGAAAATTCAGTTTAGTTACAGCTTTGTTGAAAGCACATAAAGACAAATAAGTATTTCATATTTGTGACCACCTGTATTGAAATCATTTTGTTGCAAAGCTGTTAATTGCAATATTAAATTTTTAAAAGGTATTTACAATACTTCTCTAAGGAAAGTTGTAAAACTTAACCAAGGGCCGGAAAGAAATCTTGAATAAATGTAGAGAGAATATTTTCCTGGACATAATGTTATGAAGATGTCAGTTTCTTATAAATTAATTTATATATTTAATGCAATCTCAATAAAAATCACAACAGTTCTCTTTAAAGCCTTTGAAAATTATCGTAAAGTCTTTCTGGAAATATAAATAGGGGACAAGATGTATCAAAGATTTTTTTTGAAAGAAAAAATTGAGATATGGGGCATGGGAAAATCATAACAACATTAGAGGTACTACTAAAATATATTAAATTGCATTAAATACAACTAAAATGTATTATAAAACTAAAATAATTAAAATAGTGAAACAGAATAGAAAGCTCAGCAGTTGACTGTGTGTGTGTGTGTCCTCATTATTCATATATATACATATATATACAGTCAATCCTCATTATTCACAGATTCCATATTTGTGAATTTGCCTACTCCCTAAAACTTATTTGTAACCCCAGAATCTACTAATGGTACTTTTGCAGTCGTTTGTGGTCATGTGCAGAGCTGCAAGAAATTTGGGTCTCCCAAAGCTTATGTTTCCAGCAGAGGTATAAAACAAAGTGATGCTCTGCCTTCTTATTTCATCTTTCATACTGTAAACAAGTATCTTTTTGGAAAGATCTGCCCTGAGCTAACATCTGTTGCCAATCTTCCTCTTTTTCTTTTCCTCCCAAGCCCCAGTGTATGGTTGTATATCCTAGTTGTAAGTCCTTCTTGTTCTTCTATGTGAGCCGCTGTCGCAGCATGGCAACTGACAGATGAGTAGTGTGGTTCCGCACCTGGGAACCGAACCCAGGCTGCCAAGGCGGTGAGAGTGCTGAACTTTAACCACTAGGCCATCAGGGCTGGCTCTAAACAAGTGTCGTTTTTGCATGCCATGTTTTTTGCATTTTGGGGCTTTTTGTTGGTGATTTCACTGTTTAGAATGGCTCCCAAGCATTGTGCCAGTTACAACCATAAAAAAAACTAAAAGCAGTGAATTGTATGGTATGTGAATTATCTCAACACTATTAAAAAAACTAAAGGCAAATAACATATAAATATCAGTAATAGGGAAGAGAAGAACTTTCTAATTTAAGCACTGAAGAAAGAAGAAAAGTGGTAACGAAAAAATATTGATTGGCTTTGACTGAGAATATACGTTTCTGAATGTTAATTACCAGGACAAAATTACAAGGGAACTAGTATATGGGGTAATTAACAACATCTTAAAAGATAAAAATCCTTAAATATTTTAAACCAGTAAGAAAAAGGTAATTCGAAAAATTGGGGAAGAACATGACTAGATGATTCTTTATAGAAACAATGATAGCCAATAAACAGCTAAGAGAAACATTCAACCTCATTAGTAATCAAAGGAATAAAAATTAATACACTGAAATACTGTTGTTTGCCCATTAAATTTGGCAAATATTAATAATCAGTATATCTCAATCAGGGTACAAGGAGATGGATGCTCTCATATGTTGTTTATATATTGATCCAGTTTCTTGAATGCAATTTAGCAAATAATTGTACAGTACATGGTATATTGCAATCATCTGAGCCAAGTCCTGGCAGTACAGCAAAGAATAAGGTAAACATAGTGCCTGCCCTCATGAAGCTTTCATTCTAATTGAAACTATAAATGAGACACTAAACTATTAAAATACAGTATATTAAATAGAATGATTGAAAAAGTTCAAGGTACTTGTAGTAGCACATAGGAAAGGTATCTACCCCAGGTATTAGGTAGTATTGATAAGGAAAATTTTGCCAGAGGAAGTAATCTTTTGACACAGCAGTTAATATTTCTAGCAATTTGTCCAGAGGAAGAAATTTACTCAAAGATATATATACAAAGATAATGATGCAAGTATTATCTATTACAGTGAAGAATTAAAAACAACGTAACTTTTTAACAATAGAAGGTTGGTTAAATGACTTATAGTATAGCCATATATTGTAATATGTACCCATTAAAATTGTGTATGTAATATGCCCTATCAGGCTTTTAGATTCCTTATTACCATTAAGTGGAGATTGCAAGCATGCATGTATGATAAGTATAGTGTCACTCGATAGTCGATTCATAAAATGGTATGATATTAGGCATTCTGCGAGATCCCTGATGACTCCCGTATTTCTCTCCAGTTGAGTAGGTGATACCTAAAATTCTACAGTCATAGCTTCATACCCTGCTTGAAGGATTTGGGATTTGCTGCCAATTAAAATATAAGTACATTATTTAGGAGTACCACTTTGAGATTGTCATTTGAAGGTGCATTGGGAGGCTTCTGTGGTCACATTGTCACTTGAAAGGGTTCAGTAACCTACTACGTTTTTCATCATTCCTGAGCATCCGTCCTACCCTTATAAGTACTTGGAAAGGCAAATATGGTTCAGCTTAATGTGAAATTGTCCATATTCAACTATTTCTGATCCACAGAAATAGAAATTTCACATGGTGCAACTTTGTTTCTTATAAAGTAAGGGGGTATATGATATTCTGCTACATATCTAAATCAGTAAATTAAAGTGGTGTTTAATGAGGTCTTATATAATGCATATTTACAGATTATATAGAGACAATTCTCATTATAGGGGTTTACTATCCAACTTGTATATTTTTGGCACTTTTTAACGTGTTGCAACATTTTATTTTAAAAACTCATTTCTCTACAATATGGAAATCTTTAGCTCAGAGAAATTCACCTACATTTCTAGTGGGATGGAACATCTCTCATTTTGACATAGAAAGCCTGATAGATTTTATTTTTCTCGTCAGACACAAAAAATTATTGATTTCTACATTTGTATATAAAATGATAAATTTAATTTTTTTTTACTATCTGACCCTATATGAAACAATTCAAAACAATTTTACTTCTACTTATAGGACTCAATTTATTAATGATGCATATCAGGAGGTACTGGATCTACAACTGCCATTAAATCTTGAGGTGATTGTTGAGCGAAATTTATCCTGGGAGTGGTACCAGGAAGTTCCTTGTTTTAATGTAAATGCTCAGCTAAAACCCATGGAGGTAACATTTTGGATGGTTATTGATTTCTGTTTTGTTGGTTAAAAAATATTGCATGGGGGCATAAGACATTTGGGGTGTAGAAATTATATATTAATCACCTTGGTCTGAAGTGAAATAGTAGCTATATTAATCTAGAATTCATTGAATGTTCTCCATTCATTCAACAAATATTTGAGTGCGTACTGGGTGTTAGGCCCTATGCTACATATTGGAGATACATTGGTAAAGAAGCTATGACATTGTTTCTGGCTTCATGGAACTTACCAGTCTAATACAGGGGTTGATGGTGGTGGTGGGCTAGAGGCATGGTAGTTAGACAGTAAAAGAGTACACAGGCACATAGTTAAAATAGTTATAAATTGTGGTAAATTCCATGGAGGAAACAAATATTAGACATAGTGCTGTAAGTAGTCAGTTGGATATATTAGTATAGAACTTAGTGGAGAGGTCTAGGCTGGAAATAATTTGGAAGTAATCAGCATATAGATGGTATTTAAAGCCATGGGAATTTATGAAATAACCTAGAGAAGGTCCTAGAAGAATAGAGAAGTTGAAGATGAAAATGGAAAATGAGTCAGTACCTTAGGCATAAATTTACCCCCTTGTGGGTTGATCCTGCTTCACAGATCTCTAATGTAAGTATCCACAGTTCATATTTTTCCTTCTTGACTGAATGAAGTCAAAACTGTATCACATGCTCTGTTGAAGTGACAGCAACATATACTGTGTCTGAAGGTTTCTTGAGGAAACCTACTTAACAAATTCTCTTCCCTCCTTCACCCCCAGTTTCCCTTTTTATTTCTCCCTATAAAAATTGTACTTAAAAAGGGAAAACCATAATTTTAAAGAGTTCACATTTTTAACTCAAAAGTTTATTTAGAATTTAAAACGTGATGATCTCAACTGAAAATCTTCAAGCTCTTAGTGTATAAGATCATATGGGCTCCTTATAAATGGAAAGTATCTTCTTAAGATAAATAATTGAAGTCTTTTTATTTTGGTAAGACAACAGATAGAAACTTATAAAACATAAGTAACATATTCTACCCAGCATGCTGGGCAAATCCACTCCCCACTGGGCCCAGTCATTAGGCAGTTGTGTGTGGAGCGGCAGGGACACAATTTTCATTCACTCTTCTCCAAGGGGAATCTGTGTAACATGTTCAGGTGATGTTGCAGACCACTTGCAAATGCCCACCTGCCTTCTGGGGCAGATGAAATTGAGTCTTCCTCTACCCTGATCCACCTGAATAGTTAGCAGCTATTGCAGCGCACCCCAGGTCCACATATTTGACCCCTCCTGGACCTCATCCTTTGCATCAGGGAGAGACTTGAATCAGTTACTCTAATGCATCCAGACTAAGTGCTGCATCTTGTGATTTCTGACTTGTTAGACATTTAGGGGTAGCACACACAGCCTGTCCTGACATGTGGGAGCCACAGATCAACAGTCCTGGATCCTTATAGTTCTTCCCACTTCCTACACTAAGCAGGAGTGGAGAGTGATGATTAATATCAGTATTTGAGGGGCATTCAATATACACGTACTAATTGAAAGATGTGGTTTAGAAGTTGTAATATTTAATTTCAGTTCATTAATTGATATAAACATACTATTTTTGTACTACGCTGTTGCATAATAATCACAAAATAAGTGTCATGAATAAATGAAAATTAAAAACAAAACCACATAAGTAGCATGAATAAGGTACACATGGACTTAATCTTAAAACACTAGTATATCACCTTTGAAATGCACTCAAAGGAAGCCAGGTGCAAATAAAACTGTTAAATTTTGTGAGATTAAAGTTATCCGCTTTTAGTTATCCCCTTTAATTAACAAATCAATTTAAAACTCATAGGGTTTTGTTTTGTTTTTGTCGTTTTTTTTTTGGTGAGGAAGATCAGTCCTGAGCTAACATCAGATGCCAGTCCTCCTCTTTTTTGCCAAGGAAGATTGGCGCTGGGCTAACATCTGTGCCCATCTTCCTCTACTTTATATGGGATGCTGCCACAGCACGGCTTGACAAGCGGTGCATTGGTGCATACCCAGGATCCAAACCTGTGAACCCCGGGCCGCCGCAGCGGAGCGCACACACTTAACCGCTACGCCACCGGGCCAACCCCGAAAAACTCATAGGGTTTTTTTGTTTGCTTTTCTGTTGTTGTTGTTGTTTACATAATTGCTATTGTGTTAGAGTTCTCCAGAGAAACAGAATCAATAGAATGTGTGTGTGTGTGTATACACTTAGTCTGGATGCATTAGATTGACTTCTTGAGGCCTTGATTTTAGCTTCTCCCTGAGGCTGAGGATGAGGTCCAGGAGGAGTCAAATATGTGGTGCATCCGTTTCCTGTGTCTCTCCCACCTCCTTCCCAGCCTGCAACAGCTGTTAACTAATCAGGTGGATTATGGTAGAGGAAGACCCAATTTCATCCTGGTGGATCTGCCCCAGAAGGCAGCTGGGCATTTGTAGATGATCTGCAGCATCATAGATATATATATAGATATATATATATATATAATATATCATATATAACATCTAGAATAATATTTGAGCAATTATCTAGATACTATGACCCAGCCAAGTTGACATAAAACTGACCATCACAGCTTTCAAGATAGGTCTTACGCTGGTGATTTTAGGCTCAATTCACAACACAAGGGGTTTCAAGTTAGTGCTTTGAGTTCTTTAAGTAAGTGGACTTAAGCATGATACTTAACCATTTAAGCCTCAGCTTCTTATAAAATCAGGATTATTATCTTTACACCTGGGATTTTTGTGAGGTTAAAATAATTCATGTAAAACACATTGTGAACTATTTTTTATTATACGAATGTATTATTTTTGATTATTCTATATTTGTAAATTGAGGTGCTTGCTAACCAAAAAAATACAAAGTAGCTAAATGAATACTTAAAGATGAAAGTTCATTTTAAAGGTTTAAAATTACTACGTTAATTGGTACATTCATAACAAAAAAGTTCATGATTCATAGCTTCATTCGTATTGACATCTCATTTGGTTCTGTATTTCACAAAGTACTAAAGATCACATGGTCATTTAAAAAACTGAGTATTCAGTTAGTAGAAATATCTAATGAGTTAAAAAATTGATTTTGTAGAGGATTGGAATAAAACAATCGTTTTTCTTATATGAGAATTTTAACTACATGAAATAATGTTAAAATATGCAAATTTTATTTTATTTTTTTACAGTTCATCCTTAGTCAAGAAGATATAACAACTATTTTTAAAACATTGTATGGCAATATATGGTATGAAGAAGGTGATAGTGCCTCACCTGTAGGAATAAAAGATCAGGGTAGTGTTACTAGTGGAGTTACTTCATATCATTCAGGAGGTATGTTCTTAACTTTAAATTAGTTCCTTCTTTCCTCCCACCCCCTCTGTCTTTCTTCTTTCCTTCCATTCTCTAGTTCTAGTTTGGGTAAAATAAGATTTTTAAATCTTTTCTAATTAGCTAGTGCCATTCAGGTATCTCTAAATTGTCTGTTATTAGTCATTCTGTTGATTTTTTTTCTTTGAATTAAAATTCCTAGTCCTGTTGTGACAAAATTCCTAAGTATTATTCTTGTTATCCCAACTTCCCTAAAGCTCCTTATTTTCAATTTTTCTCCCCATCCCCCCTCTTCTCCCTTATTCCTAGTGCAACATATATCTCAGATGGAATATGTATTTTATATTGATATTAGGAGTATCAAAATATTAGTGGTATCAAGAGAAGATGATCATTAGTAAATGATAGATTTCAACAAATATTTGGAAGATAGATGGATGGAGCAGGGGAGAGGGAACCATAACTCAGAACGAGGCTGCATCCAGTGTTGGATTTAATGTGCTATGTGGGACCTGACTTGGTTCTAAGTTCAACACCAGCATATACAGAGAACTGGGTCAATTAGGGCTGCTGGGATGATTTTGCTTCACAAGAATAAAGTTCTACTCATTCTGGCATTTTGGGGGATCCCCAAACCTACCTACCTCAAAGTGAAACCTGCTAGTCCACAAGACCCACTCTTGCAAAGCCCTGAGATGTTACACAGCTTTTCCAGTCAGAGAGAATCCTAAAACAGAAACAACCCTACGTTTATAACGTTACAGGAAACCCCATCCTTACTAGCTAGAATAACCAACCCAGTCCTTTATTGTTAAATATTAATGGTCAGATATGAAGAAACACACAAGAATCAAGGCATGAAAGAAACCAAGATAAACAGAATAGTGTTTCCTGAACGAAATAGAAGTAATTGAGGTAACGGAGGAGAATGTAAACAAACAGAAAACGAACTCTAATTCATAATCAGAGAATTTTGAGAATATAAGAACTGAATCCTGCCATCATTACTTTTCACTCTCCCAAGATAAGAAAGAGTTCTTGGAAACCAAAAATATGATTTCTGAAATCTTGAAACAAAACAAATGCACTAAGCGTGGGGTTAGAATGTAAGTACTGAGTTGGAATGTATTTTGCTATAATCTCTCATGACACAGAGGGAAAAAAAGCACAGAGATGTAAAATGAGATAAAACTTAGGAGTGATAGAGCTTTAGTTCAAAAGGTCCAATTTCAGAATAATAAATATTTTAGGAGAAAAAACGGAGAAAATGGGAGAGAAGACTTGAAGAACACTCTCCAGAACTAACTAAATATTGGAACAAATTCTTGGATGTAAAGAATCTACCAAGTTTCAAGCAGATTAGGTAAAGATTCCTCATGCAAACACATTTTCATGAAATGTCAGAACAACAAATGTCAAAAAAAAAAGAAACAGGCTGCCTGTTAGGGACTTGGAAAAAAAGTGATTGTAATCACATTTATCACCAACAAAACTGGATGGGATAGGATGGATAGATGATAAAAGACAATGAAGCAATATAGTCAGATTTCTAAGGAAAATGATTTTGAAGTTAGGATTCTATATATGGCCAAACCATCATCTAAATGTGAAAGCACAATAATTGTCAGATTTTGTGATTCAAAGTTTACTTCCTTTATACCCATTCCTAAAGAAATTAGTTTGAAAATGTATTCTAGCAAAATAAACAAGGAATCCAGGAAAGAGGGAAACATAAGATCCAAAAACAATGGGCCTACCCAGGAGTGCACTGGAAAGGAATCCCAAAATTGTCTGTGTTACTGGGCTAGAAAGTACTTAGTTTTCATTAAAGGGGGATTCAGAATGCTTTAAGAAAAAAAAAGTAGAAGAATGTCTTAAGAAAAATAGAATAAATTCCATATACTATGTAGAGTGAGGAGTTAACTAACTATATGAAGAGGAAGACATGTTTTCTGTTCCTTAGAAGGGAGAAATCTCTACTATATATTCTGGTACAGAAGTGAAGTGAACTAAATTTTGCATGATTTTGATCCATTGTTAGAATGTGAGAAGAGATTCTCTCTTCTTTTTTGAGAGAGGCACTAGTCGTGATGTTGTAGCAGCAGAGGAAGTATTATAATAAAGTATTAGTCTCTTCATTGAAAATCATTACATAGCCATAGTTAAACAGCACATAGAAGACTTACTATGTAAATGGGAATGTAAATGTTATTAACCATGTTAACATAGAAGTGAAGACATAACTGACCAAAGCTGGAAAGAGGAAAATGAAACAGAGGAAATGGTAAGGACTTACATAGTGGGGAGTATAAAGATAATATCTAAAATGGATAGAACAAAAAATAGACATTTAAATATATATTATTATTTTAATCATTTTCTTCTGGGAATGTTTACACATACACCAATGTAGAAGGAATGAGGTAATGAACCCACATGTACCCATCACCCAATTTCAACAATTAGTATCATGTGGCTGCTTTTATTACTATTATAACTCCTCTCTTTCTTCCCCCTACTCCCACCCCACTAGATTATTTTAAAGCAAATTTCGGATGTTATACCTTTAATTGCTGTTTATCTGTAAGCAGTAGGAACTTTACTTTTTTTAAATTTTTATTTATTTATTTATTTTTTTTTTCCCCTCAAAGCCCCAGTAGATAGTTGTATGTCATAGTTGCACAGCCTTCTAGTTGCTGTATGTGGGACGCGACCCCAGCATGGCCGGAGAAGCGGTGCATCAGTGCGCGCCCAGGATCCGAACCCGGACCGCCAGCAGCGGAGCGCACGCACCTAACTGCTAAGCCACGGGGCCGGCCCAGAACGTTACTTTTCTAAAGATAGTCATGGTAACATTATCTTCCCTAAAAAATTAGCAATACTTCCTTTAAGCCATACGAATATCCATCTAGGCTTCATATTTCTCCTGATTGTCTCATAAATATTTCTTTACAAATTTTTTTAAAAATAATGATAAAGGGATGAATTCATGAAAAAGATAAAATAAATTTAAATGTTTATGTACCTAATAACAGAGCTTTAAAATATACGCATCAAAAATTGATAGAACTAAAGGAGGAAATACGCATATACAGAATCATAGTTGGAGATTTAGCACACCACTGTTAGTAATTGATAGAATATTTACCAAAAAATCAGAATATAGAATATTTGAACATTATTAACAAACTTGACCTAATTGACCTTACTATATAGTGCTAAACTCAACAATTGCAGAATACTTTTTTTTTAAGGATTCCTAGAATATTGGCAAAGATAGACCATTTTGGGGGCCATAAAGTTTCCTGACCACATGGAATTAAATTAGAAATCAGTAGCAATTAGATGTCAAAAAAGCTTGAAGTATTTGGACATTAAATAATCTCTAAATAACCCATGGGTCAAAAAAGAAAAGACAAGGGAAATTAGAAAATTGTTTAAACTGAAAGATAATGAACATAAAGCATAACAAAATTTGTAGGATACAACTGAAGCATTGCTGAAAGAAATTTGTAGCTGTAAAGCATTATATTAGGAAAGAACAAGAGTTTAAAATCAAAGATCAAATCTTTTACCTCAAGAAACTAGAAAAAGAAGAGCAAATTAAAGTAAATAAAAAGAAGGCAGTAATAGGGGCCAGCCTGGTGGCATAGCAATTAAGTTTGTGTGTCCCGCTTCAGTGGCCTGGGGTTCACAGGTTCGGATCTCGAGCATGGACCTATGCACTGCTTATCAAGCCATGCTGTGGCAGCGTCCCATATAAACTAGAGGAAGATGGGCACGGATGTTAGCCCAGGGCTAATCTTCCTCAGCAAAAAAGAGGAGGATTGGCAACAGATGTTAGCTCAGTGCTAATCTTCCTCAAAAAAAAAAAAGGCAGTAATACAGATAAAAGGTAGTAATCAATGAAAGAAACAGATAATAGAGAATATTAACGTAGTCAAAAATTGTTTTCATTGGAAAGACCAATGAAATTGATAAACCCTTAGCAAGACTGATGAGAGAGAGAAAACAAATTACCAATATCAGAACTAAATAGATTACTACAGATCACTACCAGGATAATAAGGGAATATTATGAATAATTTTGTGACAATGAGTTCTACAACTTGTATGAAATGTACAAATTTTTTGGAAAACACAACTTGCCAAAACTGACATAAGAAGAAATAGAAAATACAAAATCTGAGTAGCTCTGTATCTTAAAGGAATTGAATTTCTCTGGTAAATTTTATTAAATATTTAAGTAAGAAATAATACCAGTGTTATACAAACTCTTTTGGAAAATAGAAGACACCAGTAGATCAACTGATTGCAACGAAGACTAGTCAACAGGGAAGGGGATAAACTTTTTAACAAATGGTAGTGTCACAACTAGATAAATGTGGGAAAAATTGAACCTTGTCCCTTCATACCATACACAAAAATTAATTCGAGTTGAATGAAAGACATATATTTGAAAGCTAAAACTTTTAAGCTTCTAGAAGAAAACGTGGAAGAATTTCTTCATGATCGTGGCATAGCCAAAGATTTCTTAGGTAGAAAAAAAAGTATTAATCGTAAAAGAAAAGCTTTATAAAGCAGATTTCATCAAAATTTTAAACTTCTGCTCATCAAAAGATAGTATCAAGATGGTGCAAAGTCAGGCCTCAGACTGGGACACATATTCATGATACATGTTTCTGACCTTATTCTCATAGCTAGAAAACCTGAGAACTCCTTGAAATTAATAGCAACTTTAAAAAAAAAAAATAATGACCAAAGGATTTGGATACTTGGGAAAGGATAATATGTTAAATGGACAGTAAGCACACGAAAAGATACTAATATAGTTATTTATCAGGAAATCTTCAGTTTACCAGACTAGTTAAATTTTAAAAGACTGACACCACCAAATGCTGACGAGAATGTGAAACAACTGAAACTCTCATATGTTGCTCTTAGGAATGTGAAATACTACTTTGACAAAGAGTTTGGCAGTTCACATATACCTACCCTATAACAAGCAATTCTAGACCTAAGTATTTACCCCTGCCGCACTCTAAAATAAGAGCATACGTACACAAAATGACTTATTTAGGAATATTTATAGTGGATTTATTCCTAATAGCCCAAATCTAGAAACAGCTCATATGTTCATCAATATTAGAATAGATACACTGTTTATTTTCATACTATGTATTTTTATAGAATGCATTTTCATAAAGTACATAAGGAAGAATGAATTACACATGCAACAACGTGGATGAATCTCAGAAAGAGGCCAAATTTGAAAGAGTACAATATATATTACTCCATTTATATGGAATTTAAAACAAACAAAACTAATCTATGGTGATTGATATTAGAATGGCAGGGAGGTTGGGGATTGGCTGGAAAGGGGAACAAGGGAACTTTCTGGAATGATGTAAATATTCAGTATCTTAATTGGAGTGTTGGCGACATGGGTGTATACATTTATCAAATCTCATTAAATTTTTCAGATAAGATCTGCATATTTCACTGATGTAAATTTTACGTCAATTAAAAATAAGTTAATTGGCGTGGTGTTACTTGTCTCTGGAGTTGGGTAGAATGAGAATTAGGACTTGCTGTGTTTGTGTTATAAGCCCATTTAATATATATCGTACATATAATACTTTGACTCAAAATGTAAAATGTAGAAAAGAATGAATTTTGGATCCTTCTGTTTAATAAGATAATTTTTTAAATGTCATCTAAAATATCTTGTTTGGTTTAGTTTTTTTAAAGTAAAATTTGAGTACTCAACTATGTCCCAGGTACCCTAGTATACATTTTATACATGCTATTTTACTTAACCCCCAAAACAAACCCAGTGGTTAGTTCTATTATTTCCATTTTACAAAAATGGAAACAGAAGCATCAGCTGTTTAATTTTCTCAAGTTATCGTGGAAAGAATCCTAAGCCAGGAGTTACTGAGCTCAACATCTAAATCTTCTAATCTTTTTAATTTTTTTGAATAACAGTATACTATATCCATTTAATTAATAATTCTGTTAAATCTATTTCACTGGTGTTTTAATGAGTTCTACCTTTGCTGACTATTTTCTTTTATTCAATAACTTTAATTTTTCCAAGGAACAACTGTAGTGACAGCTGCTGTGGTAGAAGTACATTCACGTGCCTCTCAAGTTAAGACAACACTAAATTTGAGTTTCAAAACTGATTATCTCACCATGGTACTGTATAGTCCAGGTCCTGAACAGGTAAGTTGAAGAAGAAAATATATTTTTCACTTGATGAAAATTATATAGGTCAATGTTTATTAAAATAATAATTGTTAATATTTCATGTATATTTTGGAGTATCTGTTCCTCTGAGAAAAATTACTTACCTTTTCACTTTAATAATAAAATAATTTTAACCATTTCCCTTTAAAATGAGTTATCTTTCCTATAGCTAGTGATGTGAAAAATAAATTTTTTAATTAGAGTTAATATTTTTTTGGCCTTTCATTAATGAACCCTTTGGAGAATGTGGTAGGTCGTATCTTAAAATATGCTTTAAACTTATGTTTTTGCATAAAATTTGTATTGATTTCCTCTTCCACAGACTTCCTTTATAGACGTTCGTGATCCTTCTCTGGAACTTGCCGAATTTAAGTTGGAGAATATTATAAGTACTTTAAAAATGTATACAGATGACTCAACATTTTCTTCCTTCTCATTAAAAAACTGTATTTTGGATGATAAAAGGCCTCATGTCAAGAAGGCAACTCCTAGGTAATAGTGTTCTCAGTTTTTACTTGAGAAATGGTTGATATATTTTATAAAACTTATTTCCAAAGTTGCGTGTTCATTTTCTGGGTACATCCTAAGATCTTTAGAGCTTCAGTTCAACTGAGTCATGGTTCTCAGTCAACATTTAAAATATCCTGGTTCAGTTATGTACTATTCTTGCTGGATGGTTGATAGATTGGTTAAATAGAAATAATCAGTGCAATTATATTGGTTTTTAAATTAATCTACAATATCTAAATTATTATTAATCCATGCAGATTTTAATGGGAAATACATGAAAAATTCAGAAGAAAAAATATGCTGAGATTAAAATTCTGATAATTTCTTAATGATACACTTCCTAATTTATGAATCAGTTGTGCTCCAGAAGTTTTTAAGTCTGTTATTTGGAGTACTTTGTGATCTTCCTAGGAGAAATGACTTCAGAATGCTGGTTTGCTGTTAGTGAAAGGGATAACAAGTCTTTGAGTTTTATTAGCGTGTTTGGTTGTTTATAAGATAGTAATAGTTGTTATTATTGTGTTTTTCAGAATGATAGGACTGACAGTTGGATTTGACAAAAAGGACATGATGGATGTAAGGTATAGGAGAGTCAGAGATGGTTGGGTGACTGATTTAGTCCTTCAAGAGATGTATATTTGTGCAAGTGTGGAATTTCTGCTGACAGTTGCAAATGTCTTTCTTGAGGCTTACACCACAAGCACTGCTGTAGAAACCAATGTTCAAACATGGACTGCTAAGGAAGAAGGTTAGTTATTGGGTAAAATATGTAATATCTATGTTATTGAAGTGTTATAATAGCACTTACCTTGATTAGCCTTCTTGATGATGAGGTTAAGTAAATTAATAAATTAAAATCTTTATTTTTCACACGTAAGACAAAAATTTAAATGTGTTTTCTGGTAAGATGTGCAGTTTGCATATTTTTTAAGATGTGAATATATATTGGGTTCAAAAATTATGAGACCTATATTATAATAAGTAATTGTACTTCTCTGCAGACAGCAATTTGAATTTGTTGGAAGAAAACAAGCTGGAGGAATAATGAACTGACCACTTCTTTTCATAATTAAAGATAGTATTTTAACTTAAAGTACTCTTTCATTTTTGTTATGTTTATAGTTTCTTACTATCTTTTACATATTTCATTCACTGTGGTATAGTAGAAAGAGTGTCAAGTTGAGAATTGGAAACTAGATTAGTTTCCAGCTCTGCCATTAAATAGTGGAGATTTTTTCCCACATATTAAAATGTTCTTATGGCTATAGCTTCTTCAAATCTAATAGTGAAAGAGTTGCAGTAGATTCCTTTGAGATCTGAGATTCTTTTATTTTACTTTTTACTTAAAATGAAAATAATATTTTCCCATATATAATAAATTATTCACTAATATGTATAACAGATTTATAAATATTTTAAAACATTATTTTTATTTCTTATTTTAGTACCTATACAGGAATCAGTGAAGTGGGAAATTAATATTCTTATTAAAAATCCTGAAATTGTGTTTGTGGCTGATATGACAAGAAATGATGCTCCTGCCTTAGTCATTACAACGCAATGTGAAATTTGTTGGCTAGGTGACCTTGAAAGCAATACAATGACTGCTGCCATTAAAGATCTCCAAGTGAGAGCATGCCCATTTCTTCCAGTAAAGAGAAAAGGCAAAATCACTACTGTGAGTTTACTGTTTAATTATTTGTAAATAATTAATTGTAAACTATTTTGGATTTAGTATATAGCACTTTAAGAAACTACCTGCATACTTTCTAACCTTTCTCTGTAAAATACCTTTCTTTCTGCTTGGAGAACCTAATCTAGATTATTAATACACCAGCTTTGAAACTCTTTCATTCTTCCAGTTGCTCCTCATTGTCTTATGTGTTTGTGGGAATAGTCCTACTAAGAAGTAGCTTTCATCTTGACACTTCTCTATTAAGACCTTACTCTGACTTTCTAACCATGTCAGTGCCACACTGCTCTTAGGCCTTGAAGACTTTCTACCAGCTGTTTGCTATGTTGTTTCAGTTTTATTATTTTTAATTTTTTTCTCCCATCTGAACATTTCTGCTCTGATATATTTTTTTGCTTTTCTCCATGTGACTTATTTGAAGCTTCAGCCATTTGCTTTGACATACTTTACATTTGTATTTTACTCTCTGGTAACCTCTTGGCCTTCCTCCTTTTCATAATTCTGACTAAAATTCATTTCTTCCAAGATGTCTTTTTCAAGTTAACTATGTGACTGTTAGTACTCTTATAAAACACTTATAAAAATGTTTAGGCTTCTACATGAGTAATAGAAACATAAATGTTCTAAATATTATCAACATAGAAATATAAACTTTTTACTGTTCTTGTATTCATTAACATAAATGTTACAACATACATCCTAAACTTAGTAAAGTCTAATATATAAATATTTACCACTTTTAAAGCTTTTTCATTATTATTGTTTGTGCCATCGAGTCGATTCCGACTCCTAGCAACCCTGTGTACAGCAGAGCAGACCCCTGCCCAGTCTTTTTGTACCATCCTCTCACCTTCCAGCACTATATCAGTCAGTGCTCCACTGCTATTTATAGGGTTTTCATGGTCAATTTTTTTCTGAAATGGGTGGCCAGGTCCTTCTTCATAGTCTCTCTTAGTCTGGAAGCTCTGCTGAAACCTGACTATGGGTGACCCTGCTGGTATTTGAAATACCATTGGCATACCTTTCAGCATCACAGCAACATGCAGCCACCACAATATGACAACAACAGATCAGAAACAAACCTAGGCCATGGCCGTGAGAGTGTCAAGTCTTAACCACTAGACCACCAGGGCTGGCTTTTGCTTTAAATCCTCTTTTAACCTTTTATAATAATATTGTCATACATTTTAATTCAACGTATATTTAGAATCCACAGGATTTTTTTGTTGTTGTTGTAGACAGTATTCATTTATATTTACCCACATATAATCTCTTTCTATTATTTTTCATTTCTTCCTGCATCTCCATGTTTCCATCTGGGATCATTTTCTTTCTTCTGAAGAGCTCCTTTTAGTATTTATTTTTAATGTTGTCTCTTGGTGACAGATATTCTCAATTTTGTTTGTGTGGAAATGTTTTTATTTTGCTTTTTCTTTAAGGATAATTTTATTGGATATAAAGTTTTAAATTGGTAGCTATTTATATTCAAGACTTTGATGATATGTCTAGATGTGCTTTATATTTATTATTTTGGAGTCTTCAATCTGTAGCTTAATGTATTTCACAGGTTTAGAAAATTCTTGGTCACCATCTCATCAGATATCGCTTCTGTGCCACATACTCGCTCTCCTTCCGTTCTTTGACACCCAGTTTCTTGTTAGATGTTTTAGCCATATTCCATATATCTCTTAAGCTCATTTCTTTGTTTTCCGTCCATAATGTTTTATGCTTCACCCTGGGTATTTTCTGCTTACCTGTCTTTAATTCTGTCTTCTGCTTTGTCTAATATGCTATTAAATATTATTATCAAGTTCTTAATTTCTACTATTCCATTTTTAAGTTTTGTAATTTCGTCTTCTTATAGATTCTGTCATCCGTTTTCTTTACAAATTAATCACAATTATTTTAGTTTGTTTTTGATAACATCAATAATTGAGTCATCTCTTAGTTTACTTCTGTTTTCTGTTTTATCTTTTCTGATTTGTTTCTTTGTATTTTTATTGAATGCCAGACAGTAATATGAAACATTATAGAGGCTTCAGTGATATTTTCTTCCTCCAAAGAGGGTTTCACTTGTTCTTTGCTAGGCTGATAGAATGGGGACAATTCACTTTAATCCAGTAGTAATTGAATTTGTTGAAGGCTGGGTTGCAGTTTTTGTAAGCCCTTGTTTATTCTTGGTTCGTATCCACTCCTAAATAGTGTCATCCCATCTGAGAGCCAGGGGTACTTATTAGGGCCCGTATTAGAGCCCACTGTGGCAGATTCTGAAATTTTTTTTTTCTTCCCAGCCCCATTCTGCTGACTATTCCGAAATTGCTGACCATTTTGCTCTACTTCACAATAGCCTTTTGCTTAGTATATAGCTAAAGAATTTGACAAATAACTAGAAGGTAACCTACCACCAAGTTTTGAGATAACTTCTCTTTTCCTTTTTCTTTTCTTGGGGACTTTGCAAGGTTGTCTTGGTAGCTTGCTTATACTTTCAAGTAGACATTGTTTTTAACATGACATTTCAACTTGTAGGTGGATTATTGCTGTGCCACAAGTTGTTCCTTTCACAGATGGAATAGAAGTCCAGAAAAGGAGATCTGTAGCTGGGCAACCATGTGGCAAGGGAAACTTCTGTGATTATAGAGAATTTTGAGAAGGATATTTATGGCCAACTAGCAGTTTGGGCCACATACATTTTGATAAGTTGTAATTAGTAGAACTTTTATTGATATTTTATGTTCGAACAAAGTTTCTTAATCCAGCATTCATCTGTGGGGTCCATGGATGTTAATTGGAGATCCATGAACTTTTTGAAAATGTATGTAAAGTGTTATATATGTGCATTTTTTTCTATTAGAATTTATTTGATTTTCAAAGGCTACATGACCCCAAATTTTTAGAGGTATTAATATATGGGATATTCTCATCTTTGCTACCTGTAGAGTATAAATTTATTTATGTCTGACTTTATTTCACCCATTATGATTTTATAATAATTATTGAATAAATTCCTAAATCTTAAAAAAAGCTAAATCATGATCCAAGTATTTAATTTATTTTATATCTGTTGTAGATGGTTGTCAGCTTTTTTCATGAATTTATCTTATTCTATAACTTTCTTAAACTTTGCCACCTATACTATTATTTTCATTGATGTTAGATTTTTTTAAAAAATCATCTGTAAAAGTCACAATCTTGTTTGTTCCTTGAGTGGCAATAAGGATTCATCCTCATTGTATTCCCATTGTTAAATGAAGTGATAGTACTATAATTTTAATATTTGCTTAACAATTTATATATAAAAGCTTTAATATGTCGAAAAATCTTCCGTATCTAATTTTGAAAGAATCTTAATCATGAATAAGTGTGGAGTTTTATTGAGTGCTTACTGCCATCTATTTAAAGAACCACAATAGTTTTTACTGTTCTTATGGTAAATTACATTGATAGTTTTTCCTATGGTATACCAGCCTTACATTTATGGCTTAATCCTAAATTTGAGTGTATTTTAATTTATTCTTATATTTCGTTTGCTCAGCATGCCTTAGGATTCTGTAATAGAAGACTATAACTGTCTGGAGGAGTAGATGGGGGAGGCTTCTCAGTAGAAATGACGTTTATGTTGGTGCCCGAAGGATGAGTAGGTGTTAGCTAGTTAAATGGGACAGAGGAGTCACAGCAGTGTGTTTCAGGACTAAGGGGTAGCATATGCAGAGATCCTGGGTTTCATAGAGCACAAGTTCCCACCCCACATCTACCCACATGCCAACATCTATACTCATATACTCTGCCTTTTTTCTTGTTTTTCAGTGGGCAGTCCTTCCCAGGACCAAGATAGTGTTTATAAAATAGGGAATTTATAGTGAGCTCTTATAAGTTCCTGTAGATGTTGTATAGCTTAAGATTGCTTCTTTGAAAGGAAGCAGTAGCAGCAGAAAAAGAATGCATCAGTAGTCAAAAATCATAGAAGACTCGGAGCAGTATGGTGAGAGAGTAGGAAGGAGAAAAAAATGATAGAAATAGCACTATAAGCACAATGGATGTAGTTGGAGAGGATAAAATAATTCCATTTTAAGAAATGTTTCTACACCATTAAGTTGATCTATATGGACTATAGTATGGACAACTTGACTGTAATGTAGTTTTGGCATGAAGATGTTTACTGTTAACGACCAGCTGAAGTTTTAATCCTAAGTAACTTAACTAGACTTGAAAATATAGGAATTGGGTAAGGCTCAAAGCATACTTTCATATTTATTTTGGGAAGGGACTATAAAAAAAGCCAATTAAAAATTTCCAAGTTATAGAGAAACTTTTCTATATATTTATAGTAGTATTTTTTTTTTTTTTTTTACCGTCCCCAAAGTGAAGAGATAACAGAAATTTTATGTTGAAAATCTTGGGTTATGTATTGGAATTTGGTTATAATTTCCTGTCCTTGAAGTTTAGAGAAATAATATACTATATATTGAAGTCATGTACCAGTTGATGTTGCTGATTTATTAGAATAATGGTAGATTTTAATGTGATTTCTTTGGGGAATAGGTTTGGATGCGATTATTTTTTTTTCTGATTAATTTTTCATTGTTAGTGTAGGCACAATTCTAAAATGGCCCCCAAGATTTCTACCCCCTGTTGCATTGCTCAGTATAGTCTCCTCCTGTTGAGTGTAGACAGGACCAATGAGTATAATTAGGTTACTAATAAGTTAACTTGGAGTTAATCAAAGAGACATTCTGGGTGGACCTAACCTAATCTAAAAAATGGTGAACATCAGAGAGATGCTTTCCTGCTGGCGTTCAAGGAGTAAACTGCCATGTTGTGGAGAAGGCCACATAGCAAGAACCTATGAGTGAGTGACCAATAGGTGCCCTGGCCGACTGCTAGCAAACAAGTGGAATCTCAGTCTTAAGACCACAAAGAAATGAATTCCACCAACAACCTGAAGGAGCTTAGGAGCTGATCTTTCCTTAAAAGTCTTCAGAAGAGGACCCAACTGGCTGACACCTGGTTTCAGCAAGATTCCTGACCCATGAAAATGGGGAAATAATTAATTTGTGTTGTTTCAAGCCACTAAGTTTATGGTAATTTGTTATGTAGCAATAGGAAACAAATACAGAGTTTTGTACCAGAAGTAAGATGCTGTTGCAGCAATTACTTAAAATGTGGAGCAGCTTTGGAATGAGCATTACACAGAGGTATGCATAAGCTGGAAGAATTTTGAGGAGAATGATAAAGCCTAAATTGTGTTGGACAGACTTTTGGTAGAAAAGTGGTCATTGAGGACGCTGCCAATGAAGGCTCAGAAGGAAACTAAAGGACATGTTTTTGGAAACTAGGGGGAATGGCTTGATATGTAGTGACAGAAAGCTTTGCAAAATTGTGTCTTGCAGTTATGTGGAAAGCAGAACTTGTAAGTGACGAACATAGATATATCACTAAGGAGATTTCCAACCTGCCTGATTTGAAGGTGCTGCCTGGTTTCTTACTGTTTATAGTAAAATGCTAGAGCAGAGAGCTTAATTGTGGGAAGAACAGTTAAGCAAAAGGAACCAGGACTTAATGATTTTGATCATTCTCAGCCTTCCAAATGGCATAAGATGCTAAATGTCAGAAATGGCTGCCAAAAATATAGCATAGAGGAAAGACCAAGTGATTGTTTAACCTTTTGCTAAACCTCAGATCAAAATCATAGAGTGTTCAGTTACACAAAGGGCCCTTTCAAGGGATTAGTGTGTGTTTCACAGATCTTCTCAATCAAGCTAAAGGGCCTCTAGGAATCATAAAGTTGTCACCCCTTAGCCATCTCAGCAGGAAGCCATGATTATCTCAAAAAGATCTGTGGATGTGGCTTTTGTCTAATGGAGTGAAAACTTGTGAAATCTACGGAAGGCCCTCAAGGTTCTTGAGAAAATTATTTCAACAGAAACACTGCCAACATAGACTGAGAAGGACAGGGAGTACAAAATGAAGAGAGACTCTTGGACCCCCAAAATTCTACTAACAGGAAGCAGGATGAAAAAACCACTCAGCTGCAAACTTGTGCTATGTTTTATAAAAAAGGAGGGAGGGTGAAGCTGAGAGCCGCATAGAATTGTGGGCTTTGAAACCTAATCAAGAAACTCATTTACCTGGCTGGATTTCAGAACTGCTTTGGACTAGTGACTCCTTTTTACTTTCCATTTTCCCACTTTGAACTGGAATAGTAGTAATTGTTGTCCTGTGCCTATCATCTTCTGTTTTGGGAGTGGTCGGAGAAGGTAACTCACCTTAGTTTCACAGTTCCACAAAGGGAGAGAAATTGTGCCCTAGCAACTGTACTTAATAGATTATACCCAGGAACTTCATCAGCACCTGGATCTGATTTAGATTTTAGACTTTGAGCTGATAAGAGATAGATGAGATTTAGGATTTTTGAATCAATGAGAGATATAGCTGAGATAGACATATGATGAGATAACAGATTTAGATGATGAGATTTTTGGACTTTGCAGCTATCGTGGGATGAGACTGTTAGGAACCTTAGGAGATTGTGAATATATTTTGCATTTGGGAGAACGTGAGTCGCTGGGGGCTAGAGGGGTGAATTCTGCTTGCCACAGTTAGGGAAAACTCAGTTAGTTTATAATTATGTTAAGAATTATTTAGTAACTCTAATGTATTTATAATTTTTTCTTCTCATCTTTTGTCACTTTTCCTATATAGATTAATTTATTTTGTTTCAATTTTATAGTGGAAAAAATACCATTATAAATTTTTATTTTAGCAAGTAAAATAAACTACATAATACAAATTTTATGGGCTTTTCATACATTTAAGCTTATTTAAGAAATCCTTCTATTTTGTTATATTAGTATTATTGCTAATATTGTTAATACTTAATGAATAAGTAAAGAGCATAATTGTGTTACTGAGTTACTTATTTTTAAACATTTGTTTTGATTAACTTGTTTATTTAATAGAGTTAGCTATTACTAGGAAAGTCTTAAATAAAAATATTTTAAGAACAATGTTAATTTAGTGGTATTGATTTTTCTTGCATAGGTTTTGCAGCCCTGTGACTTGTTCTATCAAGCTACTCAGATAGGTACAGATCCACAAGTGATTGATGTATCAGTAAAATCCCTGACACTGAAGGTAAATTAAAATGTAGTCAGTTATTCAGATCTTTAGTATACTTTTAAAAAAATTAATAAAACCTAGAAATAAGCAGTTACTATAGCAAGTCTTTTAATTGTTAATAAGCAAAAAAAAGCCATGTTTTTGAAAATATTTTTATGATACCATATTTACAAAATGATATTTAATGTACATTTTATAATGAATATTATCATATACTTTACTGGCATTTGACTGCTTCTGCATTCCTATTGTATGTATAGTTAAAATTACACTTGATCAGTTTAATATCTACAAGACTCATGTCAATATATTAACAATTGAAATTAGTTATGATAAAAAATTTTCTGAAGGCAAGAAATTGTATCTACTATTTCCTGGTGGTAATAGTTCATTATTAATTTCTCATGATCCTTCAGCAAATATATTTAATTTTTTTTTGAAGTATATATTTTTGAGGGTGGTATGTGTAGATTTTTTATTAGTTTAAATTTTTCCTCTTAGGTTTCACCAGTTATCATAAATACTGTGATTACCATAACTTCAGCACTTTCTACAACTAAGGAAACCATCCTACAAGAAACTGCTTCGTCTACAGCACATTTATGGGAAAAGAAGGATACAAAGAATTTAAAAATGTGGTTTCTTGAAGAACCAAATGAAGTTGAAAACTTAGCTCCCACAACTGAATTGGTACCCAAAGGAGAGATAATAAGAATGAACATTGATTCTATTTTTATAGTTCTTGAGGCTGGAATTGGTCATAGAACAGTGCCCATGCTTTTGGCAAAATCACGTTTTTCAGGAGAAGGCAAAAACTGGAGTACCCTAATAAATCTCCACTGTCAACTTAAGCTGGAAGTAAGCCTATGTAGTATTTTTGCAGATTTTATAACAAGTAATGCTACACATGGAATATTTTGGGAATCTTATTTAAATATTTAAATTAAGCTTATTATAAATATGATGTTGGCTCACAAAACTTTTGGAAGAAAGTTTACAAATTTATGCCCTTGATATAGTTGTTTTTATGTGTACATTGCTTTTAGAAATGTACATTAAGTTTGTATTTCAATTGATTTTATCAACTTAAAGGTGATATATTGACAGTTGTTGATTAGATTTCAAAATTCTTATTTTTAAGAATTAAATTGAATACCTTTTTTCCTTTAAAAGGATAGACTATTTTGAATGTCTTCTAAAAGAGTAATGTAAAGAATTAGAAGGATATGCCTTATACTTTTATATAGTACAGAATCTTTATACTCTAGTGAGAATCCACTAAGCTATTTCAAATTTTGTGAGAGTACTTTAATGATATGAGAGATATTTGCTTTGAACCAATGTATGTTTTGCTTCAGAATTTATCTACATAGAATCATCTCCAGAGATATTTTAGTTTAAATTATTGAGTTTATGTTTAGTGGAAACTAATCTGATATTCTTATATCAATAAATATGAAAATTTATAAGCTGTTATATTATTTGTGTATTGATACAGAGTTATATACTAATAGAGGTAGAACTGACTAAGTTTCATATTTTCAAATTCTGGCTAGAGTTCTGTATATTTTACAGAAGATTTGATCTAGAATGTCCAGGAAGTTCAGAGAATTCAAATAAACAAACACTCATTGAATAATATGATACTTGCCTTCAAGGGCTTTCGAAAAGTCAGTGGAGGTAGACAGACATGTTAAAAAATGTCAATAATATATGATAGATGAACACAGTTTTTGTTGTTTAGCCCAGCCTGGAAGTCAAGGAAAGATGCTTAAAAGAGAGCTTTATCTGGATTAAATTGTGAAGACTAGACTATGAAGTTAGCCAGATGAGAACAGCGCTGAAGGAGGAGTGTATATAGCAAACTAATGAATGGCACGTAAAACAGTTTTCATGTAGAAAAAATAGCACAGCCAAAAGGAATGGTGGTGGGAAACAGCATAGAAGATCATTTTAGAAAATATCAGAATGCCTTATTTAAAAAATTAAAAATTCTCTCTATAGGTGCATTATTACAATGAAATGTTTGGTGTATGGGAGCCTTTGCTTGAACCCTTAGAAATTGATCAGACTGAGGATTTTAGACCGTGGAATCTTGGAATCAAGGTATACTTGAAGTCTGAAAAAAATTTTCAAAAATTTAGGATGTCCACACCACAAAAAACACTTTACTTTTAATCACAACAAAGTTCAAGTTTCTCAGTACAAGCCTTGCCATACGCTTCCCTCTTTAACGTCTGAATGTAATTTTCAAACTCAAGGTCAATGCCTCCTATACTTTAATACAAATAATTCTGTAACATTTATTATATACTAGACACTGTTCTAAATAGTGTACTTTTGCTTTAACCCTTACAACAATCCTCTGAAGAAGATACAGTTTTTAACTCCATTTTAACATATGAGGGGACTGAGACTAGAGAGGTCAAGGGACTTTCCTAAGGTAATAATACCTTCAAAGTGGAAGAGGTGGGATGAAATTCTTCTGGCTGCAGAGTCCCCACTCATACCCACCATGTTAAAAGGCCTCCAGCATCTTCTTGTTGGTTGTTGTCTATCCCGAGTTTCCTTTGTCTTCTGATGTATAGAAGAAAGTATATTATTATTTGTTTGAAATATATTATGAATTTATGTAATCATAGGAGTCAAGACCTTTAGATGGATTTAATTGTGCTTCTGAAGCAGGAGACGGCAGAATTAGTAGCATGTCTCCTCCATAATAATGATTCAGTCAACCTGCAGACAAATTTTCAGTGGTTTAAAGCCAGTTAAAGTAACAGTAGAGTTGACTGGCTTGGCATATCCAGCCTTTTGTATTAGACCACTGCATTTGATTTTCCACATATTTCAGATAAAGGATTTTGGACAAAAGAACTTATTTGGTGGTTTTTAGGTCAGAATATACATGGGCAATGGATCTGTGAATCCTAAAAAGACATACATGGTATTGATTCTCATGAGTCCTAGGTTTTAGTGGCACTGTTCTATAACTGTTGTTGGACTTTTTAAGTCCCTAGGTTTCTGTTCTTTATTTATAGCATGACCGTTAGACTAAATGACTTTTTTTACTCTGAATTTCCATGTGCTACGAAGTATGTGCTTTTAATTTTCGTCCAGATGCCACACATATTTAGTAATTTTAAGGGTTTTTCTTTCCTTCTAAATTGTGCCTGCCATTTTAGTATCACTGAGGATGAGAAGAATTTTTCCTGTAATGCTGCCCCAGTCCTATGTGACCTTAGTTGGCTGATGTCCGAGTAATTCCAGTCAGGCAGTGGAACTGATAATGTTTATTACTCTCTCCAATGTTATTACTGGGATTTGTCTAAAATTTGTTTTTCCTTTGCAAAATGAGTTATGTTGTGCTCCTAGGAACAAATTTTCCTTACATTTCTGTAATTTATATGTCGTTTTAGATGAAAAAGAAAGCAAAAAAGGCCATTGTTGAGTCAGATACTGAAGAAGAAAATTACAAAGTCCCAGAATATAAAACTGTCATCACTTTTCATTCAAAAGACCAACTAAACATTACATTATCCAAATGTGGCCTTATAATGTTAAATAATTTAGTCAAGGTAAGAAAAGAAATTCAAAACTTTAAATGTTGATGTACTAGTCTGAGTTAACCCTTTTCTTTTGCTGAATAAGAAGATTTTTATTAACTTAGTTATTTGTCATATGTCCGTTAATGTTCTGCTTGTCATTTAGTTTTCCACATTTCATTTTTATTTTATTTATGATAACTTTTCCTTATTAGGCATTTACAGAAGCCGCCACTGGATCTTCAGCTATCTTCATAAGGGATCTAGCGCCATTTCTGATTTTAAATTCTCTTGGACTTACTATCACTGTTTCACCAAGTGATTCTTTCAGCGTACTCAATGTTCCTATGGCAAAATCATATGTATTGAAAAATGAGGAAAGTTTAAGTATGGATTATTTTGGAACTAAAGATAATGATCATTTCAACGCAATGACCAGCCTAAGCAGCAAGCTCTTCTTCATTCATCTTAGTAAGTGACAAATTACCTTCCTGGGGCTTTAATTTCTTGTAAGTTACGTTTTACATCCCATTTTACTCATTTGTGGTATCTTACAGGTTTATAATCTCCTTCTTAAAAATAGGTTGGGAATTTTGTTTTTTCCTTTATAGGGCTTTGGTTGCTGTTGTCGCTCTTATCTTTGTATTCCAAATTCTGACTTTGTTTATCCACTGTGTTATTTAGAGCCTGGTAATTTACCGCTTTATATTTTGAGGAAGAAAAATATTAGATCTCATCCTCAGCTGTTACACACTATAGCTATTGGTGGTTGTTGTTTTAACCACATTTGGTATAACTCGGTAGTATTCCACCAGTTTTACAGCTGAATGAATTCAAAATAAGATTTGAATTCATGAAAGTGGCATATTGTAATGGTTTTTTGGGTTTGTAAATGGTTTTTATGTTCTGCCTATAGAGGTGGAAGTTTTTTCCTTTGTCCTTTCTGCTTCCCAGAAGTTTTTCATTGTAGTGAGAGGTGAAAGTAAATAAATTCTTAAATTATCATAATATTTACTCATTGTAAAGTTAAACAGTCCCAAAGCCTCACCCACACCACTTTCTGATACTGTGATATTTAAATACTAGTTATGGAGGAGGGCATTTAAAAGATAAATTAGGCATGGGAGCAGTCACTAAAACTGATAGCTAGTGCTTTCTCTTAGTCTGGAAATGATGCATAACAATGGCTAGGTTTCAGGTGTTGTCCCAGCATTGTCAGTGAATTGTTCTCATTAATTTTACCTCTGTATTTTTTTTTTTTTTTTTGTGAGGAAGATCAGCCCTGAGCTAACATCAATGCCAATCCTCCTCTTTTTGCTGAGGGAGATTGGCCCTGGGCTAACATTTGTGCCCATCTTCCTCCACTTTATATGGGATGCCGCCACAGCATGGCTTGACAAGCAGTGCCTCCGTGCGCACCCGGAAACGACCCAGGCTGCTAGCAGCGGAGCGCGCGCACTTAACCTCTACGCCACCGGGCCAGCGCCACCTCTGTTTGTTTTTAAAGTAACACTTCTATGGATTGGAGGAGGAATTTATATAAATAAGTAATTCACTCCCAACGTGATATGTGTATGTATATTAGATAAATATGTATAAAATTTTGTTTAATCAAATCCTAGATATCACCAAGTGCCACAGGTTGTCAGAAAAATTTTAAACTGAAAAATTTCAACTACCTTGGTAATTGCCAATGACTGCCTGAAAGTATTAGATTCTGGTTATTTTGACAGCAAACTAGAGATTAGTGTTATTGTTTTATAATAACTCTTCTCATTAGTCAGTTACTTTTAAAAGGTTTGTATTGTCTTAGGTTAGACTACTGAATGAGATTTTTTTTCCAAATAGAAATTTTTTGGGTAAAATGCTTTGAAGATGCATTCATTTTTAGGTGAATGCTGTGGAAATGCATTGTGGCTCCTTAAAATACCCCTTTGTATAGAATATATCTATACAAAAAAATATCCTTATGTATAGTCTAATATATATCCAAACACTTCAGTGACTGTTGTGGATGCAAACAATCTGTAATCAATCTATAAATCAAAATTGGGGTGAGTTTATTATGAGCCAGATCTGAGGATGAGCCCAGGGCCTGCCTTCCCCAAGGAAGGAAGGGCACCAAAGAAGTAGGGTGTACAGAGTGGTTATATACCATCTTGAAACAAAGAGCAAACATCACATATGATAGGAATGTCCCTTTTACAATAGTCCCTTTTAGAACAAGATTGCTATGCTGGCACAGCTGGTTGGTGAACACAGCAGGTCGCTGGTCACAAGGTGAGTGGTCATAAGGTCACATGCAGGTTAGTAATTAATCCTTAGTTTAGGGAGAGATGCTTATCCTTAAAGAAATGCCAGTATGGAGGGAAGTTACATCCCTATCTTTAAGGGCATCATTCTTGTCTTTGGGACAATAAATATTTAAAGCAGATGTACAATGCATGCTCAACAGACCATGTCAGGCCCTTTTGGAAAAACAAGGTCAGGCTGAATTAGTTTTAAACCAAATGGCTTCCTCATATACTCCAATATATCCTATTGCTTTACATTTGTTTATCACTGTTATTCATAGGTGATGAATACTGTTTATCACTGTTATTCATAGGTTTAAGAAATCACCTGATGTTTCTGGTATTTAACATCTACTTAAAATTAATATATAATGATTTATAATAAAAATTTTCAAACATGTATATTCAATTTAGCACCTGCTAACCACTCTGCTGCTGATAAAATTCCTTTAACAAAAGTGGGACGACGACTGTACACTGTAAGACACAGGGAGTCTGGAGTTGAAAGATCTATTGTTTGTCAAATTGATGGAGTAGAAGGAAGTAAGAAGGTAACAATTCGCTCCCCAGTGCAGGTATGACATGATCCATTTTTTTTGTGGAGTTATGTTATGCATATTTGCTAATTTAAAAAAAAAAACTAAAACAAATTACTACCAAAACAATACAAACTGTGATAGAAATATAGCTAATATCAAAAAGAAGACTCATTACCAGTAATTATACTACTCTGATATGAGCAGTGGTAGGATTTTGTTGAGTATACTTCTCGTAATTTTTATAGGACCATTTTGTAAGATCTTTTTGTAAAAAAAAAAAATCAATGAGGCCGGCCCCGTGGCGCGAGCGGTTAAGTGCGCGCACTTCTCTGTGGCGGCCCGGGGTTTGCCGGTTTGGATCCCGGGCGCGCACCAACGCACTGCTTGGCTAAGCCATACTGTGGCGACATCCCATATAAAGTGGAGGAAGATGGGCATGGATGTTAGCCCAGGACCAGTCTTCTTCAGCAAGAAAAAAAGAGGAGGATTGGCAGATATTAGCTCAGGGCTGATCTCCTCACAAAAAAAAAAAAAATCAATATTTTGTTTTAGGTCTTTGTAGTATGTATATATCCTTTCATTTTAATTAGCGAATATAGTGAGAGAATTTTTATAGCTTTATTGAGGTAAAATTGATGTATAATAAACTGAATATGTTTAAAGTTGATGAGTTTTGATGCAAAAATATACCTATGAAACCTTTATCACAGTCAAGGTAAATAACATATTTATCACCCCCAAAAGTTTTCTCTTTCCCTGCTTCCCCATCCCCAGGCATCCACTGATATGTTCTTGTTGTACATTACTTATATAATATAGAATTTTATATAAATGGAGTGGAGTACAAAATGAAGTCTGGCTTCTTTCACTCAGCTTAATTTTGTATGTATCAGCTTTTGTGTGGTAATGTTGTTACATGCAGTTACATGTTGTTGAATTATAATCTATTATATGGGTATACCACATGCCATTTTGAATAAATATTTGTATATGGTGTGAGGTAAGGGTTGAAGTTAATTTTTTTCCATATGGCTATTCAGTTGTTCCAACCAAGATTATCTTTTTTCCATTAAATTGCCTTGACACTTTTGTCAAAAATAAATTGACCATATCTGTGTAGGTTATTTCTGAACTCTCTGTTCTGTTTCATTGATCTATTTGTTTATCTTTATGCCAATACCACACTGTCTTAATTACTACTTTATCTTGAGTCTTGAAATTAGGTAGTATAAGTTGTCACACTTGTTCTTTTTCAAAGTTGTTTTGGCTATTTTAAGTCCTTTCCATTTCCATTTAAATTTTAGACTTGGGGGGCCAGCCTGGTCACGTAGTGATTAAGTTTGCCTGCTCTGCTTTGGTGGCCCAGGGTTCACGGTTCTGGATCCTGGGCGCGGACCTACGCACCACTCATCAAGCCATGCTGTGGCAGGTGTCCCACATGTAAAATAGAGGAAGATGGGCACAGATGTTAGCTCAAGGCTAATCTTCCTCATACACACACAAAAATTTTAGACTCGTGTTTTCAATATTTACTCAAAAATTTTAATAAAATTGGCATTTTTTGTTTACGTATTAATTTCTGATTTTTCGTTACTAGTAGAAGTACGGTCAATTTTTATATTAACCCTTATTGTGCAACCTGTCTAGATGGGCTTATTAGTTCGCATAGCTTTTTTATAGATATAGTTATAATGTCTGCAAATAAAGACATTTTTACTTCTTCCTTTCCAATCTGGATGTGCATTATTTCATTTTATTTTTTCTTGTCTGTTGCAAGAACCTGCAGTAAAATTTGAATAGAAATTGTGAATAGAAATTGCCTCAATCAAGGCAAAGATTGAGATTTGCCTTGTTCTCAATCTTAGAGGGGACATATTCCCTCTTTCACCATTAAGTATGTTTTGACTTGTAATATTTTTGTAGATGCCCTTTCTCAGGTTGAAAATGCTCCTTTCTGTTCCTAGTTTGCTGAGAGTTTTATTGGGAATGGTTGTTGTATTTTTGTCAAATGATTTTCTGTGTTTATTGAGATTGTTTTTTTAACTTATTGATATCGTGAATTGCACTGCTTTTTAATTGTTATATTAAAAAATGATTGATTGATTCTTACGTGTTAAATCAACTTTGCATTCCCAGGATAAATCTCACTTGGTCGTGAAGTATATTATTAACCTTTAATGTATTATTGAATTGATTTGCTAAAATCATGTTTAGAATTTTTGTATTTATATTCATGAGGAATATTGGTCTAAGGTTTTCTTGTAATGTGTTTCTTATGTGAAGATTTTTAATTACAATTTAGTTTTATTTAATAGATAAGGGCTATTCAGGTTATCTGTTACTTCTTGAGTGAGCTGTTCTAGTAATTGTGTGTCTTTCATGAAATTTGTCTATGAATTGTTTCCATTTTTATTTCACTTCTATGTTTTAAGTTATTTTTGCTGGGTATAGAAATCTAGATTTATAGGTTATTTTAACCATACTTTTCAGATGTTTTCCCCCTGTTGACTAGATGACATTGTTTCTGACGAGAATCTGCTGTTATTCTTATCTTTGCTCTTGTATGAAATCTTTCCATTTTTTCTTTTTATGTTTTTAAGATTTTTTTCTCTTTATCACTGATTTTAAGCAATTTGGTTGCAATGAATCCTAGTGTAGTTTACTTCGTGTTTTTTTCATTGGGTTTTATAATTTTATTTATTTATTTTCCCCCCAAAGCTCCACGAGATAGTTGTATGTCACAGTTGCACATCCTTCTAGTTGCTGTATGTGGGACGCGGCCTCAGCATGGCTGGAGAAGCGGTGTGTGGGTGCGCACCCAGGATCCGAACCTGGGCCACCAGTAGCGGAGCGCACGCACTTAACCGCTAAGCCACAGGGCCGGCCCTTTTCATTGGGTTTTAATAGCTTCTTGAATCTGTGGATTTGCAGTCTTCATCAACTTTAGAAAAAATTTTTTGCCAGTGTTTCTTCAAATATATTTTTTTGTGTGTGTGTGAGGAAGATTAGCCCTGAGCTAACATCTGTTGCCAATCTTCCTCTTTTTGCCAAGGAGGATTGGCCCTGGGCTAACATCCGTGCCCATCCTCCTCTATTTTATATGGGATGCCACCAGAGCATGGGTTGACAAGCAGTGTGTCAGTGTGCGCCTGGGATCCGAACCTGCAAACCCGCCGAAGCGGAACACGTGCACTTAACCGCTACGCCACCAGGCCAGCCCCTTCAAATATTTTTTTCTGTCTTTCCCCTCTCTTCTGTTCTTCAGGGACCACAGTTAGGTATATATTAGAGTCTTTAAACTTGCCCCACAGCTCACTAATGCTATGTTCATTTTTTTCTTTCAGCTTTTTTCCCTCTCATGTTTCTATTTTGATAGTTTCTATTGTTATGTCTTTAAGTTCGCTTTTCTTTTTCAATTTCCAATCTGCTTTTAATCCCATCCAATGTATTTTCATCTCTAGAACTTCAATTTGAATTTTTATTTATATTTTCCATGTCTTTTTGCAATATCCTCAGTCTTTCCTCTAACTTTTGAACATATTGAGTATAGTTATATAAATGTTTTAATGTCCTTGTCTACTGACTCTATCACATGTATCATTTCTGATTTGTTTCATTTTATTCATTTTTATTTTCATTATGTGTCATTTTTGTTTTGTTTTTTGGTGAGGAAGATTATCCCTGAGCTAACATCTGTTGCCAATCTTCCTGTTTTTCTTGAGGAAGATTGTCCCTGAGCTAACATCTGTGCCAATCTTCTCTATTTTGAATGTGGGATGCTGCCACAGCATGGCTTGGTGAGTGGTGTGTAGGTCCATGCCTGGGATCTGAACCCGGAAACCTTAGGCCACCAAGGCAGAGCACGCGAACTTAACCACTATGCCACTGGGCCAGTGCCATTATGGGTCATTTTTTAGTTATTTTTGTGTACCTAGTAATTTTTTTTGGATGCCTAAAATTGTAAATTTTACCTTGTTGGGTGTTTTATATGTATTTATATTCCTTTATGTATTCTTGAATTTTATTCTCCAATACATATATTAGTTAGAAAGTGATCCTTTCAGTGCTTGTTTTTAAACTTTTTGGGTGGGACTCAAACAGCCTTTAGTCTAGGGCTAATTTTGCCCCACTAGTAAGGCAGTATAACTGATACCCTCTGTACTAAACAAAGTTTTACCACTATGGCTGGTGAGAAAAGAAACTGTGTGTCAGCACCAGAGATTGTTCTGCATGCCCCTTTTAGGTGGATCTTGACTGAGCCTTAGATAGTTCTTACTCGTGTGCATGTGCTGATCAATACTGAACTGAAGTCTTGGGAACAGGGGACACTCTTACATCTCAGGGGTTCTCTCTCTGCAACTCTTTCCTCTCCATGCAGCTCTCTCCATTCCCATACAGTGTGCTGTGAATTTAAGTCACACTGGCTTCCTGAAATACTCATAGCTCTCTTTGACTTAGGCAGACTGGGCTCTGTTTGACTTCTCCTTCCCCACATACTAGCCTAGAAACTCACCAGGCAGCAAGATGGAGCAATCTTACGGCTTATCTTAGTGGGGTTTCTTTTTGTTCTTTTTTGTGCTGCCTGTTGCCTAATATCTGAAAACCATTGTTTAATGTGTATTTTTTCCCCTGTGTTTTAGTTGTTTAGGTTGGGAAAGTTTATCTGGTCCCTATCATGGCTGAAAACAGAAATTCCTTCTCTTATTTTCTGATTTACAAGTAATTGTTTTAAAAGATGTTGGGCTGCTGTCATTATTATTGATTTATTGTTAAATGTCATTAAATAGTTAAACATTAATTTTAAATTTCTTAGAGGTACTATTTATAGAAATGAAAATGTTATTTCTGTTGCTTCAAAGGGGTAGAACAAACAATTTATCTAGAAGTAAAATATAGTATAGTTAAGGTTATCCATTTAACAATTCTTCTTACTTAGCATGTTTTACATTTTGGTATGATTTTTTTTTAAATAGAAAGATTTTAATAAGATACAGAAAGATTACAGTAAGAAAATGGTTTTACTAACCAATTTGTTTTTATCCATCCGAAAGGTAAAGTGTTTGGTGGTTTATCTGATAATAAATATTAATCAAAATTATATTACCTTTTACATTGCTGTTGTATGCTACTCATTGGATGAGATACTCTCCATACACTCTCTCAATGTTGAGTATCTCATCCAGTGAGTGGCATGCAACAGTGATGTAAAAAGGTAGACATTTCCCAGCTTGTGGCTTGTTTTTTACCTTTGTCATATAGACATTTAAAATTTTGATGTAATATATTTTCCTGTGATTTTTTTCCTACTATTTTTGTCTAAAGAAGTTATTCCTTATCTCAAGATCAAGAAGATATTATCTTATTTTCTTCTAGGATTTTTGAAGTTTGGTTTTTGAGATTCCTTTTCTATAAAACTATGGAATCTTTTCTTGTACTTTCTAGGATCAATAAAATCATGCATCACTTAACGATGGGGATACATTCTGAGAAATGCGTCAGGCAATTATATTATATAGTCCTATCTTATGCTATCATTATATAGTACTAATCTTATGGGACTGCCATCATATATGCTCCGCTGTTGACCAAAACATCGTTATGCAGTGCATAACTGTAATTGCATGTTTGTTTCTTTTCTAATTTATACAAACAAGGTAAATATTGCCTCATAGTTCCTTTGTTGTGATATTTGGATGGAATATTTTTTAAATGTCTTTAGATTCTTAATGATAATAAATATTATTTGTTTTTATTTCCCAGATTAGAAACCATTTTTCAATCCCGCTTTCTGTTTATGGAGGAGACGCTTCATTGGGAACGGCTTCACCTGGAAATGAATTCAACATACCATTAACATTTTACCGGTGATTTTTTTTCTTTTTTTGTTTGCTCTAAGATCTCTTATCAAATTTTTTAGTTTCTAATTTGATAAAGATGTCTTTAAATTATTAAACTTTGATTAAATCTATCCTATTAATATGTCATCTCATCTAACTTATTTAAGTTTCAGGGTACTTACAAGGTTTTTGTTTTTTTTTTTAAGAAATATCATTTAGGGGCCAGCCCGGTGGTGCAGTGGTTAAGTGCACACATTCTGCTTCAGCGACCCAGGGTTCGCAGGTTTGGGTCCCGGGCGTGCACCGATGCACTGCTTGTCAAGCCATGCTGTGGTGGCATCCCATATAAAGTAGAGGAAGATGGGCATGAGTGTTAGCCCAGGGCCAGTCTTTCTCAGCAAAAAGAGGAGGATTGGCATCGGCTGTTAGCTCAGGGCTAATCTTCCTCACAAAAAAAATATCAAGAAATATCATTTAATTTATCGTATTTAATTTATACCATATAAATTATTTGTAATTTGGAAATACAGTTATTACATGCTTGCAATATAGCCATCATAACCATAATCATATATATTCATGATTTTTTAAGAAATGTCTAATTGAGCATGATTCTGGTTTTACATACACTTATCAAGTGATTTTTACTTTTCAAAGGTTTTGAAATTCCTTTAGAAAACATAAAATATTTTATCTTTTTATCTACATATTTGTTTATTGTTCAGAGATAAAATTGTAATGGTAAATAGAGATGTATAGTATGTTGATCTTAAATATTTAAAGTAATTAAACTTGATATAAAATTTTCTATGTATTAAGAAAGGATTATTAAATGGGCCGGCCCCGTGGCTTAGCGGTTAAGTGCGCGCGCCCCGCTGCTGGCAGCCCGGGTTCGGATCCCGGGCGCGCACCGACGCACCGCTTCTCTGGCCATGCTGAGGCCGCGTCCCGCATACAGCAACTAGAAGGATGTGCAACTATGACATACAACTATCTACTGGGGCTTTGGGGGAAACATAAATAAATAAAATTATAAAAAAAAAAAAAAAAAAGAAAGGATTATTAAAATTGTAACAAATTACTTATGATGGGCTAGCTCATAAGCATCGTAATTTGTTAAGTACTGTTTCAGAATACACACTAGACACGGACACTTAGACCTATGCTTCAGAAAGATGGAGGCAAAATTACAAGCAGTGCTTAAATGTCCCCTGCCTCTATTCATTCCCACCGATGCCTGGGAGTTCAAGATTGCATCCCTAATGCTTAAAAGACAATCTATCATGTTTTAGGCACATATTTTCAGGTAGTAGACCTGTTCACCCTAATGAATGTTTTATTGTTTAATGTTTAATTTGTTACATGGAAGTTAATCTTAATTAAAATTATTAGTGACTAACTGGCTTGGATTTCACATTAGGTACTATTTCTAATCCAGTGCTTAGATATAGGTACACTTATATTTAAGATATGAAGTCTTAAATTAACAAATGGCTATCTTGCCCTATGTAATTTAAATATACCGATTCTTAAATTTAATTCATGTAATTCATTAAATTCTTTAATTTCATTTATCAAGTGTTTTATTGTTGTAATGCACTACTATGTGATACCAAGGTGAATTGGCATCACTATTCCTCTTGAGAGACTGATATATTATGTAAATAGAGAAAATAGAAAACAATGGGTTGTAAAGAGTTACAAAAAGAGTTATAGTTGCAGAAAACTATGGAAAACAAAGGGATTAATGACTGACTTCTGGGCAAGGTATATGAATTATAGGTAAAATATAGTAATGTGGAGATTAGCAGAAAAGGGCAATCTTAAGTGGAAGGACTTGCATGAGCAAAGATAAAGAGGCATGAAAGCACAGGGTTTGTATAGGTCTATAAAAAACACTTGGAATTTGGTTAGAGTGTAATGTGCATGTTGAAAATTAAAATTTGAAAGATAGTTTAAGTTCACATTGAGGTAGTTGCTCCCTCATTTTCTTGCCCTCATTTATATAAATTTTATCTTCATCTTTAATATCATGTTTCTTCTTTCCTCTCTCAAAACATTCAGTGTTCTTTTTCAAGACCATTCACTCCATCAGCTCTTCTTGTTTAGAACCTCTTGTCATTGATCATTTTTCTCTAATGTTTTTTTCTCATTCGTTTCTTCTTCTTCTTCTTCTTCTTCTTTTTTTTTTGGTGAGGAAGATCGGCTCTGAGCTAACATCCCTGGCCAATCATCCTTTTTTTTTTTGCTGAGGAAGATTAGCCCTGAGCTAACATCTGTGCCCATCTTCCTCTATTTTGCATATGGGATGCCACCACAGCATGGCTTGATGAGCGGTGCGTATGTCCGTGCCCGGGATTCGAACCCTGGACTGCCAAAGCAGAGCACACGAACTGAACAACTATGCCACCAGGCCGACCAACCCTCCTCGTTCTTTTCTTAAACTTTGCTTTAACTTTGCATATTTCTCTAATTCTAGTCTTTTCTTCAGAACAAAGCTTTTTGGGAAAATTATCACCTCTACAGAACACTCTGTGGCCAGTCTAGACTTAACTACACTCTCATGCCCTCAGTCTGCTGTGTTTTTTAGTGTCCATTGCAGTGCAGTAGTTATCTTTTAACATTAGATTTCCCACCTTATTGGGGTCTCTTTAAGAGAAAGAATGACTGACTCATTTGTTCATTTCCAGTTTTACCTTCCCATTGGTAAATAGTAGATCCAAATAAATGTTTTGATAATCTGGATGAGTGTATTGTCATTAGTTTAATTTAGAGAAAATTAAGTTTTTAAGTATTAGAAGTAAGAATGGAAAAGAGAATGAAAATTACAGAGAGAATAGGCTAAATCTGAAAACTGATTTGACAGATAATTATGTCTATGTGTGTGTCAGGGGAGACAAAAGAGTCTAATATTTCATAGTCCAGATTGCCAGTAACTGGAAGTTCCTGTAAAAGGACACACAGAGAAGTGGGTATGTAGGGTTCAGAGTTCAATTTAGCATAAGGCACTATCAGACATCATTACAAAAATATGTAGTAGATATTTAAAATTTTAGGACTAGAGCTTAGGAAAATAATCAGAGCTGGAGGTAGCATTGACAGTTGTTCATCTGTAAGGGATAGTATCACAATCATAAGTGATGAGTTTTACAAATATAAAAATATTTCTAAAGTGTTTATACTTGGACACAGCTTAGGTTTAAAAATTATTAAACCTAAAATATAGTTGAAATGTAAATGAAGAATATGATATTTAAATATAAGGATTAATCATATGTAACGCCCAATGATTTTGTCACTGTCTTCAACCTCTTCTGCAACTATATACAATGTTTCAATCAAGTTAAGTACATATTGAGAGCTTAGTTTGATTAACCTTGAGAAGCTGGTGATTAATTTTTCAAAAGAAATATCTTTTTGGTTCGTGAGCTCCATTGTGACATGTACTTCCTGTTAGGCCCACATATCCAAGAAAGCTGACATTTTTAAGTTAAATGTACAAGTTACAGATAGTTGTATATGTTAGCTTTGCATATATGACCTATGTGATTATGTCTTTTCTGTAAGAAACCAGCTATTATCTTATAAACATACTTCTAAGACAGTAAATTTATAAGGAAGTATTCTCTTAAAAGCCAAATAACTTGATTAGTTTCCAGAAAGTTAAGGTGAAAATATCTATCCAGCTCTCTATCTTACCTATCTCTAAGAAGAATGTGAAAATATAAAAATTTATTACACTAGTATGGAGGAAGGTGATTTCATTATTCTAAAGCTATAATCATATAATTTAATATATGTTTTTTAAAGCATATTGTTTAGGGCTGGCTCCGTGGCTTAGCGGTTAAGTGCACGCGCTCTGATGCTGGCGGCCCGGGTTCGGATCCCGGGCACGCCCCAAGGCACCACTTCTCCGTCCAACCCGAGGCCGAGTCCCACGTACAGCAACTAGAAGGATGCGAACCTATGACATACAACTATCTGCTGGGGCTTTGGGGGGAAAAAAATGAATAAATAAAAAAATCTTTAAAGCATATTGTTTAATCTTTTATGCAGATCACTCCTTTTTCTGAAGCCAGAAGATGAGGACTATCAAATGTGTGAAGGAATTGACTTTGAAGAAATCATAAAAAATGATGGCACTTTTCTAAAGAAGAAATGTAGACCTATCAACCCATCAAAGAAACCATTTATCATTAATATTGTCCCAGAAAAAGATAACTTGACATCTCTGTCAGTATATTCAGAAGATGGTTGGGACTTACCATACATAATGCATCTATGGCCACCTATCCTACTCCAAAATCTTCTTCCTTATAAAATTGCTTATTATGTAGAGGTATTCTGGAATTTTTTAAATGCCTTCCTATCTTTGATTTTGTAGCTTTAGTTATTTAAAATTATGAATAGTAAAATGATGTTTTAAAGGTCTAATAAAAATTATGGTACCGGTGAACAGGTAGTACAGATATTCTTCAGATGGAAAACAAATGTCTTAATCATGTTGTTTAAAAGGAGGATTTATTTTTATTTTTTTTTTTTCATTATTTTTTTTTTTTTATTGCAGTAACATTGGTTTATAACATTGCAAAAATTTCAGGTGTACATCATTGTACTTCTATTTCTGCATGGACTACATCATGTTCACCACCAAAATACTAATTACAACCCATCACCACACACATGTACCGAATTATCCCTTTCACCCTCCACCCTCCCCCCTTCCCCTCTGGTAACCACCAATCCAATCTCTGTCCCTATGTGTTTGTTTATTGTTGTTATTATCTACTACTTAATGAAGGAAATCATACGGTATTTGGCCTTCTCCCTCTGACTTATTTCACTTTGCATTATACCCTCAATGTCCATCCATGTTGTCACAAATGGCTGGATTTCGTCGTTTCTTATGGCTGAGTAGTATTCCATTGTGTATATATACCACAGCTTCTTTATCCATTCGTCCCTTGATGGGCACTTAGGTTGCTTCCAAGTCTTGGCTATTGTGAATAAGGCTGCAGTGAACACAGGGGTGCATGTACCTTTGCAAATTGGTGTTTTCTAAAAGGAGGATTTAAAAAAATTTTTTCCGGGGCCGGCCCTGCGGCTTGGCGGTTAAGTGCACATGCTCCGCTGCTGGCGGCCCGGGTTCGGATCCTGGGTGCGCACTGATGCACCGCTTGTCCAGCCATGCTGAGGCAGTATCCCACATACAGCAACTGGAAGGATGTGCAACTATGACGTACAACTATCTGCTGGGGCCGTGGGGAGAAAAAGGGAAAAAAAGGAGGAGGATTGGCAATAGATGTTAGCTCAGGGCTGGTCTTCCTCAGCAAAAAGAGAAAGATTGGCGTGGATGTTAGCTCAGGGCAGATCTTCCTCACAAAAAAAAAAAAAATTTTTTTCCATTGATTCACCTTAGAAATCTGGCTACTAATTACACACACAAATGTTATATGCCATTTTAAAAATCATTTATGAAGGTAATATATATTCCTATTAGAAAATTCAGAAAATAGAGATAATAAAAATTGGCTATAATCACATCATCTGAAGGTAGCACTTCAGATGGATTTCATTTCAGTTTTAGAATGTATATTTTTAAATTTTTTCCATTCGTGTATATTTCGTATATCATATATTTAAAAGATGGATACTAACTTTTGAAACAAGTATGACAATTAGTATTAAAATAATATTCAAGTACTAGACTTAAATGGAAAAAAACCTGCTTCATCATTTTATTAGTATATTATATTGTATTACATTACATTACATTATATTATATTATATTAGTGGTAGTTCTCTAAAAGGATTTTATGCCCTATAAAGATACTTTTTGTTTTAAATACTCTTTAACAGATTACATGTGATTCCTTCCTTTTATTATAACAGGAATCTCTTCGTCTTAAGATTTTAAGTAAATATTCCATTTGCCGTGCTTATCAGATATAAGAAAGTAGTTCTTTATTGTAGTCTACTGGTTATTGCTTTTATTATAGTCTATTAATTATTAGGATTTACATATGTTTACAGTTTTCTGATAAATTTTTGGGGAGGGAGGGAAGAATTTAACGTATATGTGGTTTAAGAATTTTTTTTCGGGCCGGCCCCATGGCTTAGTGGTTAAGTGCACGTGCTCCGCTACTGGCGGCCCGGGTTCGGATCCCTGGCACGCACCAACGCACTGCTTCTTCAGCCATGCTGAAGCCATGTCCCATGTGCAGCAACTAGAAGGATGTGCAACTATGACATACAACTATCTACTGGGGCTTTGGGGGGGGAAAAAAGGAGGAGGATTGGCAATAGATGTTAGCTCAGAGCCGGTCTTCCTCAGCAAAAAAGAGGAGGATTAGCACGGATGTTAGCTCAGGGCTGATCTTCCTCACCAAAAAAAAAAAAATTTATGAAAAAAAAAAATGTCTTTTTGCATATGTTTGGCAGATGTAGTGGTTATGAATTTGTACTTCACTGTCAGACTTGAGATTGAGTCCTAGTTCGATTACTTAACTAGGTTTATGTCTTTAGGCAAGTTATATTATCTTTTTAAATCATTTGCCTTAGTCTATAAAATGAGGACAGTATAAAACTTGCATGAATGGGATATGGGGAAAATAAAATTAGATACAGTATGTAAAAGACTTAGCACAGTGCCTCACAGGCACATGGTTGCCATTTATTTACCTCTCCCACACCACCACCACTACTATTCTATTTTGTGAAATATTAATTAACATGTCCAGTGTCAGTAACATATTATTTTTGCTTTAAGTAATTTAAAATCTTAAGATGAAGAGATTCCTATGTTATAACAACAGGAAGGAACCAGATTAGAGATGCTGGAAAGACTGGTGAGATATCCAGATGTACTGTCTATGTCCCATTCTCATAGGACTTTTAATTTGATGCTTTTAGGGATCACATTCTGTTTGCTAGTTTCCAGAGGATATGATTAATTTTTAGAATGACAGTTTAGCTGTGGTATGGAGAAGGGCTTAGAGGGGACAATAGCAGTTAAGAGACTCTTCAAGTGAGAAGTCACAGTGACATGAACTTAGGTAATGGAAGTGTGGGTGGAGAAAATGAACAGTTCAGAGAGACACATAAGGTGCAGTATAAACAGTGATTAGAAATGAGTGATGAGGGATTGTTAAAAATCAAGAATCAGAGTTAGTAGGGATTGCTTTTTTGGATTACCATAAATTTTCTCATACATTTTTCATTATGTTGTAGTTTTTCAAAACTAAAATCACTAGTGGATAAGATTTTTTTTTTAATGTTTTACTAATTACAGTGTTTTATAATGTTTATTAGTTCCAGTGGGAGTTTCATATTGTTATTTAATTTTATCCTCACAATAGTCCTTTGAAGTAGATGACTTAAACCATTTCACAAATAGAATAACTCAAATCTCAAATAATTTTTAGAAGTTTGTACAGTTGGCAGAGTTGGAACTTGAATATAAGTCTTCTCACTTGTTTTGATGGAGGTATTTCAAAAGCATTTTGTATAGCATTTGGAATCATTAAATAGAATTTTTTGGCGTATTATTCTGGAACATTTAAAAATTTATTGTATTTTTTTATTGCAGGGGATTGAACATAGAGTTTTTACTCTAAACGAAGGACATTCAGCCCAGATTTGTACTGTGGAGTTGGATAAAGCCAAGCTACATTTAAAATTACTTGACTATCTTAATCATGACTGGAAAAGTGAATATCATGTAAAATCTAATCAGCAAGATATTAGTTTCATCACTTTTACCTGTGTTACAGAATTAGAAAAGACTGATTTAGATATTGCTATCCATGTGACTTATAATACTGGCCAGACAGTTGTGGCATTTCATAGTCCTTATTGGATGGTCAATAAAACTGGTCGAATGTTACAGTATAAAGCAGATGGAATTCATCGAAAGCATCCACCTAATTATAAAAAGCCAGTTCTCTTTTCTTTTCAGCCAAAGCACTTTTTTAATAACAATAAGGTATGTAAAGCTTTTTAACTTTCATTTTTCTTTAGCTATTTATTACTTTTTTAGTTTTTTAGAGTTTTGAAAAATAAAATATTATGAAACAGGTAGAAATAACATATATTAAATATTTGAGGTTGAAAAGATTAGAATTTAGGGGCCGGCCCAGTGGCACAGTGGTTAAGTTCACACACTCCGCTTCGGCAGCCCAGAGTTCGCAGGTTTGGATCTCGGGCGTGGCCCTGCACACCACTCGTCAACATGCTGTGGCAGCGTCCCACATACAGGGTAGAGGAAGGTTGGCACAGATGTTAGCTCAGGGACAATCTTTCTCACCAAAAAAAAATATGAGAATTTAACATTGGGAACGGTTTAGTGCAGTTAACAATATAATATTAGTTTATTCTAAAAAGCAAAAATATTGTCAATTTAGGTAGGAATTTTAAAAGGTACCTAAATTGTAATATATTTGACATATTTTTTCCTAGGTTCAGCTTATGGTAACTGATAGTGAATTGTCAGATCAGTTTTCAATTGATACCGTTGGTAGTCATGGAGCTGTCAAATGTAAAGGCCTGAAAATAGAATATCAAGTGAGTTCATTCTATGCTCATCAAGAAACTTTTATTAAACTGTGTCTATTGACTAATTTTTATAAGGATGTTATAAGAATGTAACAGTTTTTGAAATGTTAATATTTTTTTCCTTAGGTTGGTGTCACTATATACCTCAGCAGTTTTAACATTACCAGAATTGTGACATTTACCCCTTTTTATATGATTGAAAACAAAAGCAAATATCGTATATCAGTGGCTGAAGAGGGAAGTGATAAATGGTTCTCTCTTGATTTAGAGCAGGTGGGTAGATGAATTTCAAAAATGTACCTCTTTGGATTTTCATTTTTCCTTTAAGTTAGGTACCTGAAATCACTATGTAATGTTTTAACTCCCCCTTCTCCCATTTTGTTTCAGTTCTGTGAACATTTATTATTTATTTGTACCAGCCTCTAGATATTTAATTATTAAAAACCAAACCTTGCCGTCTAAGAATGCATTACTTGATAAAGGAGGTAGACATTAACAATTACTAACCAAATAGGGATAAATACAGCAATAGAAGACTAGATAGGTATAAATGCAGCAAAGAGAAGGAAATGATTTATTGTCTCTGGGAAGCTGTTAGGAATACCTTTGTAGTGTGGGTTAAACCAGTTATTTTAAGAAGGTGCTAGTGATTTAGGAGTGAAGTTTTGATTCTATTCCATCTTCAGCTATTAGACCTGTGGATAAGAGCTTTCTGAAAGACTACCTGAGATTGATACTTTTGAAGAAGTTTTGTTCTAAATATGTTAGGATTGTAGGAGAAGCATTTGCTATTTTTATTCACTGTACCTTCTTTTAAACCATTCTTCTAGAATCATTCTTCTTGATGTACATCCTTTAGAATTTCCTTTAGAGCAGGTTTTGGAGGTAAAGACCATCAGTTTGTGTTTATCTGTAGAAGTTTTTATCATCATCTGTCTTTTATGATAATTTTTCTTGATAATCAATTCTATTTTTTATCAACATGTTCTAGATTTTGCTTCACTGTTTTCTGGCTTCCATTTTTGTTTAAAATTCTGCTGTGATTCTGTCCTTTCTTTGGAAGTCATCTTTCTTTTCTCCTTAGCTGCCTTTATGATCTTCTTCTTGTCTTTGATGTTATGTAGTCACACTACTATTTGTCTACACGTGATTCCTTTTATATATCCTGCTTGAGATGCTTTACTCCTAGATCTGTGGATTCATGTATTTCATACTTTCTGTAAAATTTACAGCTGTTGTCTCTTTAAATATTACCTCTCCTTTATTCTTCAAGTTTCTCCTTTTGGGCCTTTAATCAGACATATTTTAGATCTTCATATTCTATCTTCTGTGTGTCTTAAAATCTTTTTTATATTTTCCATCTCTGTAACTTTCTTTGCTGTGTTCTGGATAAATTCTACATATATAGCTTTCATAAATTTTCATTTTTACTGTGTCTAAACAGCTGTTTAAACCTTCAACTGAGGTTTTTATATGAATAATTATATTTCCTATTTCCAGAAGTTCTACCTTTTTTCAAGTCTGCCTGTTCATTCATTCTTTCAATGAATATTTGTTGTGTACTCCTTATATGCCTTGTGATACATCTGTTAACAAAACCATAAGTCCCTGTCCTCATGTAGTTTACATTTCAGTGAAGTTGTAGGGAAACATTAGATTAATAATATCATAATCAATTAGTAAAATATATAGTATGTTTAAAGATGATAAATCTAATGGGGGAAAAGGAAATAAGACAGGCTATGAGGTATTAAGAGCTCTAATGAGCAAAGGATGAGCTATAATTTTACATAAGGTGGTCAAGGATAGGACTCATTGAGGTCACCTTTAAACAGAATTAAAGGAAATGTGAGAGGTAGTAATTGTCAAGAGCTCAGCTGAGCTGGAGCTGAGCTGCCAGGTGTTGGAGTAGCTGATTAAGACAACAAGCCAAAATGAAAGCAACAGTCAATCTTATCTTTAATCACTTACTAAGATAGTATAAGCAAGAGACTAAACTGGAAAAAGCACCAACTCCCCCCATTCCATTTTTCCTCTGGAACAGCATCCGTTAGGGGTCAGGTGAATCAGCATAGACGTGGGGATTGTGTCACTCTCAGGAGAGCCCTGAACAAAAGGCTCTTGTAGTTTTATGGACCTGCGGGTGGGAGATGACAAGGGAGAAGGGCTAAGAGTGTACTGAGGCACTGAGGCAGAGTGGAGAAGAAGTGTCTTCAAGGTTTCCTCTCTTTCCTTGATAAAGAGGTCTTGCAGAGGTTCCTGAGGAAGGCCTCTGCCAAGAGCCCTGATTAAGAGACCTCTGAATGGAAGTGCCTGGGGTAGGAATGCCGATATGTGTAAGAGCATGGCTGGAGGTGGGAGCTGAGTCCTTGAGACTGCAATGCGCTGGGTATGTACCTAGTCTGGTATGGGAAGGGCAGCTTTGCCCTGTGAGGCCTGCCATATAAAGCCTTTGTAATTGCCTATGGTCTGACCTAGAAAATTACACATAAGTTTTTAGCCAGAAGCTAAACTCCTCAGCAATGTGGATATCTGGGGAAAGAGCATTAGAGACAAGAAGGGTTAGCCAGGGTAGGTGCCCTAAAGTGGAGAATATTTGGCATGTTTGAGGGATAGCAAAAGAGGCCAACATTTCTGGAGAGGGAAAAGTAGTAGAGAACAGGCACAACAGTGATGAAGGGTAATCATGCAGAACTTTGTGAGCCATTGCAAGGGTATTAGCTTTTGCTCTGAGTGAAATGGAGAGCTGTTTGTGAGTTTTGAACGGTGATTAAATGTAATAGACTCTCAATAAATATTTGTTGAATGATCATTTATTTTTGCACATATTCTGTATGTGCTCATTAAGTCTGCAAGTTCTTGGTTTGTTGGATGTAGAGCTCTCTGTGTATCTGGATGCTAAGATTACGACTCTAGCTTCGCTTTGCTTTGTATATTTTCTAGGTATATTTTTTTCCATACTTTTATTTACAACACCTCTTTGTAACTGTTGTAAGATTTGTGTGTCTATTGCAGATAATGTTGCTGGGTCTTATATTTAGTCTCTGTCTTTCAACTGTTAATTTATATTTATGTTAATTGTAATTATAACTGCATAACAACTTTTTATTTTTTTTCTCTGCTTCTTTTTGTTTTCAATTTCAGCTTTTCTTAAGATAAATATTCTTTTGCTAGTTTAAAATTTTTACATTTTAATTTTGGCTTATCGTGGTCAACCTTCACTTAAGATGCATACTCATGCTTATTACCTATGTTGATTTCTTAAACTTACCTATATCTCTGTTTTCCTGGTACAAAAAACAAGTACTTTAGCCCTTTCACTAGTCTCAAGAGGTCGAGCACATAACTCTTTAAAAAGATATGGCATATATTACTAAATATAAAACATACATTTTTTAAGCCAAGGCTACCAGGAAATAGCAGGCTTGGGGATGTTCAAAGAGCACATCACTTTTAGTCTTCTCAGTTCCTTGTGGGAAATATGCTTGGATTAGTATTGCTGCTGTTTTGACTCTCCCAGGTAAGTTCCTGCTAGGTTGCAAGAAGACCTGAGTGGAAACATTCTTCTTACAGCCTTAACCATGTCCCATGTCTAGTTCCATTAATTATCTACCATAAGTTGAATAAAACTGACTTTAACAAGCTAAGGCACTTGATTCTAAAACCCAGGTACTGCTGCATTATCCCTAGGTCCTATAGTGATCATCAAGTATCACACCTGAACAGTCTCACTGAAATATGTGAAGTCACTAGTCTAGTCAGGGACTATCACACTCAGACAGAGTTTACCTAATAGTTTGTAGACAAGGCTTCTTCTCCATTCCTGTTCTTTTAGCTCTTTACTTTGTTTCCAGCTCCTTTTGTCCTGTCTTCTTTCTGGGTGCATTGACCGTCTCCTATTGCCTTAGTTTGGTTTCCAGATCAGTTATGTCTAGGTTGTTTCTTAAGATTTTGAGCCTATTGCCTACTCTGAACTTTGGATATTTCTTTTATTTTTTTACTCTTGTTAGACTTCCAGGACTCTGGACTTAATACGTGTCCTGACTCAACATTTGTGTGTACTTTGACTACTGCTTAATTACCAAATGATGCCCACAACCAGATTATGATTTTTAGTAACCTAATGTACCCTTGTTTTAAACTGATCACTTGCTTCCCAACTGTCAGCTCAACTTACTTGCTGATTTTTCAACCCTTCTCTAGATTTGGACTACATTAAAGTCTCCTCCCTAGCACTGTACTTAGCATAGTTCTGCAACTTAGTACCCATTACTGCTTGTATTCAGTGCACACAAGTGGAGAACCATTTCTGAGTTGACAATTTAGAGCTGTTTAGCTAAGCAACCCAATAACCAGAGCAGTGTTGAAAGAGATTTATTTTAAGGTTAAATCTACTCTGATGGGTTTATTAAAATGATAAAGGTCTTTAGGATAAAATCTTTTTTTTAATAAATATATGTAATGTAATAAATATTTTAGTGTATCCCCTTTTGGCCTGAGGATGCTTCTAATAAACTTCTGATTCAAGTTGAAAGAAATGAAGGCCCTCCAAAAAAGATACATTTTAACAAGCAAGAAAATTGTATTTTATTGCGTCTAGATAATGAGGTAAGTGATTTTTTTGTGTGTGATTAGAGAAGCTACTATATACTTACTAGTATTTTATTTTTTGTATCAAAATCATCTCTGATGATTTTTTTTCCTTTCGTCAAAAATGAACAAACATTTCTTTTTGTAAAGGGAAAAAATACTAAAAGGAAACTGAGGCATAAAGCAATTAAATTCTTACACAGAAAATTAGTTGGAATAATTTTCTAGAATATTAGAATACTGGAATATACCACGTATGGAATTTGACCCATCTGTATACAATAATTGAGATTCATGATTTCCCAGACATGCAGTGTAAAATCCTGAATTGCTTTCTAAATCATCAAAACAATGTTTTAAGTTATGAATAGTTTTATTATTAAATGTTATTAATATTCTTTAGAAAATGATCACAGAGAATATTTTCTTTTCCTTTTTTCTAGCTTGGAGGTATTATAGCAGAAGTTAACTTGGCTGAGCATTCTACAGTTATTACATTTTCAGATTATCATGATGGAGCAGCTACATTCCTGTTAATAAATCACACCAAGAATGACATTGTTCAGTACAAGCAAAGGTAAGAAGATTATCACAAATACAATATCCCCTGGTTTCAGCAGAGTCTAGGTGAGTCTAGATGAGACATTGACTTTATGATGATTTCTTAAGCATATAAATACTGATAATGGCATCGTGGCTATGTTAAAACAATGTCCTCATTAAAAAAAAAAAGTATACTGAAGTGTGTTAGGGGTAAAACTGACTCTATATCTATAACTTACTTTTTTTTTAATTGCGATATAATTGACATGTAACATTAGTTTCAAGTGTACAACATAATGATTTAATATTTGTATATATTGTGAAATAATCACCACAGTAAGTCTAGTTAACATCCATTACCAAACATAGTTACAAATTTTTTTTCTTGTGATGAGAACTTGTAAGATTTACTCTCAGCAACTTTCAAATATATAGTACAGTATTATTAACTATAGTCACCATGCTAAACATTACAGCCCCATGACTTATTTATTTTATAACTGAAAGTTGTATCTTTTGACCACCTTCACTCATTTTGTCCACCCCACCACCACCTACCTCTGGCAACCACCAATCTGTTCTCTGTATCTGTGTGTTTGGGTTTTTTGTTGTTGTTTTCCTTTTTGTTTTTTTTAGATTCCACATCTAAGTGAGATTATATAGGATTTGTCTTTCTCTGTCTGACTTATTTCACTTAGCATAATGCCCTCAAGGTCTATCCACATTGTTGCAGATGGCAAGATTTCCTTCTTTTTTATGGCTGAATAATATTCAATTGTATGTATGTATGTAGTGTGTGTGTGTGCGCGTGTGTATATATATATATCTATATATATCTTTTTGAGTTAGTGTTTTTGTTTTCTTTGGATAAATATCCAGAAGTATAATTGCTGGATCCTATGCTCGTTCTATTTTTAATTTTTTGAGGAACCTCCATATTGTTTTCCATAGTGGCTGCACCAGTTTACATTCCCACCGACAGTGCACCAAGGGTTCCCTTTTCTCCACATCCTCACCAACACTTATTTCTTTTCTTGTCTTTTTGATGGTAGCCATTCTAACAGGTATAAGGTGATATCTCATTACAGTTTTGATTTGCATTTCCCTGATGATTAGTGATACAATTTACTTCTAAATGCTTCAAAAAAAGAAAAATGGAAGAACTGAAGCAAGTATGGCAAAAGCTTAATCGTTGTGGAATCTGGTGAGGAAAATGTCAGGGTTTTCATAAGAATTTTGTCTATTTTTGAAGTTTTTCATATTTTTAATGAACATAATGTAAATAGTGAAACGAGATTTTTTTCAAACAGTAGATACCTTCTTCTTGCTGAGGTGTGTAGGAAAGGACTGCAAATCTTTAAGCTTCTCTGAAGACCATAAATAAATCTCGATATTTCAGGATTACTCTTAACATCATTTGTTCCAATTTGCTGTGATATAATATCCTCCTAGTACCACTACAGTTTATGTAATTTTCTTCCTCTACTTATTGGTCCCAAGCTGTCTTGAGTATATTTTGTCTGCTTTTTTAGTTTGTTTTCATGTGTCACTTGTCAGTGGGCCTATATTTATCAGTGCACTTATGCTTTCCTTCCACTGCTGAATGTACACTTCTGATCATTGACTAAAATCAAATAGGCATTGAGTGAGGACCCCAAGGCTGGGCTAGCAAACACCTAGAACTCCTCCTTGCCTATCAATTCTCTCTTCTGTGGAAGATGTTGAAAGAGAGGAAAGCCTATGTTTTAGGATTAATACTATGAAATTAATATTACAAAAATAATAAATTGGTTAATTAAAACTGACAAAAACAAATAGAAATGTTTTCTCCTATGCCCTTCAATCCATGTACTTCAAGTAGCTTTTCCCAGTGTTCCCAGAATTAAGACCTACAGAAAATGACTTGAGTGACTATTTTCTTGATTCTCTCAAGGATACTGCATAGCTGGTAACATCCTAGATACATAGGAGCTAAGTTAATTCTTTACGTACTGTGGATGATGTAGGGCCTCATAGCTTAGTTCTCTGACATCTGGTTGAGCCTGGCTGAGGCTGAGCTAGAGACTTCTCAGTCTTTTCTTTGGCTTTGACCTTGCAGTTTTCTTTATATTAAGAGTGCAGGCATAAAGTGTTTAGAAATCTTATCTACTGCATTGTTATAATTGTAAAAGTAAGGGATAAGGGAAAAACTAGAATGTGATCCTGTGTTGAAATTCTGACACAAAAAAATTACAGTCTTACTGGAAATTTATAAAATAAATAGTCTGCAAGAATTACACACTGGATTTAAATTTAGATTTATTTGAAGAAGTAGTTATTAAATCAAGAACCTGAAACTTTGGTTTAAAAGAATATTGAATCCAGAGTTCTGTGTGCTGATGATCCCCAAATCTTTACTCCAGTGTAGACTTCTCTTAAGTTTCAAGCTGCCACCTCCTCCTAAGTATCACATAAGAACCTAAAGTGATTCAAAGCTGATCTTATTTATGCTACAGAAACTACTCCTCTTCCATATCCTCCTCTCAGTGAATGGCACTGTCACCCCCTATCATCCTAGATTTCTTCTGCCTCACCACACCCGTCAATTAGTTAAACTCTAGTTTTTAAAAATCTTATCCTCTTGTTTAATCTCTCCTGTCATTATCCCAGTTCAGGCTCCCAACATTTCTTATCTATTTGAGTAGATTTTTGATCTATATCCCTAGTCTTGTCTCTAGTAAATCCTCCATTTGCCACCAGAGTTAGGTTTCCAAAAGTACTAAATATAATCATAGCTCTCTCCTGTTTAAAATTCTTTAGTGACTTGCCATTTCTTTTAAAACAAAATATGTTTCTAGGCTACCTTTCTAATCATTTATCTTTCTGTTACCTAACTCTTTCTCTATCCTTCAGACCAAATGAAGTCTTTGTTTCCTGAATGCTATGGGTCCTTCCATGTGTTTTTACCTTTATAGGTGCTCCTTTCTGATAGAAAAACACTTCCACGTGATCCCTTCCCTCGCCAGCTTAATCTATACACCCAGTTTTTTATTACACCTTGCATATGTAGGTTAAAGCGTTTGTCACATTGTGTTGTCATTTTCTTGTGAGTTTAAGACATGTACACATACATAGTTAACATTCTGAGGACTATGGTTAGTTTTTATTTTCTTTAGAATTCCCATTGCCTACCTAAGGTATATTTGAGATGAATTTTTTCATAAGGAATATTCTGCAGTGAATTAAATAGACTAAAATTTATATGACTCGAAAGCATTTCTAAATATTTTTAAACCAAATTTATCTGATCAACACATTTACATTTGATATTTTTTTATGGAAAAATACGGATTGTAGGTCTTTTGTCTCCTCTGCTTTCCCTTGGCTTTTTTTGTTGTTAATATGGTTGTTTCCTGCAGATAAAAATAATAGCTGTTAATTAATTTTTAAAATTCTGTAGAAAAACTGAAAAGAAAACCATAATCCTTGGAATCCCAACACTGTCAACATTTTGATGCATTTCTTTTCACACTATTTTACTATTGCTATCTATATTTCTTAATTTCATTTTTAACAGCTATTGTGAACATGTAAATTTGCTTCAAAAACACAATTTTTAATGAATGCATGATATTCCACATTTAGATGTTCTATAATTAAATACTCCTCTTTTGTTGAGAATTTTATTTTCAATTTTATGTTAGAATCTGTTTATCTTTTGATAAAAATCCTTAACCCATTTGTAATCCTTGTAATAAGCAAATTTATGATTCCTTGCCATATTTTTTTTGTAATATGGATTTTTTTTTTCTAATGATGATTTGGAACATATACATTCTGTTCCTGTTCTATATAATTACTTTTTTGTTCTTGAAGATTTTGATGTGTTTTAAATTTTGAGAATGAAATAGTTATCTGCTAACTTACACATGAAAAATTTGAAATAACTTTTACATTTTCTTGAACTTCTCTTTCCAAGGTCTCAGTTTCTTATGAATTTGGGATTTTTGACCCAGATTAATATTAAATGGTTAGTTTTTTGAAAACATGTTTAGAGCCAGCCCTGGTGGTCTAGTGGTTAAGATTCAGGTTCATTTCCTGATTGTGGAACCACATCACCCATCTGTCAGTTGTCAAACTGTGGCAGCAGCTCACATAGACAACTAAAAACTAACAACTAGGATGCACAACCATGCACTGAAGCTTTAAAAAAAAAAGTTTATTCAAGGCTTTCTCTGGCATTTGCATTTATTGTATAACATATTAATAACAAGTTGATTTATTTGACTGGTTTTGTTGCTTAATATTTCTACACACTAGTTCTTAAAACTATTTCGAATCACATCTGGCTTGGTTGGAAAAAGTCTTTGAGTTAGTTTTTCAGTAAGAGTTTGTTATGCTGTTGCTTGTTTGAAAGTATTTTACTCTTGCAAGTTAATGACAATTTGACGTAAAATTTTAAGTCATAACCTCTTTTCCTCAAAATTGTGTAGACATTGCTCCATTGTTTTCTGGCATTCAGTATTATGGAAAAGTGTGAAACCAGTCGTATTTTTGTTTCTTTGTGGGTAACTGATTTTCCTAGATGTTTATAGGCAGTTTTCTCTCTATTTTCTTTTTTACAAAGGATGTCTAGGATGATATTCTGTTTTCATTAATTTTGTCTAATAACCAATGAAGTCATTTCATCTGCAGAGTCAGCTTCTTCTTCAGCTCAAAAAAGTTATGTTTTATTATTTCTTTGGTTTGTAACTTCTCCAATTTTTTTCTTTCGGGCAATCATTTTGTGCGTTGATTGAATTTCTTAGATTTATATCTCATGTCTTATGATTTTTGAAAATAATTGAGCTGTATTGTTTTTGCCGAGTAAGACAAATACTTAGGAAAAGGTTACCAATTAAATTCTCTTAGATTTAGTATAGGTAAGATAAAGTAATTGGAATAATTCTCTGTCATAATTAATTTGTATTAAAATGAAAGTTGACAAAGTAGTTTCAAAGACCTGAAGACTTTTATTTTCTAAGTAGAACATATATTTCCCTTGAAATAGTCTCATTATTTTCTTAGAAAACCTCTTTTTCATTGATTATGGAAAAAATTTCAGTCTACTCAATCAGAACTATCACAACTTTCAATTAATGGACTCAGAATTAATGAAGTATTATTTTGGATTCTTTATATATTCATATACTTGCACTTAATTTAATGCACACTTTTACTATTTATGTCAGTTCTCTCAGGGAAATAGAAGATTCCCTCCCTCCGGGAAAAGCAGTATTTTATACATGGGCTGATCCAGTGGGCTCTAGAAAGCTGAAGTGGACATGTGGAAAAAGCCACGGTGAAGTAACACAAAAGGATGTATGTACTGGATTGATTGTTATGGTGTTCTCAGCAGCCTTTTTTTTTTCCTCTTCAATAGTTGATTTTGTTTTAAAATTTTTTGAATAAAAATATAAGTAAACTTTTTTTCACTACTTGTAAATGTCAATAACAATAGATAAAAAAACCAGTGAATTCCTGTTTTCTTCTTTCTTTTTGTTAATTGAGGTCACACTGGTTGATAACATTATATACATTTCAGGTGTACATTGTTGTATTTAGGGTTCTGTATAGACTGCATTGTGTTCACCATCGGAAGTCTAGTTTCCATCCGTCACCATAATATATGCCCCTTTACCCCTATCACCCTTCCCCCACCCCCTGCCTTCTGGTAATCACCAATCTGTTCTCCATATCTATGTTTGTTTGTTTATCTTCCACATATGAGCGCAGTCATTCCGTAATTGTCTTTCTCCATCTGACTTATTTCGAAAATGGCAAGATTTCCTCGTTTTTTTGTGGCTGAGTAGCAGCCTTTTCTTTTTTTTTTTAAAAGGTATCTGTTTCAGCCTTGCTGGTTTTAAGGCCTGTTTTGTGCCTACGCTTCTAAAAAACTACCAAAGATTTTAAAAATATTATTCAAATGTTAACTTAGTCAAAAAGTGTTTAAAAATCGAAGAATTCTTATTTTGTTAACTTAGTCAAAAAATGTTTAAAAATCAAAGAATTCTTATTTTGTCTACATCATTGTTTGCTTCTATTATGTATAAAGGGTAAACTGTGCTTAGAGGTGTGCTTTCAGCATTCACCTCATAAACAGATATATTCTCTGCATTGACAGTCACCTTAGGTCAATTTAGCTTCTCTGAGGAACATTTAGGCATCCACTAACTAAAAAATTTATTTCTGGCTGAGAAGCTATTGCTGATTTGTTTTTTATAATATTAAAGTTATGTATAAACATTTTCCAGTAACATTTTAAGTGACTTCCAGAAATTGTTTTATTAGTCTTTCAAATTTCATCTTAATTTGACCCCTATTCCAATGTCTTTTTTCTTACCACTAGTTATTGTTTCTTCCTGTGACTAGGCCAGTGGTTCTCACTCCCATTTTAGAGGAGAAACTGAATGTTTCATAATTAAGTATGTCTTTACTGTAGGGTTTTTTGTTTTTGGTAAATACTCTGTATCAAATTAAGGCAGTTGCCTTCTACTCTTAGTTTGTAAAAATGTTGTGTGCGTCTATATGTACAAATGAATGAGTATCGAATTTTTATCAATTTTTATGCTTTTTATTTTTTATCTATTGAAATGATTATATGATATTTGGACTTTATCTTACTTGAGAGGATGAATTATATGGTTGCTTTTTTAATATTAGACTAACCTTGTATTTCTGGAATTGGCTTGCTAATGTTTTAAGATTTTTGCTTGTATTCATGAGAGAAGTTGGCCTGTAACTTTCCTACCTTGTAATGTCCTTACCAGATTTTGAGATCGAAGTCGTGATGACTTCTAAAACATGTTGGGAGGTACAATTTTCCTATTTTCTAAAAGAGGTTATGTAAGATTGGTATGATTTCTTCCTTGAATGTTTGCTAGAATTTACCAGTGAAGCTAAGCCATCTTAACCTGCAGCTGTCTTTGTAGGAAGATTTTAAATTATGAATTCTATTTTGTTATTATATATAGGACAATTCAGTTTTCTATTTATGCTTGTGTCATTTTGGTAAGAGTTTTTCTAAGAATGCTTATTTCATCTGAATTTTCTGATGTATTGATATAAAGGTTTTCATAATATCCATCATTATCTTTTTAATCTTTGTAGTGATTCTCTATTTTATTCCTGATATAGATTATTTGTGCCTTCATTCCTTTTTCCTTAATAAGTTTTGCTAAGGATTTATCAGTTTTATTTGTTTTGTTTACTGTCAGAAAGTCATTGTTTTGCTCTTTTGATGATCTCTTTTATATATTTGTTTTCATTTTCACCAATTTCTGCTCTAATCTATATTATATTCTTTAATTTTTCTTTGGTTTTAATTTGATAATTTTTTCTAAACTCTTGAGGTAGGTACTATGTTAGTCTGCTTGGGCTACCATAACAAAATACCTTAGACTGGATAGCTTAAACAACAGAAATTTATTTCTCACAGTTCTGGAGGCTGGAAGCCTGAGATTGGAGTGCCAGCATGATTAGGTTCTGGTGACCACGGTGAGGACTCCCTTCCTGGCTTGCAGATGATTCCCTTCTTGCTATGTCCTCACATGGCAGAGAAAGAACAAGAGAGCTCTCTGGTCTCTCTTATAAGGATACTAATCCTGTTGGATCAGAGCCATAGTCCCTCCCTTATTACATCACTTAACCTTTATTGCCTCCATAAAGGCCCTATGTCCAAATACAGTGACATTGGAGGTTGGGACTTCAACATATGAATTTGGGGGCGACACAATTGAGTTCATAGGAAATACCTATATCATTGTTTTTCAGAATTTCTTCACTTCTTATTTGAAGTCACTTAAAGTCACAAATTTCCCTCCAAAACCAGCATTAGTTTTATCTCACAAATTTTATGTTATGTTTATTATCCTTTAGTTCAAGATTTTTCTAAATTGCATTATGATTTATTTTTTATATTTTGGTTTCATGGATACTTAGTTTATTACTTTTAAAAAATATGGAAATTTTCTAGTTATGTTTGTTGATTTCTACCTTAATTCCACTGTGATCTGAGAACATACTCTGATTCAGTCCTTTGAAATTTATTCAGATTGACTTTGTGAGTCAGCATGTGGTCAGTTTTTGTAAATATTTGGTGTGTATTTGAAAAGAGTATGTGTTCTGTAGTTGTTGGTTACAGTGTTCTGTATATGTCAGTTCAAGTTTGTTAATTGTGTTGTTTAAATCTTCTATGATTAATTTTTTTGTTTGCTTGTTTTGTTACTGTGAGAGTGCTGTTTAAAATCTCCCAGTATAATCATGGATTTATACATTTCTCTTTTGGTTTTGTTAATTTTGGCTTTTATATTTTGAAACTGTATGATTAGGTAGATACCAATTTAGAATTGTTGTTATATCTTCCTGGTAGGTTGATCCTTTTATTAGTATATAATATTGCAGTGCCCTCTATAGTATGCTTTTAGGCTCAAACATTCAGACTCACAAAACTATCATAGGACACAGTCTGCAACTGCCTACTCAGGAGGAGACAGGCCAGGAAACACAGCATGCCAACAGGGAGCGTCAGACATTTCACATAGCGGTTTAGGAGGTATTCTCTTTGGTCACCTCAAATGACAGCTTTGTTCTAAGGAAACAAGGCTCATTTGGGTGTGTATGAGCCACTTTGTCCTAAGAAGCACTACTCCACAATAGCAAATATCTCTTGTAACAACCGATGAACATAGCTTACAGATTTTCTGCAAGGGACATATAAGCATCATCACACTAAGAGAAGCCTAAAGCCGTGCATTCTTGACTTGTTAAAACCTGCTGTAAATTAGTACTTGTACCACTCTTTCAGTAGTGTAAGGACTTTAGAACTCCCTAACTCCATTTACCCCCTTCCATTTTATGTACTATTGTTGTATGTTTTATTTCTAAATATATGTTAAATCCCATAAGAAGTACTATTACAGTTTTCCATAATTAATGTTCCATTTAAATTAACCCACTATTTCTCCTTTTTGCCACTTTTCATTCCTGCCTGCGTCTCCATGTTTCCATTTGAGTTCATTTTTATTCTCTTGAACTATTTTTCTAGTGTGATTCTACAGTTGAGTTCTCCATCTGTTTTTGTTTGTCTGGAAATATCTTTATTTCACCCTGTTTTTGTGGGGTATTTTTGCTGGATGTCAAATTTCAGGGTTTGCACTTCTTTTTTTTCTCTTCACCTTAGGACTCCACCATTACATAAATGTTAGACCTTTTCACTGTGTCACTTATGACTTTTATATGGTGTTCTACATCGTTTCATACTTTTCATCCTTCAGTATGGATATTTTCTTCTGACCTACTTTTTACTGTACTTCTCTTGCTATGTCTAATCTGCTCTTAAAATCATACATTGAGTTCTTAATTTCAATTATTGAAATTATCACTTCTAGAATTTCTATTCTAGAAATTTTTATTCCAGAATTCTCTATCTTGTTACATAATTCCTCGAATGTATTAGTCATAGCTACTTTAAAGCCTATCTGACAATTCCAATATTTAGATCTCTTGTGGATATTTTTATATTTTCTCTTTTTTTTTCTTAGGTTTCACTCAAATCCATTCTTTATGCATGTTTATTTTTGACTGTGCACTGGGCGTAGTAGATGAAAATTTTCAGAGATAATTTGAGGCTCTGTATGATGTTCCCTATCTTTTGAGAAGATATGGTTTTGCACTTGTCAGGCAGCTAGTCTAGGGAGAGATTACCTTAATCCAAATGGGGATTGAAATGATTCGAATCTGGTCTTCAGTCCTTGTGAGAACTAGTCTATTTTCAGGTTACCCTGGCACCTAGCCCTTTGGGTACTCAACTGAAAGCCTAAGCTGTTCACCCCTTCTTTTTGGTATGCCTTGCGCTCCAAATTTGGTCCTTCCATTCCCTTGAAACTACCCAATATTTTTCTGATTTTCTTAATTTCTCAGTGTCTGCTTCTACTTGTAGAATTGGCAATTGACTTTTGGAGAAAGTGCCTCCAAATACGAAGTTCACTTTTATTGGCTTTCTTTCTCTCTCAGATCTTGGCCCCATTAATTCTCACTTGCTTAGTAGCTTTTCTGTCTTTTCAAACATGTGTTTTCCTTTTTGTTTTTTGTCCAGCTTTTTTTTCTTAGCAAAAGGGTTGGTCCAAGACCACCTAGTCATCAACTACCAGAGCAGAAACTCATGGTGTCTTTTTAAAATTAATCTTGTTAGCATATGGGAGTATAATGGCATTTTGTTTATTGATTTTTGTGCAGAAAACTCACTGAATTCTCTTATTAATATTGATTATTTGGTTTTTATTTTTCTGTATGGACAATGATGAAACTTACAAATAATACTCCTTTTCAAGTCCTTTCATCTTTAATTTCTTTTTGCCTTACTGGGCTGGCTAGGATCTCTATATACTGTTGAATAAAAGTGATGTTTACAGACATCTTTGCCTTACTTCTGATCTTAAATTATATACCTTCAGTATTTCACCTTTAAGTATGATCTTTGCCAAAGTTTGGTGTTTTGGGGGGTTTTTTTGGAGAGTTTGTTAAAAGGTTAAAGAACTTCTCGTCTAGCCTTTGTTTGCTGAAAGTTTTTATTATGACTGGATATTGAATTTTATAAAATGTTTTCTCCCACATAGGTGCTATTCTGTTTGCAAAACATTCCTTTTTTTGCTTCAGACTTCCATCTTGGATCACTTTCTTTTTGCCAGTATTTGATTCCTCCTGTAGAATTTCCTTCAGTGAATCTCTATTGATGATGAAATTTAGTAGTTTTTATTTGTCTTTAGGCATCTTTATTTGTATACTTTTCTTCACTGAAGGATGTTTTTGCTGAGTAAGGAATTCTGGGTTCAGAGTTATTTTCTCTTAGGATATTGATGGTCTTTTTCCATTGTCTTCCAGTGTTGCTCTTATGGAGTCCAGTGTAGGTATTTTTTTTTTAGATGTATTTGAGAAGGCTGCTTATAATTGACCTGTTAACTTTTTTTTATTCCTGGTTATTAGATTTATTCAGGAAAAAATATTTTAATATAAAACTCTTATTTATTTGATCTGTTGATTAGTACTTTTGCATATGGTGAAGTTTATAAAGATAAACCTGAAATCTACAAAATATTAGAAAGACTTCAGAATTATTTGGGAATAAGTTAATTTTCTTTCTCAATGTAATTTTAGTGATATATATTCTATTTTAGAAAGTATTATAAGTAACATGACTGTTTCTAGATATTGATTTGATGTGAAGAACCCCAATTTTTAATTTCAGTGGGTTATACCGTGAATGTGTACTGTATGGTAAAATTTTCTGTTAATCAGAATATTCTCTTAACTAGAAATTCATGAGTGTTAATTATTAGAATTTGGTATATTTATCTTGTCATTGAACCTCAAGACCCTGATATCAGCACAATGCTTATATATAAGGGCTTCCTGCAGAATTAATCCTGTGGTGAATATCCATGCTTTGTAGAGCATGCAACTGAGGTGTCAGATATGTTTTATCATATTGATTCAGCTCTGTAAGGAAATATGAATTTCTGACCGGACAACTTTTAACATATAACACATTGATTAATCATAGAATAAAGCAGAGAAAATAATACTTTGTGTTATTGATTAGCCTACAGAGGGAGACTAATTAGATTTTATTAAGATGTTAAAAGAACAATTGGCCTGTCTTCTTGATTAATAACTTCGTAATAATAATGGCAGAAGTTAACATCACATGATTTTAATTATGTAAATTTCCAAATATCACACAAATATTAATTCATTTAGTTTGTTCAACCCTGTGAAGGAGGTGCCATTACTATTCTCAGTTTTCAAACGTGGAATCTAGATTTCATATTGGTTGGGACAAAACTCTAATTTTTTATTTTTTGATGGTTTTGTTTTAGGATATGATGACACCTATAAATTTGGGGAAAAAGACCATTTATTTAGTTTCATTCTTTGAAGGCTTACAACGCATTATTTTATTTACTGAAGATCCAAGGGTATTTAAAGTGACATATGAAAGTGAGAAAGCAGAGTTAGCAGAGCAAGAAATTGTGTTGGCATTACAAGATGTTGGAATTTCTCTCGTCAACAATTACACAAAGCAAGAAGTAGCCTATATTGGCATTACAAGGTTAGATGCGTTAAAATTTGGATAAATTTAAATGATCAGTTCTTAATCATTAAGAATGGTGATTGTAAAATCTAAAATAATTTAGTTTAAATTTTGTGTTTTGACTATTCATTGATACTAAGGTAAGGCTAATTTAAAAGTGCTTTTGAGGGTTTTTTTTGCCTTTTGAAGTAAAGATATATTAAAAATCAAAGTTATAAATTCCTCATTATGTTGATTCTCCCAGCTCTCTAGAAAGTTAGATTTATTCAGCTTGTCGAAAGTATACTTTGTTTAACATGTCATAAGAAAATGTTTAGTTGTCCATTACCACCTATCTCAGGGCAGGGCGGGGTACACTGTCAATGCTCCATCAATATTTATTGGAGGAATAAAGACAATTTCTTTCTAATTTGACCTTGGCACTTTAAGATCTAATAAGGTAATACTGTATTTATCATTGCCCATGTAAGTCATCACCAGTAAAACTCTTTTCTTTCTCTTATGCCCTTAATATTCCTATTCATAAACACTTCATATAAGCTTAGGTTATATATATGTTAGCACCTAATTTGAGAGGATTTCTGGATTCTAGTCGTATAACCAAGATAATGTAGTTTTAATCCTTTACTTGAGATAAACTCCCAAATAAATATATATATTAAAGGTATATGATATAGATTTAAATTTATTTTTCTATGTAAATTCATCTAGAAATGCCCCTGACTTCTCACTGAATGGAATCCATGCCATTTAAACAGGGATATTGAAAACTATCTTCTTAGAAATTTTTTGTTGTTCTTAAAAATGTGTTCATTATTTAAACAAAAAGGTCAAATAGGCAACAGATTTTAAGCCTGTAAAACCTATTTGCTATCTCATATGCTAGATAATGTGAATGCAAAGGGAATAATACATGATTCCTACCTTTCTGTTTATTAAGTGATTATAAATTTTAGAAGGAATAAAATAGAATACTTAAAATTAAATAACTTACATACTTAAACAGAAAGAGTGAAGTAATTTTAGAATGTGGATAGATTTTTTATTCTGTACTTATGTCTTTCAGCATAAGTCTTTTCAGTAAGTTAGATTCGTTCCATTCTCTCTCTTCTCTCATACATTACTATTTCACACTTTGTTTCTTTTTAAACCCCCATTTTCTGTCTCAGCTCACTGCCTTGTATCACATTTCACTGAGAAAATTGAAGCAATCAAAAGGGAACTTCCAAAGACCCACCCTCTGATATCACAACTTCCTACCCATCAGCAATTTTTACCTACATACTGTGCCGACATACTTCCCCACAGTTACCATAGGTATATCATATGTGCTCCTATTTAAACATATTTTTCTACTTTTGCACTATATTCTATTCCCTCTTCCTTTCTTGAGACATTGATCCAGTAATTCTCTTCTTTCTCTCTCCTCTGTCAATAGTTTTTGGCTCTCTATTAGATTGTTACCATCAGTGTTACTTCTCTCAAAAAGAAAATTCTCTTGAGCCTACTTTTCCTGCTGCCTACTTGCCCATTTCTGTGCTTCCCTTTTAGCCAAACTCCTCAAAAGTGCTGTCTATTACAGAAGAGTAGTATATTCACTATCTCCAGTTCTTTTGTACCCATTTTTTCTTTAACCACTCCAAACAGGCTTTTGCTTTTAACATACCATGAAACTGGTCTTGTCAAGATCACCAGAGACCTACATATTGCCAGGTCCAGTGTACAATTACCAGACCTCATGTTGCTTAAGTTCGTAGCACTTAACACAGATCCCTCCTTGTTACAGTTTCTTTGACCTGACTTCCAGAATACCTCACCATCTTGGTTTTTCTTTCTATCCCAACATTCTCAGTCTCATTTGTTGGTTCCTTGTCTTCTCAACTGCTTAATATTGGGCGCCCTGAGGCTCTCAGACTTCAGTCCTCTTCTCTTCTGTGTTTCAGTTTTATGATTTCAAATACCACATGTATGCTAAACATTTCTAGAACTCTATCTTTGGCCAGACCTTTGTCCTGAGCTTTAGACTCGTATATCCAACTGCCTAAACAGAGTCCCTACTCAGATGTCTGAGACTTCTTAAACTTCATATGTGTAAGACCAATCTCCTGATCTCTTCCTGCCAAAACCTGCTTCCCGATTGGAGTTAATTACAACTACATCATTCTAGTTGCCCAAGCCAAAAACTTTGGAATCATCTTTGGTTCCTGTCTTTATCTCACACCCCACGTCTAATCTATCTAGAAGTTCTGTGCTGGCTCTACCTTCAAAACACACATAGAATTTTCACTACTTAACTGTTACACCCTAGGCAGAGCCATCACCATTTCTCTCCTGGCTTGCTGCATTGAACTCCTAACAAGTTTTCCTGCTTCCAGCCTTCATCCTCTTTCTTCTTTCCCCCCATCCCAACACACAGTGTATTCTTAACAAGGCTTAAGTCAGATCATGTCGCTGATCTCATGATCTTTCAGTGGTTCCTCATTTCAGAATAAAACTCAGTCTTTACAGTGTCCTACATGGCTTTGCATTATTTGACCTCGCCTTATATGTCTTAACTTCATCTTCTACTCTTAATGTGTTCCAGGAATGACAGCCTATGTGCTCTTCTTCATACACTACAGGTGTGCTCTGCTTTGGAGTGTTTGCTCTAGCTGGTCCCTCCACCTGAAATGTTCTTCTCCTGTTGTCTGCTGGATAATTCAGTCATCTCCTTTTTTTTTTTTTTTTCAGATTTATTTATTTATTTTCCCCCCAAAGCCCCAGTAGATAGTTGTATGTCATAGCTGCACATCCTTCTAACTGCTGTATGTGGGACGCGGCCTCAGCATGGCCGGAGAAGCGGTGCGTCGGTGCACGCCCGGGATCCGAACCCGGGCCGCCAGCAGCGGAGCGCGTGCACTTAACCGCTAAGCCACGGGGCCGGCCCTCAGTCATCTCTTTTAGGGTTGCTGAAATCTTACCTTCTCAATGACACCCCCATTGAACACTCTATTTTAATACTGCAGCCCCCACCACTTTACATAACCCACTACTCCAGATCCACCTTACCCTGTGTTTTTTTTTCTTTCAAAACCATTTCACCTCCTAATATATTAAAATACACTAATTTATTGTATTTACTTATTTACTGTCACTCCTCAGCTAAAATAAAGCTCCAGAATGGCAGAGATGTTCACTGATAATATTCCTACCACTGAGAATAGTGCCTGAATAGGATTTTAATAAGTATTGGTTGAATGAATTCGTGTTTTTAAACTTGATTAAATTTTACGAAGGTTTTGTAATTCGTGTAATAAACCGGTTAAAATGAAATGTTTATAAATTTGTACCATGAATTTTGCTCTCATCTATAAGTTCTGATGTGGTTTGGGAGACAAAGCCCAAGAAGAAGGCAAGATGGAAGCCAATGAGTGTAAAGCACACTGAGAAGTTAGAGAAAGAATTCAAGGAATATACTGAATCTTCACCTTCAGAAGATAAGGTTATAGAGTTGGACACTAACATTCCGGTAATATTTTTAAGTACTGATGTGAAGTTTTGATTTTTATCTGTTGTAATTAGATGATTCACTAGTGAATTATTAAGGAAAGTCTGGTTTCCTTACAAAACAACGAAACCTATCATGCATACTTTATATAAAATATTTTAAGGGAATAGTTACCTATATTAAGAACTCACTTTCCCTTAAGATGCTAATGATCTATTCCTTGGTTAACAAGAAGCCAGTGAGTTGTTTTATTCATTTATTTTAAAATTATTTTTTATCACTTTATTTTTTAGTAAATTTATATGAAAAGTGATAGAACCAGGCTATAAGGATTATGTGAATATTTTTGTGAATTGTATGGATATGGGCTATAAAGATCTCAATCTAAACCTAATCAGATACTAGCCTACTATTTTAATTAATATTATTATTAAAATTTTTTGGTTGAAATTTCTGCATTTAACCAATTATGAATAAAGAGAAATTTCACGAATTTTTTTTTGGGGGGGGACATGTTTTTCAGGTTCGCTTCACACCCAGTGGTACTAACATGAAAATTCTGCAACCACATGTAATAGCTATACGAAGAAATTATCTTCCAGCATTAAAAGTAGAATATAGCACATCTGCACACCAGTCATCATTTAGAATTCAAATTTATAGAATACAGGTGAGTCTGAAAAGATAGTCAAATTATATTCTAAAGGAACATAGCAATAAACCTAATATATTCCCATGGTCTGTTTTATCTAGTACTTCAGTTTCAGTGAACTAGACTTTTTGATTCCTTCTACTTCTTAAATCCTGTTATTCTAGTCAGGTTCTGTAATTAACATATTAATATACTGACCTGTTTTTTTATCTTCTTAGATCCAAAACCAGATACATGGTGCTATATTTCCATTTGTGTTTTATCCTATTAAACCTCCCAAGTCAATCACCATGGATTCAGGTTTGTTTGTATTTTTAGATTGTCATAAAAATAGTTGTATTAGCTATTTGGTTTATTTTGCTATAGCAATATGAAATGAAACCATCCTCAAGATTAGTTTCTATAGGATCATTGGAAAATTGAACAGCTTAAAAAGGACCAGCAAGCGCTCAACTATTTTCCACAAAACTCTGAGTGAATACTGAAGAAAAGATTAATTAGAAATATGTATTTAAATTTTTAGAAATATTAATATTTAAAAAAAGATTACTAATTTGTAAACACCTGATTTAAAAGCCACCAGGACCTTGGAATAAATCATGAGGAAATTCAAATTTAGAGTGTTTTCTAACAACTATTCCATATTCTCCAGATGAGAATAACTGACAAGTCCTTCCTTCCTTCTGCTTCTTCCCCTTCACTTTCTCTTCCTCCGTCTTCCCCTCACTTTCTCTTCCCTTTCCACCGCCCTACTTCTCCCACCTCTCCCCTTGCTTTCCACCCCCTACCTCCACACCACTGGCTCTAAACTATCTAAGGGGGTATTTATAATCTGCATGGAAGCTTTTTGACCAGTATACATGCCCAAGCCCCTCCACTTAGAAGTTTGGGGCAATACCCTGAAATCTGTTTTCACGAAGTTTCCCTGATTCTAATGCATACTTCTAGTTTAAAATTACTAATTTAAAGAGTCTGAAATTAAGATTGTAATGGGTCTTACAAATATCAGTAATTTTGATTGATACTCATGATTTAGTAAATAATTTAGTTATCCATTGTGGTGTGTATTAAATTGCAAGAAAATGCTTATCTTTTGCTTAAAGCATCATGGATTACTCGTATTTATTAACCTTTACAGCACCAAAGCCCTTTACAGATGTCAGTATTGTCATGAGATCTGCAGGGCATTCCCAGATATCACGTATTAAGTAAGTGTCTTAATACATTTCTTGTGTGTTCATTTAATGTTTTGACTTAAGTATGTGAGTTAATTGCACTCTTTAAAAAGATAAATTTCAGGTAAGTCAAAGATTTAAGTGTAAAATATTAAATTATGAAGGTCATAGGAAAAATCTATTATTTTATAATCTTGGTGAGTCAGAAGGCTCTGAATGAAATATTCATAGATATTAACAATAGTCATTTCTAAATTGTGGTTATTTTCCTTGTTATTTGTTTTCTCTCTTAAGTTATCTATAATTATTGCATATTGTTTTAGAAACAAGAAAGAAAATATTTTCAAATTTGGGCACTGCTCAGTCTAAAAAACAGAATATTGACAGAAATATCCATCTATGTATTACTCCCCTATTTGTTGTTTCCTCTACCTTATCACCAAGATAAACACTTTCTTTATTCCTTGCTTTTTAAAATATAGTTTTATTATATATGTGGACCTAAACATTATGCTTTTTAGTTTTCCTTTTTTTCCCCTAATTTTTAAAAAATTTTTTCAAAATGTACATGTACTCCTGGGACTTGCTTTTTTCATTCACCTTTTTACTAAAATATATTCATTTTGTTGGATGTAGCTAGAGTTTTTCATTATCACTAATATATAATATTCTGTTATATGACTATATATCACAGTTTACTTATTGATTTCCTCTCTATAGATATTTTCATATTTTGAGTTTGTTGCTATTGTGAACAATCTTGTCATGACATTTTTTTATTTATTAATCTAGGAAGTCCTAAGTTTCAATGTACTAATATTTAGCTAATACTTTTTTTTCTCATCTAATTTTCTTAATGCAGCTAATTGATGATTTTTAAATGTTTTCTATTTTATAATGTAGGTACTTCAAAGTGTTGATCCAAGAAATGGATCTCAGGTTAGATCTTGGGTTTGTCTATGCTTTAGCAGAACTTGTGACAGAAGCTGAAGTGACTGAAAAAACAGAGGTAAGATACAATAATAGCATTGATGGGAAGAATTAGGGAAAGAGGAGGACTAAAAAAAAATGATATCATTATAAATTCTTAAAGGTGTTAAAATGGTTTTGTTCCATTTTAAACATACAGTTTTTAAATTTTTATTATGCTGCTGTGGTGAGTATATTGGTAGAAATCACATTTTCAGATTATAAAAGATGGAAGCAAGACAAGTTAAAATAGCCTTTTAAAAGTGAGTTAGCAAATAGGAAGAAAGATTTTAGGCCAATAGTAGAGGGAAGAAGATAAGAAGTTTTTTCTTATTTTATTTTCCTGTGTTACTTTTGTTTTGATTAATAATTTAGAAATTTGGGTATAACCAGGATATTTGATGACAGAAGGAGTAAGGCAAATAAAAGTATCTTATTTGTGACTGATGGGGAAAGACTATAAGGTGGGTTTTAGGATGGATCAGATATGGGCTCTTTTTCAGTTGCCTTCATGGAAAGAATTCAGAAGATAAGACAAACTATGTGGATAAAGACTTAGTTTTTTCTTTTAATAACAATTTATTGAGATATAGTTCACTTACCATACATTTTACTCATTTAAAGTGTACAATTCAGTGGTTTTTAGTTCATTCACAAAGTTGTACAACCATCATCACTGTCTAATTCCAGAACGTTGTCATCACCCCGAAAAGAAATCACCCTAGCCCCATGCAGCCAGTGATGTACTTTCTATTTATGGATTTTCCTCTTCCAGACATTTCATATTAATGAAATCATACACTCTGTAATCTTCTGGTGGGCTTCTTTCACATAGCATAATATCTTCAAGGTTCATCCATGTTGTAGCATGTATCAGTACTTCATTTCTTTTTATGGCCAAGTAATATTCTGTTGCATGGATATGCTGCATATTGTTTTCTGTTCATCAGTTAATTTGACATTTGGGCTGTTTCCACATTTTGGCAATTATGAATAATGCTGTTATGAATATTTGTGTACAAGTTTTACTTAAATTCTAGCCATCCTAGTGGGTGTGAAGTAGTATATCAGAGTGGTTTTGATTCGCATTTACCTGATGAGTAATGATGTTGAGCATCTTTTGATGTGTTAATTGACCATTTGCCTATCATCCGTGGAGAAATGTCTATTCAGATCCTTTGCCTATAACAATAGGCAATCCTTTAAACAGTCCATTAAACAAATGGATTGTCTTTACTGAATTGTATAAGTTCTTTGTATATTCTGAATACAAGTCCTGTATCAGATATATGATTTGTAAATATTTTCTCTCATTCTATGTGTTGTGTTTTACTTTCTTGATGTCTTTTGAAGCACAAAAGTTTTTAATGTTAATGAAGTCCAAATTATTTTTTCCTTTGTTGCTCACATTTTTGGTGTCATTTATAAGAATCCTTTGCCAAATCCAAGGTTATGAAGATTTAGCCTGGTGTTATAAGGGTTTTAAAGTTTTAGCTCTTACAGTTAGGTCTTTCATCTATTTTGAGTTAATTTTTGTATATGTTGTGAGGTAAGGGTCCAACATCAGTCTTTTTTATTTGCTTATCCAATTGTCCCAGTATCATTGGTGAAAAGAGTGTTCATTGCCCATTAATGGTCTTGGTACCCTTGTCAAAAATCAGTTGACCATAGACACATGGTTTTATTCCATTGATGTGTGCACTTCTTGTGCCAATACTGCACTGTCTTGTGCTTTATACTAAGTTTTGAGAAGTAAAGTTTTTGAGAAGTATGAGTCCTCCTACTTGGTTCTTTTTCAAGATTGTTTTGGTTATTTTGGGTCCCTTTGCATTTCCATATGAATTTTAGAATCAGCTTGTCAACTTCTTCAGAGGAGTCATCTGGGGTTCTGACAGGGATTACATTGCACCTGGAGATCACTTTGGGGGGCATTGCCATCTTAACAATGTTGAGTCTTCCTTGAACGTGGGATGTTTTCTATTTACGTAGATCTTCTTTGTTTTCTTTCAACAATGATTTATGGTTTTTAGAGTATAAGTTTTGTACTTCTTTTGTTAAATTTATTTCTGAGTATTTCATTCATTTTTTACAGTATTGTGAAAGAAATTTTCTTAATCTCATTTTCAGTTTGTTCATTGCAAGTATATAGAAATAAAATTGATGTTTGTATATTGATCCTGTGTTCTGCAAACTTACTGAACTTGTTCATTAGCTCTAATAGTTGTTTTGTGGATTCTTCAGGGTTTTGTATATGTAAGATCATGTCATCTGAGAATAGAGGTAGTTTTACTTCTTCCTTTCTCATCTGGATGGCTTTTGTTTCTTTTTCTTGGATATTTGCCCTGCTGGAATCTCTAGCAACGTTGAATAGAAGTGCCAAGAGCAGACATCCTTGCCTTGTTTCAGATCTTAGAGGGAAAGCTTTCAATCTTTCACTATCAATTATAATGTTGACAGTGGATTTTTTTTGTAGATACCCTTTATCTGGTTGAGTTCTCTTCTATTCCTGGTTTGTTGAGTGTTTTTATCATGAAAATGTGTTGAATTTTGTCAGATGCTTTTTCTGCATCTATTGGGATGACTGTGTGGTTTTTGTTTTTGTTCTGAGATATTTTTATTACATTGGATGTTAAAACAACCTGTACCTGGGATAAATTCTGCTTGGTCATTTGTATAATTTTTTGTATGTATTTTGCTGGATTTAGTTTGCGAGTATTTTGTTGAAGATTTTTGTGTTCATGTTCATAAGAGATATTGGTCTGTCATTATAGGCCAAACAGTATATTATATATATTATTTAATCAATTGCTTTTTAAATCAGTTAAGAGAAGAAAGGGAAAAGATTATATATTTATACTGTCTTTTATAATTACATAATTACCTTCACCAGTGCTTTGTTACCAGTGAATATGTCATCCCACTGCCTTCATACCTCGTTTCTGCCAAGAAGCCAATTATTAATCTTATTGGGGTCCCCTTGTATGTAATAAGTCATTTTTTTCTTCTCATTTTTAAGATTTTCTCCTTGTCTTTGACTTTCAGCATTTTTTTTACTATTATGTATCTGTTTGTGAACCTCTGCATTTATTGCACTTGGAGTTCATTAAGCTTCCTGGGTACGTAGCTTAGTGTTTTTCAATAAATTTGGGAAGTTTTCAAGCATTATTTCTTCAAATATTTTTTCTACTTCTTTTTCTTTTCTCTCTCCTCTCCTTCTGATACAGTTATGCGTCCCTTAATGACAGGGATACGTTCTGGGAAATGTATCATTAGGCAGTTGCGTCACTGTGTGAACATCATAGAGTGTGCTAACACAAACCTAGATGGTATAGCCTACTACACATCTAGGCTATATGGTACTAATCTCATGGAACCACCATCACATATGTGGTCCATCACTGACCAAAACGTCATTATGTGGCGTATGATTGTACTCCCATATTGCCTATGTTAGTATGTTTAGTGGTGACGCACATTGCTCTGAGACTGTTCGTTTTTCTTCATTCTTTTTTCTCTGTTCTTCAGATTGCATAATCTCTAACAGTTTATCTTCAAGTTCACTAATGAAGTGAAGCATTTGATGTAGCATATAATGAAGCATTTAAACTTCTACCAGTTCAAATACACTGTTAAGTCCTTCTAGTGAATTTTCCATTTCTTTTATACTTTTCAACTCCAGAATTTCTATTTGGTTCTTTTTTATAATTTCTCTCTGTATTGATATTCTCTATTTGATGTGACATTATCATTATACTTTCCTTTACTTCTCCAAATATTATGATTTCCCTTGGTTCTTGGAACATGTTTATAATGGTTACTTTGAAGTCTTTTTCTTTTAAACCAAACCTGGTCACTCTCACAGGCAGTTTCTTTTGCCTACTCTTTTCCCAGGATATGGGTCATACATTCCTGTGTCTTTGCATATCTTATGATTTTTAGTTGGAAACTGGACATTTTAGATAATAGGCTGTAGCAACTGTGGGTACTGGTCCCCCTCTTCCCAAGGCTTGTTACTGTTATTAGTTTCTTCATTTAGTGACTGGCTGGATTATTTTATTGAAGTCTAGCCCACCCACACCTCTGCCTTCCCCTGCAGTGCTAAGCCTTTGATGTTGCTCCTCAGGGAGACAAAGATTTGGGATACCCACCATTTCCCTGGAATAACAGTGGTTTTGACAGGGCTTTCTTCATCTCTTTCCATGACCACACTCAACTGTTAAACTCCACTGATTGCTGGCTGGTTGCTCTGTTTTTTTCAACAGTGCCTTAGGTAAATTGGGTAAATTGCTTAGGGTAAAATGCTGTACAGACTAATCCAATCAAATTTGGGCTGCTTTGAAGGAATTGATCTGGAGATAAGTGTTTGAAATATCTGACCGAAGGAGGACTCTTCTAAATTGTTTCTTTCCCGTGTTCTCTCATGAAAACTAATAGGCTTACAGTTTAGTCTGTAACTTCATTGAATCAATGATTTTCCTCCCAGTTACCTTGCACCACAACATCCACTGTTTCCTAAAGCACTCTTATGCTTGAACTCCTTCACGCTCTGTTGTAAATGAAGTCAATTTCTTTGGAAATAGATTAGGAGCTGACTGTTTTAAAGTCTACTACCCCCCCAGGCAAAATCTCTGAACCAGAGTCATGGAGCTGGGGGTGAGGCAAGGGTGCTCAGAACCCCAATATTCTCAGTGGTATCACACCCAAGTAGAAAGACCCACTTTGTTTCATGAGTGGAAACTGGGCAGATTCAGAAGGAAGCTCCTACCTTCCTTGTAATTTAGCCTCAGCAGCTGATAGCTGGGGGCAGGATGAGAAATTCTGACATCCTCTGCCTTCCGGGAAGAAAGTCTTCCAATTGGAGTCTGGGCAGAGAGGGAGCTCTGTGTTCTCAGGTGTACCAGTCTTGAGTGGAGTTCTGGCTTGTTGAGCTGGGAGTGGGAACTGAGAGAATGTTCGTTGTTCAGATACCACAGACTTCCTTTTCTTAACCTAATTTTTGTGGATTAATAGATATTTCATTTGCTTATATCCTTAGGACCGTTCATAACGGCCTCAAATGTTTTTTTAAATAGATTTTACCAGTTTCACTGGGGAGCTAGTCTAAAGAGCTTCTCACACTGTCATCCCAGAAGTCAATTTCCAAATATACTTTTAATAAGGCTCTCATTTTGATGATTTTGTTAATAGGTTAAAATATGAATGTTGGGCCATTTCTCAGCACATAGAAGTAACTTAGATTTGTGAGTGTTTGGAAGAGAAGTAGTGTTGATTATCAAGAATGAAAGCACTAATCACTTCATGTAAAATTATTTTCAATGCCTTCTCTTTTTTTGATTATATTACTGGCCTCTGTAGATGTGTTGGTAAGGCATTTACCAAAAAGCTACCAGTGAACTATGATTATATTTTTAAAAAATATATTTCTAAGAAAGTACTGATGGATTGGATTAGTGGCCTTTTGGAATAAAATCTATGGTCACATGAAGAAAAGCTTAGTGTCTTAATGGATTGGATGGAAACATAGAAGATATGCTTATCAGTTTGTGAGTGACAGAACTTTCCTAACAATAGAGATGTTAGTTTCCCTTCTGAGGCAGTAACTTTCCAATCATGAGCAATGTTGAATCTGGATATTATAGAGGAGTGTTCTGCAGTGTGAGCTATTGGCTTAAATACCTCATGCAGATAGGTCCCTTAAATTTTTAATATTTTTATGTTCCTGTGTAGGTTGAACTTTTTCATAAAGATATAGAAGCTTTCCAAGAAGAATGTAAAACAGTTTCATTGGCAGACTCATCACAAGTCAGTCTCTATGAATACTTTCATATATCTCCTATCAAGGTAGGGGAAAAATAAGTCATTTTTATTATCCTTGATAATCTAGGTAATAGCAAATCAACTTGATCTGTTTGGGGGGATATACCATTTAAATTATGTTCTTTAGTAGTATATAAATTCTGTAACTTTACAATTACGAATGTAAATAAATAACAAAGAAATAATCCTTTTAAATTTTTATTTATACTTATAATAATTTTTTACCATGTGGAAATAATAGTGGAGCCACCTACTACATGTGGATTATATGTTTATATCTTCACCTAGCATAATGTCACCTTAGTTTTCTGTTAAGGTGTTTATGACAATTTTCAAAATTTTGTATATAATGTGTGTATAACTATTTTTTTTAATTGAGGCATAATTGACATATAAGATTCTTTTAGTTTCAGGTGTACAACATAATGATTCAATATTTGCATATGCTGTGAAATGACCACCACAGTAATTCTAGTTACCTTCTGTCACCATACAGTGTTATAAATTTTTTTTCTTCTGATGAGAACTTTTAAGATTTACTCTCTTAGCAACTTTCATGTGTGCAATACAGTATTATTAACTATACTGTATAAGTTTTAAATTAATTTGTAAAGTAACCTTGATTTAAGAATTGAAGTTTGAATGGAAGTAAATGTAAGTTCTTAACACAAAGTTTCTATGAGTTACTTACATAATACTTGAAGAAAAATTATTCTACAACTATATATACAATATGTATATGCATACAATACAAAAGTGCTTTTTGACTGGCTTCACCGTGCTAACTTAGTTCTAATAGTTGAAACATTCACTTTTCGAGATATTTGAGTTATTTCCAACAACTTCAACTTTTAGATTTAAATGTTATTAAAAAGTGTGTAAAGGAGCCTGTCCGGTAGCGTAGAGGTTAAGTTTGCACCCTCTGCTTCAGTGGCCCAGGGTTTGCTGGTTCGGATACCGGGTGTGGACCTATGCACCACTTATCAAGCCATGCTGAGGCAGCATCCCACATAGAAGAGCCATGAAGGACATACAGCTGTGATATACAACTATGCGTTGGGGCTTTGGGGAGAAAAAAAAAATTAAAAGAAAAATTAAAAACAAAAAGTGTGTAAAAGTTAATATTTTCCTAGGTTTACTAAAATTATTGAATTGAACTAAATATCATATCATCTTACATTGCTGAATTTAAAATTTAAAAAGAGCTGTACTAGATTTTAAATTTCTTTAACTTTCCACTTATTAATTTTGGCATAAACCAGATAATTTTGAAATCTTATTTATGGTGTAGTGAATTTAAAATGAGATTAAATTTTAAAAGTTAAAATTGTCATTATGAAGATAGTGCTTTAAATATTTATCTCTTTATCTCTTTAGTTGCATTTAAGTGTTTCACTGAGTTCGGGTAAAGAAGCTAAAGATTCAGAACAACGTGGAGGACTGATTGCAGTTCATTCTTTAAATCTTTTGCTGAAGAGTATTGGTGCCACTCTTACAGATGTACAAGATGTAGTTTTTAAGTATGTTTAATATTCAAGTCTATAAATTGGTGAAAAGTCCATTTTATATTTACCTAAAAATTTTCTAAGTGAAAAAGTGTGTAAAGTACATTGCAGATCATAGGCAAAATACAGTTTTTGCTGTTAAATGGAATATAATTTAAGTAACATATTACCTGCTAACCCTTAACTATTAAATAGCAGAATAATTATTAAATAATTGCCTTAAGAAAGAGGGACAGAGGCCATGCAAGTTTGTGCATTATATAAGGCCTTTCTGGCCTAGGGAAGGATTCTTAAGAGGCTGTGTATGCCCAAAGGTGTGGTGTTTAAAAGAGGTGGTGCTTAAAACGGCTTCAAGGCCTATAGGATCAAGATTCTTCAAAGCATTTGTGACTAGAATGAAATGAATGCCATGACAGCAAAAGTGAAGGGATAAGTTTAAATGTTACCATCAAGAATTTACATTTTAATGTGAGTCATAATGGAAGCTATTAGAGTATCTGACCAAAGAGACTCAGAGAGTCTGAGGGGAGACTTTAGATGAGAATGAGCTTTTTGGATAGCACCTAGACCTGTTAAGAACAGTAGTAAGAATCAATAAGTCCAATGAGAGATAACTCTAAATCTAGATAAAGTTAGGTAACAGTCAAATTAAAGAACATAGCTTTAAAGACATCGGGAATAGGATGAGCTTTTTAATCTTGGTACTGTCATATCCGCTAGCATAGAGCTTCCCAATTAATGGAGCGGGTATATGCTGTGAACAGGTTATAAGTAAACCAGTCTTGATTCCTCAGCTGTCAGCTGATCAGGACCTGCAGCAACTGAACTGTGTCCATTCTTGAGCAGCCTCTCCATTTATCTCAGTGTGTCAAACATTTTCTGTGTGGGCCATAATAGGACAGAGTTGAGAAATACGGTTCATGTCCAGGGGCGCAGTCTCTGAATCTCCTAAATTATGTGAAAATGTGTATATATTGGCAGCTTTTCTGAGGATAAGATCCATAGCTTTTATCAGATTCTTAGAGGGTTCTTTGATCAGAATGTGCAGAGATGTATGTTAAAGAGTAGATTTTCTGATTGGCATGGGAAAATGTACTAAAAGGAAAGATTTGTAGAAAAATTCTAAAGAAAATAAAACTATTCATTAATAGTAAAAACATCTCTCTCTTTCTTTTTCTCCACACATGTATTTATATATTTATATGTTTTTTTCAGGCTTGCATTTTTTGAACTCAACTATCAGTTCCATACAACATCTGAACTACAATCTGAAGTAATAAGACACTATTCAAAACAGGTTTGTCTGAGATTATTTCACAAAGGGACAGAGTGGTATAAAATAGTGAAACTGCATGTGTCTGTATATGTATAATGTAGATTTGGCAAGGAAGTGAATAGCCATTTTCAAATTTTTTAAACTTTTTTTTTCCCTCAGAATTGTAGAAAGAAATTGAGCCCAACCCCCATTTCATTTTTTTGTCTTGTTTTTTAGCCACTGACAGAAATCTTTTCTGGATCAGTGTGGCCTAGACATAAATCTTTAAATAAAATATTAAGTAATTCATCACACTTCCTTAAAAAAAATAGGTTCAAGGGAAACAATTTATTAGTAACTAACTGATGAAAACAGGATATTTTTAATGTAATTGAGTTATTGAGTCAGTTAGATATATTATCTTAATGGATTTTTTTCCACCTCTAGAAAGAATCCTGTATCATATGATATAACTGTATTGTATTGTATGATATTGTATGATATAACTTATTTAGTATCTGAGGCATCTGTTGTGTAGTGGACAGGTCACTGAGCATGACCAGGAGGTCTGGGTTTGGATCCCGGTTTAGCCATTTACCCACTGTGTGACCCTGGGCATCATTTGACCTGTATGTTTCTCTAGCCTTTAAAATGATGGTGGTAATAACTGTCAAACATAGCTGTAAAAGTGAAAGCATTTTGAATATTCTAAAGCTTATGTAAATATGTCATATGATTTCCAATATTCTAACACCAATCTGCTTTTTAAAAATGAAAACTAGGGATGAATAAGGTGATATGATTTAGGTGTTGAAATTGGTGGTAAGAGTGAAAAAAACTGGATATATGTAGTGAACATAAGAAAAAAATATTAAATCTGATTACCTGAATTGATTAATGTTCATATTGCATTTTTAGGCCATTAAGCAGATGTATGTACTCATTCTTGGACTTGAAGTTTTGGGAAATCCCTTTGGCTTGATTAGAGAATTTTCTGAAGGTGTGGAAGCATTTTTTTATGAACCTTACCAGGTAAAATAGTTATCCTTGCCTTATGCAGTATATCACACTAACACTTTTGAATAAATAATGCATTCCAGTTGTTCACTTGAGTTATGGGTATAAATAGATTTTGGGAGACGCAACAAAAGGATATTATTTTCCCTCAAAATTTAAACTTAAGACTTTACTAAGATATACTGAATTTTTTAAGTGTTCTGTTGGAACATTAAAGGTGGGTAAACTTCACGCTATAGTAGAAGGAAGACCACCATGGACAGGTAGTCAGGAATTCTTGCTTTGCACAATAGTGTGGGACAATAAAAATAATCGTGCAAGCTGACACTGTGCAGAGCAATCTTAATAATCAATGGCAAAAAATATGGTTGTTCTATGTCCTTTAAAAATTTCTGTCAAAACTCTCATACTTTCACTTATAATGAAAATAAAGTAGACCTGTTGTTTATTTTGTATAGTGTAATTTAAGATTAGATATATTAAGAATTAAAGTATTTTTTTTTTTTTTAATTATCAAGAGTAGTTTGTGCTTACTTTCTCATCATATAACTTACAATACAGAGCAAGCATCTTTTGTATGTTTTGGTAAATAGTCATAATCTTTTCTAGGTTTGGATCAACTTCCAACATTTTATCCTTTGCACTTTCTGAGAATTGTGTAATGTGACGTTTTTTGCTGCTATCAGTTCTTCTGGGAAATCTTTATTCTTTTGGTCACTACTACTTTCCTCATTTATAGCAATAAGTTCACCTTTAAAAGTAAATAGAACCTTATTTGTTATTATTATTTTTTGACCCTTTAGGGAGCCATTCAGGGTCCTGAAGAGTTTGTCGAAGGAATGGCACTAGGACTGAAAGCACTAGTTGGTGGGGCTGTTGGTAAGAAACAGAATGCCTACCAAATATGATTATGCTAGAAAGTCATGATATATTTGCTTTTATTAAAGATATTATAACTTCTGCTAGGTGGATTAGCTGGTGCTGCCTCCAGAATCACCAGTGCTATGGCTAAAGGGGTAGCAGCTATGACTATGGATGAAGACTACCAACAGAAGAGAAGAGAAGCCATGAATAAGCAACCAGCTGGTCTTAGAGAAGGCATCACTCGTGGAGGAAAAGGCTTAGTTTCTGTAAGAAATTTCCCAGTGTTGTGAACATTTTAGGGAATTTCTTTTAAAGCCACGTTCTGTGAATAAGGAAATAGGCATAGAATTTTCAGTCCTTCATATATTATTTGGATATTGGAGGAACAGTAAATTGTGGCCTACATAAAATACATCAGTAGCCTCCAAAAGCATTCAGTTTAAATAAAATAGTTAGGAAGTACATTAATTCTTATGGTATCTAGAAAGCACAGCTCTGTATTTTTTTTGTAAGCCAGGTTCAGTTCTTCAAGCCATCCTGTGAAAGTATTATAAATTTTCACTTGTGCTTTCCCTCTAGGGTTTTGTAAGTGGCATAACAGGAATTGTTACAAAACCAATCAAAGGCAAGTATGATAGTTCTTTTAGGTAATGTATATTACCAAGTCTTTTACAAGTTGATTCTATTTTCATTCTTCATCCAGTTGTCTAAAACTTTGTCTTTTTTTCTTTCTAGGAGCTCAAAAAGAAGGAGCAGCTGGTTTCTTTAAAGGTGTTGGGAAAGGTTTAGTTGGAGCAGTGGCAAGGCCAACAGGAGGCATCATAGACATGGCTAGCAGTACATTTCAGGGAATAAAAAGGTAAATTCTCTTTGATGTAGGATATGAGTAAAATGCTTAAACCACAAGAAATGAAATAAATTTGCTGTTTGGCTCAAGGTACTTAGTTATGAACCCTGTAATATGACAAGTTGCATATGATCTTTATAATTCCTTTTGATACTTTTTACGTTGTTGCCATTGCATCATTTCAACTTGATAGAGTTCTCCTTTATTGGTCATTTATTCCCAGGGTTCTTGGCAGGAAAGGTTTAGCAAGTTAAACAAGCTTTTCAGTTATGTTGATTGAAATACATTATGATAGTGTAATGCTATATGTCAGTTATAAAATTAGCAAATGTAATATTCTGTCTCCTTTTTTGAGAAATAAAGAATGGCATTTTATATTCCTGGTTCAAACTTAGCCTGTGTTTGCCCTTCCTTTAAAGGATGCTCTTATTTTGTTATGAAACATTACATCCATTCCCTTTATTTCTCTTCATTTGTGCAATAATTTTAAAACATGTTATCTCTTCCTCCAAATTAAGTTTAGTTTATGACTGAAATTTACTAGTTACATTTTCGTTCTCTGTTCTAGAAATTTGCGACACATACAACAGTTGGTTAAATTCATGCTAATGAGACATAACTTAGAAAGTTAGGTGGGTGGATATCTCCCTAATCTGTTTCCTTTTGTATTTTCTCTTACTTCCTGCTCTATAGGGATAAGTATTGTCATCTGATGAGCTGCTTCTCTTAAGTCAATATTTCATACTCCTTACCATAATTGGATGTTTCTGGTTTTGTAATTTAGAATTAGGATGAGAAAAAAAGGTTCAGTCTCTTCTGCCTGTAACTTTAGTTTCACACGTATGATGTGTTGAGTCATAGTCATCAGAGAAACTCAAAAGTCAATGAAACATAAGGAATTCAAAATATGTAGGGCCAGCCCCATGGCCTAGTAGTCAAGTTGAGTGCACTCCGCTTCGATGGCCCGGTTTCGCAGGTTCAGATCCCAGGCGCGGACCTACGCCACTCGTCAGCCATGCTGCAGTGGTGACCCGCATATAAAATGGAGGAAGATTGGCACAGGTGTTAGCTCAGGGCGAATCTTCCGCAGCAAAAAAATAAAAAATATGTAGAGAGCTATGCAGGTGTCTGTTCAGAGCTGCTAGAATAACCTTCCATTTATCTAATAAATAATCTTGTAATCTTGTAATCTGTACTCAGCTACATTACCTTTAAGGGGTAAGGGCAAAATAAAACATTTTTAGAAAAAAATAAGACTAAGAACTGTTAAAGGACGTAGTTGTAAATGACATTGAAACCAGAAAGAAGTGGGTTATAAGAATCAAATGTAAAAATATAAATTGGTAAATAAAGCTAATTGAACTGTATAAAAACAACTTTGGAACCAAAATATTAAAAATAATACGATGCAATTTGAGAAGGGAATAATTGGCATTAAGCATTTTAATATCATTTCTGAAGAGGATATACGATTTGTTATATATACACATGCACACATATATATACATATATACTATATATACTAAAGACGATTGCTGCATAACATTAGATGAAACAGACTTGAAGACAAAAAAAAAAATTATTTCAGGTAAATAAAATAATTAGCTAATGATAAAAAGAACAATTAACCAAGAAAGTAATAACAATTTTGAACTTGTCGTCAGTTCACAATAGCCTCAATCTTTATAAAGCAAAAATTGATAAAATTACAGGAACTTGCCAAATCTTCAATAATGGTGGAAGAATTTAACATTTCTCTCAATACTTGATAGATCAGGAAGACAAAATAAAAGTAAGTAAATAAATGATTTGAACACAGTTAACAAGTTTGATCCAATACACACACACAAATATTTATCGATTCAGCACATTTTAGGGAGCTTCTTATATGCCTAGACACTGTTTTACTCACTTAAGGAACCAGAAATGAACACAAGTGGCAAAGTTCCTGTCCTCATACAGCTTACAATCTAGTGGGAGAGTAATAGATGAAAATAAGTGAACTGATAAATATATGATGTACTAAATGGTGAAAAATGCTATGAAGAAAAATAAAGTATAGTAAAAGTTCATAAAGAGATCTAAAGTGGTGGGGAGGAAGGTTACTGTTTTATATATAAGATGTTCAGAGAAGCTTCACTGGTAAGATTAAAATTGTGGAGAGACGTGAAGGAAGTAAGGGAGTGAGCCATGTGAGAAGAATACCCTAGGCAGTAGGAACAGCAAGTAAAAGACCTGATGCAGGAGTATGCATGGCCTGTTTGAGGAGCAGCAAGCCCAGTGTACCTGGAGTAGAGTGAGCAAAGGAGAAAGTTGGAAAAGATGCTATCAGAGAAGGAGCAGGGGATCAGATCATATAGGGCTTGGTAAGCCACTGTAAGGACTTGAGCTTTTTCTTAAGTAAGATAAGAAGCTATTGGAAGGTTTTGAACAAGAAGAATGATGTAAGGTGGATGCTATATTGAGAATAAACCACAGGGGGACCAGGGCAGAAACAGGGGAACACTTAAAAGACTTTTGCAGTGATCCGTATGAGAAATGATTAGACCAGTATAGGCTAGAGGTTGTAAGAAAGAGTCATGTTCTGCATGTCTTTTGAAGGCAGTAACAACAGGATTAGTTAATAAATTGGATGTGGCATATGAAAGAAAGAGTTCATCAAGGGCAATTCTAAAGTTTTTGTCTGAACATCTGAAAGGATGGGATTGTCATTACTTTTAGGAAAAGAGGGAATTAGAAGTTTTGTTTTGAATATATTAAACTTAAACTATCCCTTGGATGTCCAAATGGAGACATCAAGTAGTTGTTGAGTATAGGAGTCTGATGTTCAAGAGAAGGGTGCAAGCTACAGTTAAAAATTAGAGATTTTTGAGCCTATAATACGGTGTTTAAAGCCAGTAAAAGAGATTGGATGAGATCACCTAGGGAAAGAGAATGGAAAAGAGAGAAAAAAGAGTACCAAGGACTTGGCCCTCAGGCACACTAACACTTAGAAGTTGGGGAAATAAAGATGACCCAGGAAAAGAGACTGAAAAGGAATGGCCATTAACATATGGGGGATAATTGAGAAAGTGATGCTCCAAAAGCCAAGAAACAGACAATCCTAGCTTATACTGTTGTTTAAGAGAAAAGAGAACTCCCTCTCCTTCATCTGTGTGAGAGTATTATAAGTTTGATTTGAAAATCAGATGTGGAACTTACAACACAGCAATTGTTCCCCACTCCTTATCTTTGCAATCCCTCTCCTTAGAATGCTCTTCGCCCTGTTATCAGCATGGTCACTTCCTTTATTCAATAATTATCTTCTCGGTGAGGCCTTGCATGGCCACCCTAAAATTTCAATTTATCCGCTACCCCTGCCCAGATACTTCGTATCTGTCTTCCCTCCTTTATTTTTTTTCTCTTTAGCTCTCATCACTATTTATACACTATGTATTTTACCTTTTTATTTGTCTTTCCTGCTAGAATGTAAGTTTTATGAATGCAGTGACTCTTGTCTGTTTCCACGGCATTTAGAATACTGCTTGACATGTGGCAGTCTTTTTTTTTCACCTTGAGATCATTGTAGAGTCACATGCAGTTGTAGGAAATAATGCAGAGAGATCCCTTATACATGTATTATGTTTCCTATGGCTTCTGTAACATTACCACAAACTTGATGGCTTAAACAAGAGAAATTTGTTCTCTCACAGCTCTGGAGGCCAAAAGTCAGACATTAAGGTGTCAGCAGGTCTGCACTCCTTCTGGAGGAAAGAATTTGCGCCTTGCCTCTTCCAGCTTCTGGTTGCTGCAGGCATTTCTTGGTTTGTGGCCGCATCACTCCAATCTCTGCCTTCATGTTCATGTTACCTTCTCCTCTGTGTGCCTAATCTCCCTCTGCCTCTCATGAGAACACTGGTGGTAGCATATAGGGCCCACTCAGATAATCCATGATTATCACCTCATCTCAGAATCCTTAAGTTAATCATATCCATGTAGACTTTACCATATAAAATAACATTCAAAGGTTCCAAGGATGTGAGCCTGATATCCTTGGGAACCACCATTTAGACCACTACATGTACTTTGCCCAGTTTCCACAGTAGTAACATTTTGCAAAACTCTAACAATATCACACAGGATATTGACATGATACAATCCACCAATTTTATTCAGATTTCCTCAGTTTGTACTCATTTGCTTATGTGTGCACTAATTTCCTACAGTTTTAGCATTTTTGTATGTTTTTACATCGACCACCACAGTTGAGATAGTAAACAGTGCCAGCACCACAAAAATATCTCATGTTGCCCTTTTATAACCACATCTATCACCCTCCCATTTATCCCTGTAATCTATAATGCTGCTTTAAACACCTTAATGTAGTCTATTTAAAATTGAGATATAATTCACATACTGTTAAAAAAATCACCATTTTAAAGTGTACATTTCAGTAATTTTTAGTGTATTCACAAAGTTTTGCAACCATCACCTCTATCTAATTCCAGAACATTTTCATCACCCCAAAAAGAAACCCTATGTTTGTCAGCAGTCACTCACCATTTCACCCTCCTGTCAGCCATCAGCAACCACTATTCTACTTTCTGTCTCTGTGGATTTGCACATTCTGGATGTGGCTGGATTCTTTCACTTAGCATTATAATGTTTTCAAGGTTCATCCATATTGTATTATACATGAGGGCTTCATTCCTTTGTATGGCTAAATAATATTCTATTATATGGATATACTGCCTTTGGTTATCTGATTCATTAGCTGATGAATATTTAGGTTGTTTCCACTTTTTGACTCTTAAGAACAGTGCTGCTAAGAACATTCATGTAGAAGTTTTTGTGTAGACATATGTTTTCAGTTCTCTTGGGTTTATATTTAGAAGTAGAATTGCTGGGTCGGTATGGTAACTGGTAACTGTGTTTAACTTTTTGAAGAATTGCCAAACTGTTTTCCACAATAGTTGTGCTATTTATCCCCACTAGCAATGTAGAAGTTTCCAATTTCTCCACATCCTCTCTAACACTAGTTATTTTCCATTTTGTTTTTTTGTTTAATAGCTAACCTATTGGATGTGAAGTGATATATCATTGTGGTTTTGATTTGCATTTTGTAATGACTAATGATGCTCAGCATTTTTTCGTGTGCTTATTGGCCATTTGTATATCTTCTCTGGAGAAATGTCTGTTGAGATCCTTTTACATTTTTTCCTTGGGTTGGTGTCTATTTATTGAGTTGTAAGAGTTCCTTATATATTCTGGAAACTAGATCCCATTTTCCCTATTTGTGTATTGTCTTTTAGTTTTCTTGCCTAGTATCTTTTGATGAAGTCTAATTTATCTATATCTTCTTTGGTTGTTTGTGCTTTTGGTTTCATATCTAAGAAAGCATTACCTAAGCCAAGGTCATGAAGATTTACACCTATGTTTTCTTCTAGCTGAGTTAGAGTTTTAGCCCTTAAGTTCAGGTCTTTGATCCATTTTGGTTAATTTTTGGATATGAAATGAGGTTGGGTCCAAATTTATTCTTTTGTGTGTACGTATCTAGTTGTCTCAGCACCATTTGTTGAAAAGACTGTATTTTCCCCTGTTCAGTGGTCTTGGCACCCTTTTCCAAAATCAATTGACCGTAAATTTATTTGTGGGCTCTCACTTCTGTTCCATTGATCTATATGTCTATCCTTATGCCAGTAACACGTTGTTTTTATTACTGTACCTTTGTAGTAAGTTTTGAAATCAGGAAGTGTGAGTCCTCTGACTGTCTTTCTTGATTGTGTACGTAGTCTCTGAGTCACTTGAATTTTTGTAAGAATTTTAGGATCAGTTTGTCAATTTCTGCAAAAAAGCTGGAATTTTGATAGGGATTGCATGGAATCTGTATATCAATTTGGAGATTATTACCATCTTAACAATATTAAGTCTCCCAATCTATGAAAATGGATCTTTCCATTTATTTCGGTCTTTAATTTCTTCCAGTGATGTTTTGTAGTTTTCGATGTGTGTGTTTTCTTTTCTTAAATTCATTCCTAGGTATTTTATTATTTTTGGTGCTGGAATGGAATGTTTTTAATTTCATTTTTGGATTGTGTATTGCTAGTGTATAGAAATAAAACTAGTTTTTGTATATTGACCTTGTATTCTGCAACCTTACCAAACTCGTTTATTAGCTCTAATAGTTGTTTTGTGGATTTTTTAGGGTTTCCTATATATAAGATCATGTCATCAGAAAACAAAGATAGTTTTACTTCTTCCTTTCCAATTTGGATGTCTTTTGGTTGGTTTGTTTTTTCTTGCGTCATTGCCTTGGTTAAAACTTCTAGTACAATGTTAAATAGAAATACCAAGAGCAGACATGCCTGTCTTGCTCCTGATTTTAGGGGAAGACTTTCAGTCTTTCATCATTAGGTACTGTGTAAGCTATGGTTTTTTTGTAGGTATCTTTTCTCACATTGAAGAAGTTCCCTTCTGTTCCGAGTTTGTTCAGTGCCTTCATCAGGAAAGCATGCTGGATTTTCTGTGTTAAAGATGATAGTGTTTGTTTTTTCCTTTGTTTTATTAATATGCTATATTACATTGATTTTCATATGTTGAACCAACATTACATACCTGAGATAAATCCCAGTTGGTCAGGGTGTGTAATCCTTGTTATGTGCTGCTGGATTCAGTTTGCTGGTATTTTATTGAGGATTTTTGTGTCTATATTCATAAGGGACATTGGTCTGTAGTTTTCTCTTCTTGTGGTATCTTTGTCTAGTTTTGGTATCAGAGTAATACTGTCCTCATAGAATGATATAGGAAGTATTCCCTCCTCTCGTTTTCTTTGGAAGAATTTGTGGAGGATTGGTGTTATTTTTTCTTTAAAGCTTTGGTAAAATTCACTAGCAAAGCCATCTCTATTTGACTTTTATCTCTGGTAAGTTTTTTTGTTTCTGTTTCAGTCTATTTATTTGATATAGGTTTAATCAGTTTGTCTATTTCTTCTGTCAGTTTAAGTCTTCTTTTCTTTGTCAGTCTAGCTAATGGTTTGTCATTTTTGTTGACTTTCTCAAAGAACCAATTTTTTGTTTCACTGATTCCCTCCCTTGTTTTTCTGTTTTCTATTTCATTTTTCTCTGCTCTAATCTTTATTATTTCCTCCCTTCTGCTAGCTTTGGGTTTAGTTTGCTTTTATTTTTCTAGTTTCTCAAGCTATAAAGGTGGATTATTGATTTGGGATCTTTCTTCTTTTTTAATGTTAGGTGTTCACAGCTGTAAATTTACCTCTTAGCACTGTCTTCACTACATTCCATAAGTTTTAGTATGTTGCGTTTTTGTTTTCATTCACCTCAAAATAGTTACTTTGCTTTGTGATTTTTTTCTTTGACCTTCAGTTATTTAGGCTTCTGCTGTTTAATTTCCACAAATTTGTCAATTTCCCAAATTTCCTTCTCTTATAGATCTCTAAATTTATTCTGTGTGCTCAGATAACATACTTTGTATGTTTCAATACTTTTATGTTTATTAAGATGTGTTTTATGGCCTAATATATAGTCTGTCTTAAAGAATGTTCTGTGTGCACTTGAGAAGAATATGTAGTTTGCTGTTGTTGGAATTGAGTGTTCTATAGGTGTTTTTAAGTCTAATTGGGTTATAGTGTTGTTGAAGTCTTTTATTTCCTTGCTGATCTTCTGTCTACTTGGTATCCATAATTGAAAGTTGAGTATTGAAATAACTATTGTTGTTGAATTGTCTTTTTCTCTTTTCAATTCTGTCAGGTTTTGCTTTGTGTATTTGGGGGCTCTGTTGTTAAGTACTTACATGTTTATAGTTTTTATATTTTCTTGATACATTGTAAAATACAATTTTTTGTATCCTTTTCTCATTTTAAAATGTCCTTCCTTGTGTCTAATAAGAATTTTTTGTTTGAAGTCTAATTTTTCCTGATGTTAGTATAGCCATTCCAGCTCTCTTTTGGTTACTGTTTACATGGTATATCTTTTATCATCCTTTTACTTTCAACTTATTTGTGTCTTTGACTCTAAATTGGGTCTCTCGTGGACAGCATATAGTTGGATCATATTTTTTTATCCGTTCTTCCAACTTCTACTTTTAATTGGAGAGTTTATGTATATGTGTGTGTCTGTATATGTGATTATATTATGTGTAAGCTCGTAATTAATATTTGTTGAATGTGTGAATATTTGTTGAATGAATGAACAAATAAATTGACCATCCTCATGTAGGTCCATATAGTCGAAAATGTTAAATAAAATATTACAGTACCAAATTCAGCAGTGTATATGTGAGTTTGAAACAAAATATATCAAGCCCAAGTAAGAATATGAGGTTATTTGAATGTGAGAAAACCATGTAATATAAGATTTATAGCATTAATAGATTTGAGATAAACCATATGATTACAGCAATGACCAGGAAAACCTTATTTAAAATTCATTGCCCATCCATGATTTTCAGAAACAATAACAGAAAAACAACTATAATAAGCAGAGTAAGAGTAGAAATGAACTTCCTTGGCTTGACAAAAGCTGCTTTTAAAACACAAAACAAAAACATTCCTAATATCTGTACTTCATGGAGAACTCTTAACAGCTTTCCCTTTAAAGTTAGGAATGAGACAGGGATGCCTGCAGTCCTCTCCTGTATTTAGCATTGTCCTGGAGGAACTAGATAGTACGTAGTCATGCGCTGCATAAGAACGTTTTGGTCAACAATGGAGTACGTAGACAACGGTGGTCCCATAAGATTAATACCACAGAGGCTAGATGTGTAGTAGGCTATACCATCTAGGTTTGTGTAAGTACACTCTGTGATGATCACACAGGAACGAAATTGCCTAACAATGCATTTTGCAGAACATATCCCTGTTGTTAAGTGACGCATGACTATAGTAAGAAAAGAAAAAGAAATTAAAGGTCTTACATTGTAAAAGAAAAAAGCGGTACTCATCATTTGCTGATTCTCTGGTTATTGTCTACAAAGAAACTCCAAGAGAATCTATAAACAAACTTCTTTACAGTTCTGCTTTTTCTAGAGAACTTATTTGTGTAGAGTAGTGAGGTAATAGTCTTATTTTATCCTAAAGAAGATCCTTTTTAGTAGTTGCATTTTAAAGTTACTTATGAGTTTTTGCATAATTTTTAAAGTCAAGTTATATTTTCCCCCCTAGAGCTACAGAGACTTCTGATGAAGTAGAGAGTCTCCGACCCCCTCGATTCTTTAATGAAGATGGAGTTATCAGACCGTACAGGTTGAGGGATGGTACTGGAAATCAAATGTTACAGGTCGGTGAAGAAATATCTTATAAATTAAGATTAATCAAGTTAGCTTTTTAAAAAGTAGCTATATAATGCTTTAAATATATATTAGATTATTTGGGCTTTTATTTCTTTTGCTTAATTCCATTTATAAGTGTCTTATATTTACTTAGGTTTTATGTACATTTATTTACTATAAGATTTTTTTTCTTTTTTACAGGCATCAGAAAGTTTGATATGAAAACAGTTAATGCATGACTTGGCAAGTGAAAGCCAGCAGTAGATTTTAGCCTTAAAATTTATAGACTACGTACAGCTGTTTCAGTATTTTGAATACAAAGGAAAGCTTTTGTATCGGTAACTTTTTGTATAGGATTTTTAGTGAATCTGATCTTTTTATAGGCTCTTCTTAGTTGTGTACTGGATTTGCTCAATTTATTAAAAGCCATTGTGCCTTTTGTACCCTCATAATTGGTGGTACTTGTTTAGCCAATTAGACCATTTGTGTTTATCAAACCGCTAGTAGCTTTTTTACCAGATATAACCCTCATGTCCAATTAGGCATGGGTAAGGAAAAATATCAGGACCACTGCTATTGCAAATTCTTGAGTTCTTATGTTTTCCTTTTGAAGATGCTCAAATGACCATGACCCTCTTCCTGCTTTATGCTTGTGTAGTCTGTTTAAAACCTTGTGGAATTTGATAAGCAGTTCACATGAAAGCCAACATCTTTTAGTAAGGAAAATTGGCTTTCGGAACAATAGAAAACTTGAAGTAGAATATTTTATCTGTTTAGACAACTTTCTTACTTTGTATCTTGGACTTTGTAAAATCTGGATTATGGTGTAGGTAACTTACACCATAATAGGTTCTACTGATTTAAAGTCGTTTCTGTGTTTAGATGTGGAATACTAAATTAAATCATTTGTTTGAAGACAAACAAAGAGTGATTATGTTGTATAGACTTGAAAATATTCATGGTAATAATAAACTGTGGGGATATGATCCTTCCTTTATAGCCTTGATATTTTAAATATTGTCATGTCTAGAGAGATCAGGGTAAAGATTTAAAACTTTAATATTTTTCCCACTACATGCAAAATATATGATTTTGCATAAAATGTACTTCCATCTAATGTAGTAAAACATAACCATTGAGTTAATGTGCAATATTTAGTAAAGTGAGTTTACATTGTATTTAAAATATTTTTAAAGCATCAAAATAGTTACATATTGGGATAGAGCTGGCCATCTAGTGAGAGGTTGTGCTCTAAAGGGCATGTTTTACAGTCTCTACAGTGACAGCATATTATTCTTTGGAAGATGAAAATGTTCAGAAGTCACCTATGGTTAATACACTTGAACATATATTTCTGCTCAGTACCTGCCTTTCCTTATTAGAACACAATTAACATGTTGCTAATATTTTACCAGACTGAATAGTGATTAAATCATCTTTTAGAAAACTAAAAATATTTCTTGAGAGACTGTTGTAACAAACTTAGTAGGAAGTAAGAATGAATAGTGAGGAGAGTTTTAGAAATACATCCTCATTATTAGGGAACAGATTATAATAAGTAAGAAAGCCATGAGTTATCAGAAATTTCTCATGATTGATGTTTCAAGTAACAAGTAAATTTCAGTGACAAGTAAATTTATTCTACACCTTCCTTTTTATTTTCTGAAGCTTTAAACGTTGGGATTCAAAGGTCATGACTTTTGACCGTGTATTTTTAAAGATGCATATTATTTTCCGTAGGCCAGTCTTAGCACTAATTACTAAAAGAGCTATGTAAATAACTAAAAACTCACACTATCTTGTCAGCCATTACTTGTTTTTCAGCAAGAGCATTAAACACAGTGTTAGCCGGAATACCTATGGGAATTCATCGGATGCCTTAGGATGTTTGTGGTTAGCATTATTCTCTTACAGATGTAAGCAGTGAGTTGTTGCTTTGGTGGTAGTGGTGCTTTTTTGAATCAAAACTCTTCTGTATTATTAGCAAGCACTTTAAAATCTACAAATATCAGTACTGTGGAAATGAAGTAGATGACATATAAACAGAATTTAAAATCTCATCCACCTAGATTTAATCTAAGTGATTTAACCCTGATGCCCTTAGAAAACTTGCAAATATTTCTCCTTTTATTTCTAGTTTTCTAAAAAAGGTACTCTGTGTTCACTAAATTATATATGCCCATATATAATAATTAAATATAAAATACACTCTTTCATTGTGTCCTTTTCTTTCTAGAAAGCAGCACATTTTTATAATCCTTTCTAGTAGTCAGAGTTGCCTACTAGAGAAATAGAATAATAATTCTAATATATTCACAGAATACCCTTACTGGTATCATCAAAATATTTTATACATTAAGTGTGCCAACCAGTTAAGTTTAGTCTTAGGTCTATTAAGTTATGGAACATTATATCCATAGTTACTGCCCTCCTCAGAGCTGAAAAGTCTGCTTCAAAATTCTTCTGACTCCTTGAACATTTCATAATTTTATATGTTTTCCAAGCAATTTACCATACTTAACTAACCTTTGTGCTTTTTTTTTTTTTTTTTTTACCATGCTTACAGAAAATTCAGGTCTACAGGGAGTGGATTATGACTCACAGTAGCAGTAGTGATGATGATTATGATGATGATAATTAGTCAGATATGAAATGTTAAAATTCGTATGTTCTTTGTCATTTTATTTGGAATGTTTCCTCAACGTGTTTTGTATGACTGCTACCATAATGCCCATATGTCCATTTTTAGGGAGTTAAAATACTTTTTCCTTTTAAAATGTTTTTCTACACATTTTCAAAAAGCAAAATAATTGCATTATTTAAGCACAGAAAAATATATTTTACAAAGTAGAGCATACCATATATTATAGCATTTGCTTGTATATATTTTGTAGCTTTGTAATACAGTTTGTCTTTATGATTTGAAGTTAGGCTTAAATATTTTTTTACTATTCACTAGTTTTATTTTAAATTATCTGCTTATTTGTTAGCAAAATGCCATTTTTAATGTTCTCTGTAAATTTTCTGGGCTATAATGTAATGCTATTGTGTAAAAAAAAAGAAAAAGAATAGTAATATCCAGTCAATATTTTATATTTATTTAGCATTTTAAAAGTTTTTTTGTCAAATTTCTTTTAATAATAATAAACTTATATAACTTGAAGCACTATTAATTTGTTGTTCTATTCCAAAATCATATAGGTTGAACTACTGTAATAAGGAACATTCACGATTTGTCATGGAAGGTTAGATAGTGAAATAATTTATAGTCTGAGAATGAAAAAAATGTTCTTTTCTTTGGTTTACTTTTTATTTCATTGTATATATGTATGTTTTTGTGAAACAATGAACAAAGTTGGTTTTACAGTCAATATATTCACTTATTAACTTACATATCCATATGCTATATCCCTATTATAAAATGTTATGAATTAATTGAGGACATTAAAAGAATTTTATAGTAAGCATAATTATGTATATTTTTTCTTAGTAATATTGGGAAAATGCTATCTATGTCTCTGAAAGATACATGAGCAAATCTGTTTTATGTTTTGTGTACTGAAGGTTTTTTTTAATTTCAACTTAGATGAAACTGTCTTTTTCTATTTCTCTAGTATATGAGATGTACCAAAAAAAACTCTCTAAAAAGTGAATATTATAGTCTGATGTTTAATCCCTTATGACTGCTGCGCTTTTTGATCAACAAAGGAACATTTACCTTGATTTATGTTAAGCACTTTTCTTATATTGAGTTTATATTAGATTGTAGTAAATAATAGCCTTAATTGTTCAGCTTTTGGTTTATTGATTCAGCCCATGATTTCTGAGTCTCTTCTAATTCTTAAGTTTGTCAAGATTTTATTTCTGTTAAATCATTGTTCTTTATTTTTTAGAAAATGATTATTTTAAATTTTTATTGATCTTACAAAAAAAAGGAAACTAAAAAATTCCCAGCTCTTTTGAAATTTGTACCTGCCCAGCATTCATTCAGATTAAATTCAAATCAAGGTCTTGTATACTAGGACTAAGAAATATGTAAATATCAAAGAATTTAATTATTATTTTCATCATAATAGTATTCTTATCTTTTTGGAGTAATTAAATAAATGAAAACAGTGATCACTAAAATAGTCATTACTGGTTATCAGATACAATTTGTATTTGTCATGTACCCACTGTTCTCTCACCCTTGGCCAAAATCAGACCAAGCCTGCTGCTTCTTCTAGAAGCTAGAAAGAACAGAGCCTCTTGTCATGTGTTGTGTATGCCTGAGGAAGGAAGGGTCTGGAAATGTCTTCATTGACTTGTTATATTCCACCTTTGCTAGGCACAAGGCCTTTCTAAAAGGGAAAATGCTAAAACTACTTGTTTGCAAGACATTTACTGAGTTTCCTGTGGTTGGTCTGTGACACTTAATTTTACAGTACTGGTTTCATAAAGGTTCTTAAGAATTTATCTGGAAAAAGTTGTGGATATTTCAGCCGTGATTTACCATTTTAATGAAAAGAAAATTGGAGGTAGGATTACATTTATTTAAAATCTCTTGAACAGTAAAAAGATTTAAAACAATATTCTAGTAACTAGTAAACTTTGTTCATGTGATCTTATGAATTCATCATTCTTAAGTTTTTAGCCCTTAGAAATATGTTGTTTAACAGTATAATCGGCCCTTGTTCTTTCTGTTTCTGTTTTCCTACCACGGTGAAATAATCTTTTGAAGCTTTTTTGACCACAGGTATTTTTCCGGTTTTTAAAAAAATGTTATGTGCTTTTATTATATAAAAATTTTTAAATTTAAAATTCATGGAGATGTAGGACCTGGACAAAAATAGCTTCTTATTCCTCATGAAATGTATAGAAAATAAGATCAACTTTGGGATTTTAATGAGACGAACAGTTCTTTTGTTTGTTTATTAGTGGCTTTATAATGAATTAGAACTTTAAAAGTAGAAGTATCCACCTAATAAGAAAGTCTAGTGAGAAACTGTGTTTGAAAGATTGATTATGTAATACCATACCTTTTCTGTCCTTTAACTTTATTTATATTCCAAATTTCTACCTGTTCATTGCTTATGTGTAGAAAAAGGGAGGGAGTGTTCTTCTCTCTTCTCTAAGGGAGTAATTACTCATTCTTTATTTTCCTTTGTGTCTGCTTGACACTTGAGTAACATATTGAAATCTGGCAAGAAGAAAAATTTATAAAAGTCCAGAAATTCTGGACACCTATCACCATGAGTAAATAATCTAAGTTTATAAGAGCCTGTAAATGAAATTAATTAGTGTTCACAGTGGATTATAGATATAACAAATGTAAGTCCAGAATATTATTGCTAACTTGCAATATTCCTTATGGAAAGGGAGGTCAGAATAAATTTCACTTTGTTTCTGTATTTAAAAATAATCAGGATTTTATAAATTTTACCTTTTCTAATTGTTCAAACCACATATCATTGATGCAGTGTTGAGTGTTAATTTTAAGGTTATGTTAATAAAATTTACAGATGGAACCATTGTAGATCTGTGACTAGGACATTAGTGTTAAACATGAAATATATGCTATTGTATTAACATCCCGAGGTCATATACACTAGAATGATGACTGCTATAGTAGCTACTATAGTAGTTTGTCTGATTTAAGCCCTGTGGTGAAATTTTGCATTATACTTTCCTATAGTGATGGGAGGAAGACCAGAAGCGACCACCCCAACTGTTACTGAGTGCTTTTCTACTGCACGTTCAATCCTCTGTTTTTTATTTTATAGATTTACTTGCAAATTTATAAAATTTATTATAATAGTCCAGAACTATTAAAGGTCCTATGGGATCTAAATAAGATGCACAGATTATTCATTTAGATCAAATATTAATGATGATGATTATGGAAAAAGACTGTAGATTTTATTTATTTTATCCTTGCACCTTTGGGATAAATGGAGATCAATTAAAAATGTTTAGATCATTAAATTAATCTTTAATTTCAGTGGATGAATGTTTGAATTCATGAAGTGCAGTGAGTACAATCAATACTAGACAAAACATTACAGAAAGTCCTGAATCAAAGAATAATAAAACACATGATTTCAATAGGTCTGTGTTAAGGAGCTAATTAGAATAGTTTATGATTTTCATATATAGGGGTTTATGGTTTGGTTTGTTTTAATGTGGTAGACCATTTTCATATCCATAATTATCCCTCAATCAGTGTGATAAATTTATTTAGCAGTTATTCCATATCGACTAATATATATAGCAACAGTGTACCTCCAAATATCAGCTTTAAAATAAATGTTTAACAATTTTTAAAATTGGTTTTTAACGTAACCTTCTTCATTGCATATACATATTCTAAGCAGTGAAACGGTAACAGATATCTAGTAAGTTGCATTGTGCCATTCCTCTAGATCCTAGAGATGCTTAAATATTTGAGCATTTAAAATATTATAGTCATTATTTGTGTTTTTTAAAAACAAATAATCACCATAGTCAGAGATTTAGCTAAGTATATATAATTCTTCTTAATTGGACATGCTATGTTTTTCTACTATAAGTTACCGTTTATCAATAACCTGTTAACTGCATATGTCTACAAAGATTTTCTGAATGTATTCAATAAAACTTAGGATTTCTATGAATTAAAAAAATTAGAGACCCGCACTTCCATGGAAAAAGCTAAATCTCTCTTGTGAATCATTTAGTTAACATTGATTCTCAATCTACAATTTTAGTATTTTACAAGAGGGATGAAAATTTTAAAAATTAAAGTAGATTATTTTCTGCATTGTTAAAGTAATATATGCTCAGTAAAGAAAAGTTAGGAAACTATAGAGAACAAAAAAATTATTCTGTCTCCCCACCATTTATATGTTCCTTTTAAGTTTTTTGTTCGTGTGGTTATGATCCAAATATAAAAATTTCTGTTTTGTATTTTTTATTTTATTATGTTTTTATAAACAGATTTATTAACTTCTAAAGATTAAAAAGGTAACTCATTCATAGAATAATCCCCAATGTGGGAAACCTGGTCTTTATTTCTGGAATACATAAATAGCCAGCAGAACCTTTTCTTTATTTTTATAGCTGCCGTAGAAGCGTTTTCTTTTTGACTGAACATATTTCTACCTTTTAACTCTACCTTTTTAAAAAATTTGTACCTCTTAAATAAATCTTCTCCTCTTAAAATGCGTGTGTGTGTGTGTGTGTGTATGTATAATTCTTGTGTCTTTCATTGTCTGTGAATATTGACAGCCAGGTTGTCCAACGGGGGTAGTATATTCTTAACCATTTCAAATATTTTTCAATTTTATCTGTGTTGTCTTTGAATCTCATAAATCTCTTACAAAGATATCACAGTTGCCATTATGTAAGTTGTTGGAGAAGGGAGGCTGTTTTTGTTTGTTGTATGTTTCTTTTCTTTCAGAAATTACAGATGTTTTTAATTAGCTTCAAAAACTGCCTTAGTAGCAATTGGAAGATAACTGCCTTCAGCCGACGTGGTCTTTCACTTTACTTCATGAGGAGAATTACAACTGATCTGGAAGAAAGGGCTTATCATAGGCAGTCAGATCACCAGAGTAGTGCCGAACACTCTTCCTGGCTTCATCTGAAATTTTGAGTAAGTGGACAAGAGCTAGACAAAGGCTTATTGGATTTCACTCTTCATTTTGTAACTCTTCCTCTCCAGAAGCATTCTTCTGAATGGGATGAGAAAACTGAAGAGAGCCAAATTCTGTTATCCAGACAAATTAGAGTTCCTAGCATCTCAGATAAAGTAGATCCTATGGAAAAGGATATTACCTATCCAACTTGTATATAATTCTCACACCTCATTTATTAGTTTAGCACAAATCTCTTGGAGAGCCTTTGGCATATCATTTTTGAAGGCCTATACTTTTGAACATGTAGTAGTAAGTCCCACTAACTTTTTTTTGGACCAATAGAGTAATTCACCCCATTTAGAACTTTCCAATATTACGTAAAAATACTTTTTGAATGAGTCTTTGAAATCATATCTTTTTCTGGAGGTGATGGTTACACTTAAGGGAGGTTCCAGTTTTCTCTGTCTCAAGTATTAAATGAATTTTTAAATTCTCTTTTCTAATCCAGTACCTTGAATGAGACTGATTTGACTGCTAAATCTTTTTCAAAAGTTTGTCATCATTGCATCCCTTAAATTTGTAAATATATTAAGGAAGGATAAATAGTATTAAAATGTAATACACTTAACTTTAAAAGAAATCCCTAAATGTTAAGCTCAGGTAGGTTCAAGAGTCTTACTCTCTTCTTACCAAGGATGCAAATAGAGCTAAAAGTCTATAGTAGATATTAGTTTAGAAAGTCTTTAGCCTTTATTTAGCTAAAGGTGCTAAATTGTAACCTGGGACTCACCCACGACTTCTCTACTGATGTGTTAGAGCTCTACCTTATAACTTCACCTCGTTACTTTGGACAGCATAGAGATTCTCAACATTAATTGAGCTTAGTATAGCTCATTCACGTTTTTTTTAGTAGGTGCTCTAGCAATAGTGTTGTTAGGAGACTTTAGTATATAAGTTATGAAAAGTCTATTTTTTTTAACAGTCAAATGTCCTATGAGAGAAAGGATGTTCTCTTGCCAAATGAAACAATTCATTTTCATACAAAATCAGACTGGAGGCTACTTTCATTCATCTAAAAACAAAAATTTAATGTGATCTTTGAAAGGAAGCACCATGTATACTTTTATTTGTCAGTTAAGAGTCTTTAGTTATAAATTCAAATGAAATTGATATCTTAGTTACTTCTGATGATGACTCTAATGAACTGTAATGCCAATTTTTCAGTGAAAATTTACCACTGTAAAGTACTCCATGGGAAGCAGTGTGGAGAAATGTACATTTAGACATTTTGTGGTACTTTGAGTCTGAGGTTGTTTTAGAGATCCCATCGAGCTGCAGTGTTGGAATACAAGTCTGGGAGGCTGGATATTTCATGTAAAGTTAACCTTTCTAGAATAAATTGCCAGGTTACTTTGAATTTTTAAATTGTCAAAAGAGTAAATGTGTAATTATATATGTATAAATGAATTTTTGCTGAATGATTTGGTAGCATAGTTTATATGAATACAAAGAAAAAATGTAATGCCATGTATCTATTGTTTATACAAGTATTTGTTAAACTCCTATTAGCTGTGTATTAGACATTCTTCTAGATCTAAAGGTTACAGCCCTGAAGAGAGTAGTCAAGTTTCCTGCTCATCTCTCATGATCTTATAATTGTAGTGATCTTTATTATTCTGGTGATTGAGAATAAAATACATGCCATGTTAGAGGCCAGCCTGTAATGTTGGATCTTTGCAGTCTCATTCTTGTTTGTTGACTAGCTGCCACATGCAACACTCTAAGGAACTGCAGGAATCAAAAGACACATAAGATATTTCCAGTCTTGCAAAGAGATAATGATCCCCAAGTATTACATGAAATTGAAGCATTGCAAGAAACGTACTACAGTTGGTGGGATATCTGAATCCATATTCCAGTGAGCTGTTAAAATGGAATCCCATGCATCTACTGGAATACATATAGTTCTTCTGTGCTAACTCATTTTGACAATAAAAATTATCTGAAGTGCAGCAATACCCTATGGCCCAGGGGCTGGATTCTAGAACCAAGTAAACTTGAGTTCACTTTCCAGCCTTTTCCTTTTATTAGCTTTTCCTTTTATTAGCTTTATAATCTTTTATTATGCTTTTCTGACTTCAGTTTCTAGACTATAAAGGGGAGATAATTGTAGTACTTAACAGTGCCTTGGTGTTAGTACATAACACCAAGAGAACAGTCCCTTGGTGGTGTTGCTAGGATTAAAACAAGTGAAGTAATATATATGATTATTAGTACAATGTCTAATAAGAACTCATTGTATTTTCATTTTTCCACATGAATACCAGTTGATACTGGTTCTTGGTCATCATTATATAAATTCTTTATTCCTCATTTGTGTTCTTTTTGCCAAGATAAAAGCATCATTAAATCTTATCCTTCTTTTTCCTCTCAAGGTTAATAGAATATTTTAGTTAAAATACCATGACAGTTTCCACACACTAATTGGTAAGCAATAAAAACGATAAAACCGTAGTAATTTGAACTGTTCTGAATTATACAATATTTTAAAAGAAATGTTATGGTTGTTTTCAAGTATATATATTATCATGGGTCAGTAAGTGTTGCTCAATAGAGGTTCTGCTGGAAATGCATTAGAGAGACTCTTGTAACTGTCCACTTACATTATTTCTGACCTATCTCTCTTGCCCTTCTTCTAGAACGTATTAGGTAGGTTAATTAATGGTCTGCTGTTGTCAATGCACATAATTATGTTATGAGCATAATTCTGTTCTTTTTCCAGACTGTTTTAGTTGAACCATTTGATGACAATTCACATGTCTTAAGGTAATAGTTTCTTTTATTTGATTTTATGTCACAGGGTTATGCTCAGCTTTCCTGCTTTATCTAAGCTGTCAGCATAGTTAATACTTTGGCTGACAATCAAAATAGCTCATTAGCATGGGAGGAGACAGAGGTATGGGGATTAAGTAAGGGCTAATTCCTCTTCAGATTTGATGACAGTCCATGAGATTTGATTTTTTTTTTTTTTTTTTTTTGGAACCAGCTTGCCTCATGGAATAAGCTAAATGTCACTTGTTCACTCTTGTTTACATTTATTCTATTGTATGAAATCGCTGAGCTTTGAGGTAATGAATTTCTACTATATTTGATTATGAAGCTTGGTTGAATGCCTTGTTTTTCCTAGTCATGGCCCTCAAATCCCTCATATTTGAAGTGAATTAGTAAAACATTTTTTATTCCTAATCTTTACTCAGATAACTCTAAGGAAGTTACGCTTATTGACTACATTTTTCTCTAAAGATAAGATTGTTTTGAACAACTTGTCTATTTATTTACTTCTTAAATAATTGAAAAATAGAGCATTTACCATTTTAATTTATGATTCCCTGCCTGAATTTTGTTGTTTTTAAAAGTAAGCTTAATTTTTCAGTATAATCTGTTCATATACCTTTCCTCTTTCCCCATCATCTGCTGACTATTCAGATTAACCAATCTATAAACCATTTATTTGTTGTCAAGTAGATTTTCTTTCTTGATAGCATTCTTACTCTATCTTTCATCTAGAAGAATTTCATTTTCCTTTTATCCCCCATGTTGCTATCTTTTAAAAAAAATTCATTTGTACCTCTATTAGACTCATCCAAAAGAGACAGATATTGATCAGATTTTTTGTTTCTTGCTGAACTATGTGTTCTTACCCTTTATCCAATTTTTTAAAATATATTTCCCATAAATATTAGCACTTTATATTGTTCAGGATTTAAAGCCTACCATATTACTGATTTATTCCTAATATCTGTCTTTTCATATTTTGCTTTGTTTTTTCAGAAATATTTCTATTTTGGAACTCTGCTACTTCATAGCATTTGGATGATTTGAGAGCAGTGTTTTTCTGTATTACTTTAGTTTCTAGCTTATGTTCTTTTTCTAAAGTATTGGAATTTATCTGGCAGGAAATATGGATATTAGTAGAGGGTAACCCTAACATCACTATCTTTCAAGTTCCTTCTTTCTGTGTGTTTTTCAGTTTGTGATCAATTTGGTTTAGATTTATTATATCTAATAAACTAAAGTGTACATACTCATTTTTTCTACTACAAAAGGGACCCTTTTACCAATAACCATACATTTCAATTGTTATCTACAAATTCTGATAATTATATGTAATGAATGCAGTTTCCTTTGTCTTTCTCTGTTTATTTCTTTAAGAAAGTTCTCAATGATAGGTAATTTAATAAGGCAAAAATTGTTTTTCCTTAGCACTATAGCGTGTTAAATGAGACTTTCATGTCTAAATTACTGGCTATTGTACTTGATACTTCAGATCATTTGATATTTCATCCAAATCTTGGTCTTTATGCAAAAGGCTCTACATAGTGACTTCTAGCCCTGGTTTTGCTAGTTCTGTATTTATTTATTTATTTATTTTTGAGAAGGATCGGCCCTGAGCTAGCGTCTGCCAATTCTCCTCTTTTTGTTGAGGAAGGCTGGCCCTGGGCTAACATCCATGCCCATCTTCCTCCACTTTATATGGGGTGCCACAGCATGGCTTGACAGGCAGTGCATTGGTGCGCACCGGCAAACCCCAGGCCGCCGCAGAGGAGCGCGTGCACTTAACCGCTTGCGCCACTGGGCCAACCCCCCTTCATTTATTTTAAAGGGCATCTCAAGTTATTTTAGTAGAAACATTAATACCTAACATCTGTTTGGGATGGAGGATGGTAGGATATTAACACTAAACTATTTACACCCTGTTAACCTAAAAAAAAATCAGCCAGCCTGAACTGCTTTAGCAGCCTGCCTCAGGAACATTCGGTATCCAGGGATATTGAAGATATTTTTGAGATATCCTGGGGAAATGTGTGACTGACACCATAAGAGGAGACATCAAGGTATAGTGAAAAGCACTAGAATTAGAAGTGAAGAAACCACTTTTTTGAGCCCAGTTGTGCAACTGATAGTATGACCCCAATCAAGTGACTTAACTGTAATCTTGCCTAATTACACAAGGTTGTTGTGAAAATTAGATGGATAAGACACTTACTGATCCTTGATTTCTTCATGTGTTAAAGGAAGAGATTGGTTTGGATGAACAATAACATTCCTTCAGGTCTAAAATGCTGGGGTTTTTTCCCTAAAATAATATATAATGATGTATATAGCTTCATATATAGGGAATTTATAAAGTCAAATAATTAGGCAGGAAATTGTGACCAAAGGCATGATATTTGTAGACTCTTTACAGCATGATGGAAGATGGTGGCTGATAAGCTATCACATTCTCTCCCATGCTTCTCTGGGATTTAGTTCCCAAGTTTTAGCTTCTGCTATTATAATGCTGTTCTTATTCTGTATTCACATATTTGTAATGGAAACTGACCAGCAAAATTTTGCTGTGTAAGGAGTTATCTTTGATGTTTATTCAAATATATCCATTCTAATAATAAAGAATACAGTTTATTGTATGTTTCAAAGTAGACTGCTGTGGCCATAATGTCCATTCATCTTTCGAGTGTTGCATCTAAGTTGTTGATGAACTTCAGAAAACATTGCATGAGTGACTTTTTTTGGATTTTTTTAGCTTTTATTTATACCAGCTGCTATGTGACTATTGAAATTGGTTTAATTGCTTATATGCACATGTTAGATTTGATTTAAGTTGTGTCTGAAAAGTGGAAAGTGATGAGAGGCAGGCTCAACTGCAATGCCCAAACTTAACATAAGATAGAAATAAAAGCCAGGTGCTTAGAGTTGAACCAGAGCTTTTAAGTTATTTGAAGGTCCTGATCTATTAATGAGGCAGCTTATTTCTTTTCAGATACCACAAAATTGAAATAATAGGATGTAAAGTTAAAAATAAAAGCTTCACTTCCCCCCCAACTATTACCCTTCCCAGACCCAGAGATAAGTGCTATTAAGAGATTGGTATGTTACCACCAACCCTTCCAGAAGTTTCCTGTGCCTATATAAAGAAGCATACGTGTATGTTTCTGCTTTTTTCTGCCCCCATTCATTCTCAGTAATTTAATTTCTTTTCATTTAATATATCTTACACTTCTTTCTATATCGGTACACACATCTGTCTTTTTCTTTTTCATGACTGCATAATGTCCCCTTGTATGGCTATACTATAATTTATTTAAACAGTCCCTTGTTAATAAGCGTTTAGTTTTTTTGCTTTTACCACAATATTATCATGAAGATTCTTATATGTATATCTTGGTATACATTTTCATAAGATAAATTCTAGCAATAGAATTGCTGACTCCAAGGGTACATTAAATTGATTCAGATTTCCTTGATTTTGAGTTAAGTTGAACATTTTCTTATATGTTTGTTGGTCAGATTTTGTTTGTGTTTTGCTGAACTACCTATTCGTAAACTTCACGCGTTTTCCTATTTGCTCATTTTTCTTCTCTTAGTTTATTCATATTCCAAGAATTCTCTGCGTTATGAAATTAGCTCTGTATCTCTATTGACAAATACTTGCTCAATTTATCCTTTGATTTTTGTGTTAATTTACTTTATTTCTGTTTCTTTGCTTATTGTTTTGCCATTCAGTAGTGTTTAATTTCCATGTTCTTATCAATTTTTTTACGTTGTTTTATGAACTTTGTGTTTTATATTTGTCTTTTTCACTCTAAGATTATTATTATTATTTTTTTTTTTTTTTTTGATGAGGAAGATCAGGCCTGAGCTAACATCCATGGCAATCCTCCTCTTTTTGCTGAGAACCAGCTCTGAGCTAACATCTATTGCCAATCCTCCTCCTTTTTTTCCCCAAAGCCCCAGTAGATAGTTGTATGTCGTAGCTGCACATCCTTCTAGTTGCTGTATGTGGGACGTGGCCTCAGCATGGCCGGAGAAGCGGTGCGTCGGTGCGCTCCTGGGATCTGAGCCCAGGCCACCAGTAGCGGACCGCGCGCACTTAACCGCTAAGCCTGAGAGCCGGCCCCTCACTCTAAGATTATTAAAATGTTATTTTTTCTAGTCCCTCTGTAGTTTCATGTTGTATACTTTAATCAGTGATCCATGTGAAATTAATTTGGTATAAACAGAAAAGTAGGGATCCAGCTTTAGCCAGCAAGTCACTTGAAACACCATTTATTTGATAATACTTGCTTTTGCCTAGTAATTTGAAATGCTGTCTTGATTTTATAAAGTCCTATGTGCATTTTGGTCGGTTTCTGGAATCTGTATTCTTTCTATTGATATGTCTTTATGTAACTTCCACCAGTACCAAACTGTTTCAGTACTGCAACTTATAAATTGTATTTATGCCTGCTACGGTAGTTCTCATTCTCCTTTCATAATTTAGTGGATATTATCACTTTTTTCCTAGAAAAATTTTAGTATAATTTTTTTAAATCAATTCTTCCCCTCCCCAAAACAAGCTCACAAACACAATCTTGGGATCACATTGAGTGTGTGTGTGTATATATATATATAAATTGGGAGGAGGGGATAACATCTTTATTGTAATGAGTTTTTCTATCCAAGAATAAGACATGAATTTCCATTTTCAAATTTTTCTGTTATTCCCCTCAATAGTGTGTTACAGCTTTTACCACATAAGTTCTGCATGTTGTTAAACTTATGTGTAAATATTTATCTTTTTTATTACCATTGTAAACAGGATAATTTTCCTTCATTTTTCAGATTGATTATTGTGTTTATAAAATAAAGTTACTGGGTTTGATGTACTTGGATTTTCCAGATATACTATCATCTGCAAATAATTTCTGCTCTTCCTCTCCAATATTTGATACTTCTTTCTCTTAATAATTTATATTTTCTTAAAACATGACCCATTTCACCTAGTTATTCAAGTATTTGCATAATTTACAAATTATCTAATAATACTTATTAATTTCTTCTGAATCTGTGGTTCTGTCCCTTTTTCATTTGTAATTCAAGGAATTTGTATTTACTTGCCCTACCTACTATAGTAAATAGTAAAGATACACTTTCCTCAAAAATTATAATCTTTGAAGTTAGAAAATTCTTTCATGCAGTTAATCTGTATGCCTCATCCTGCTATTGTAGTTTTTTTTTAACTTCTGTCTCCAATAAAAATGAAGACTATTGTATCAGCCTTCTCTACCAAGATTATTATGAAGTCACTTGTTAGCTTACTTTTAAGCTAAATAATTTTAGTTTTTTGATGTAGCCTCAGGGAACACAACTTTCTAAAATCTTTGTATTCTCTTTGGAATTTCTTCAAGAGTTGTAACATTTTGGCTAAATTCTTACCATACCTCTTCTTGAGGGATCTTATTGCTTGTCTTTAAAAAAATGGTAGTCTAGCCTACTGTATATTTTAAATAGCCAAAGTAACTCCATCTTCAGAGCAAATGGTATTTAGAATAGAATTAAAAATAAGTGTATTTTGTTTATATAATTATCTTTATATAATCTGGGACAAAGAATTGTTGACAATGTCATATATACTGTTTCAACAGTCTTGAAAATAAACTTAAGGTTGTTTCATAGGCTAATTGGGTCCTGGTGTTCCCTTGTT